ATGGGGGGGTGCGCACGGGTTTCCCAGTCACTTCCGTCCCCTGCCCCTGCACGGCTTCCACTGTCCCCGCCCCGAGACCTCTCCCGGCCCACGCACTGCTGCGTCACCGGTGGGCAGAGCAGCTGCAGCTGGACACCGGAGCCCCCGGTCTGGGAGGGTCTTTCCTCCCTCCCACTTCCCACCCCAGACCTTTGTCTTCCTTCTGAAAGCTTGGTCTCTCCTCTCTAGACCATCAGTGCTGCGAGAATGGGGGTGTGTACCCCCGTTTGTTGCCGGCTCTGTCTAGTTTCTGGCGTGGGCCTCGTGCCAGTGAGGACGGTGCTAGCCGCTGGTTGTCCAGGTGACCCTCTGCTGGGAGCGACACTGCCCTCCCTGGACAGGGGTGCCAGCCTCCGGTCCTGGTGGCCTGGTGGACGCTGCCCAGACTCCCAGACACTGGCTGTGCCTGGCCCCGTGGTGTCAGCGACCCTGTGACAGAAAGCAGCATAGGCAGGGCACCGGGGAGGACGGCCGGTGGCACTGAGGTGCTTCTCGGCTCCACCAGAGCACCGGCGTTGCCTTTCCTTCTTACACCAGTTGCGTGTCACGTTTGTTACCTGAGGGTGTTTTACAAGGAAAAACGTGGCTGACATCTGGCATTCTCACCCACTGGTGTCTTTATCCACGTGGGCCTATACTCTTGGAAATTACTGCCATCTTTTTTTTTTAAATTTATTTTTAGAGAAAGGGGAAGGAAGGGAGAAAGATGGAGAGATACATCAGTCGGTTGTCTCTTGCACACCCCCTACTGGGGACCTGGCCCGCAACCCAGGCCTGTGCCCTGGCTGGGAATCAAACCAGCAACCCACTGGTTTGCAGGCCGGCACTCAGTGCACTGAGCCACACTGGCCGGGACTCCTCTGTTGACATCTTCATTGAGATTTATTCCCGAAGGAGTGCTGACAAATGTGAGGAGGGAAGCCTCACGTTCTTTTTAGATACAAACGCTTTCAGAATGACCCCTGTTCCCTTCCGCGGTGCATCCCCTTCTTTCCTCTGGGTTCGGACTCTGCTGCAGAGCATCTTCTGGTGTCTTTTACGACACTGGACGCCCTGAGCCTGCGCCTCACGTTCGAACAGTGGTTTACGGGGGACTGTTCTCCCTTCGCCCTTTAGAGCAGCAGTCCCCGGCCATTTCAGCTCCAGGCATCGGCTCCGGGCATCGGTTCTGGGCAGAACAGTCTTTCCCAGGATGCTGGTGGCCGTGGGGGAGACAGGAGGTGGGGCTCGGGCCGTAGTGCCAGAGGAGTCTGGGGGGAGGGAGGCTGGGGACCCCGGCTTTAGAGGGACAGCGCCCCCTGCTGTCCATTGGGACCCTCCTGCTGGAGCTGGGCAGTGGTCCATGGTTTCAGCATGAGGTGCTGTGTCTAGGCTTCGACCTGTATTTGCCTGTCTGTGTGGGTCAGAGCCCTGGGTGCTCTGTGACCGTTTTGTCCCCCCCCCCCCCCGCCCAGTGCCCCTCAGTTTGAATACTGAGTCTCCTTCCCTTTCGGGAACAGTTTCCATCATTATCCTCGGAAAACTGCCTTGCCCCCACGCTCCTGGTCTCTGCCGGAACTCTGTTGGAATGTAAGCCCGAGGGCAGAGGTGTTCGGTGATGACATTAACATGAAGTTGGCCGATGCAACCCTTGCTCAGTGTCCAGCTCAGGGGCATTTAGCACGTCCGCACTGTGGTGCAGCCGTCCAGCGCCCCCCGCACAGCCGAGACTGTCCCCACGAGACACCCTCGTCCCGTGTGCCCCTCCCCCACCGGCTTGCAAACGCCACTGTACTTCCCATGTCTGCGAGCCTGACTGTGGAGTGATGTCGCATGAGTGGGGCACTGCAGGATTTGTCTTTTGTGACTGGCTCCTTTTACTGAGCACCAGGTTTTTGAGGGTCAGCGTCGTGCAGCAGGTGTCTGAAGGTCCTGTCTTTTTAAGACTGAGGCGCAGTCCAGCGTCCATTCCCTGGAGGACACCGTGGCGGCCCCCAGGATCGGGCAGTTGTAAGTAAAGCTGCTGTGGGCCCCATGTGCAGGCGTCTGTGTGTGGACGTGTGTTGCCAGCTCGCTCAGGTATTTACGGTGGAGAGTGGCCTCCGGACTGTGTGGCAAGTGTGGGCTGTGTAAGAAACCACCACGGTCACTGCACTGCCCCGGCCGGGTAGCTCAGGTGGTCAGAATGTGGTCCTGCTACACCGAGGTGGCAGGTTTGATCCCTGGTCAGGGCACATGCAGGGGTCCACCATGAGTAAGTGGGACAACGAATGGATGTCTGTCTGTCGGTCTGTCTGTCTCTCCCTCCCTCCCCCCTTCCTTCCTCTCTCTCTCTCTCTCTTCTCTCCCTCCCCTGCTCTGAGTTACTTACAAACAAACAAACGAAGTCACCGCACTGCCCCCGCCCCATCAGTGCTGAGTGGCGACCCTGCCTCTGCAGGTCCTGGTCAGCATTCTGGGGTTGGGCCGTTCTGATGGGACAGTGGGGGGGTTTTTTGTGGTTGGTGGAAACTGTCGTTAATCCCTAGCTACACCGGGGTTTTAATTTTTTAAATTATTAGTTAATTATTTTTTAAAGATTTAATTAGAAGGGGGATATAGTTCTTCATGTGGGAAGGCTCCAGTTGGCAGGGCATTATTTATTATTAAAAACTGTTTGTTCTACTTACTTACGTATCTTTTTTTTTAAATTATTTATTTTAGAGAGGAAGAAAGAGAGGGAGGGAAAAGGTGGGGACATGCAGTTTGTTGTGCGAGCCTGCACACTTTGGCTGAGATGCACGGGCCGTGGTCTGTCTGCTCTCCTGCTGACACCTCCCTGCCTTGGGGACGGCGCCTTCACAGCACGTCTGGGGGCCGTGGTGCCAGGCGCTGCTTTGTTCTCATCCTTCATGTTGTGTTGGCTGTTTGGGGCTTTTCGCCACCACGTCAAGTTTAAAATCCGCTTGTTGGATCCACAGAATAACTTGTTGGTTTGGACTGGGGTTGCGTGTGACCTGTAGGCCACGCTGGGGAGGACTGGCGTCCTGGCCGCACTGAGTCTTCTGTCCGTAAACGCGGGTGTCTTTGCGCCTCCATGTTTCTCTGGTTTTGCTTATCAGACTTTCATTGTTTCCTCCTGGCAGGTCTTGTTCGCTTTCAGTTAGATTTGTTCCGAAGCGCTCAATTTTGGGGGGCGCTAGTGTACGTTGTAAGTTTGATTTACACTTCTGCTTGCTCACAGCCGGCGAGCAGGCGTCTGATTGACTTCTGTGTGTTGGCCTGAACCTTTGCCATATTACTTATTAATCCCAGGATTTTGTTTTGGATTCTTTGAGATTTCCTACATATGTGAGCCAATCACGTTACCTGTGAACAAAAGACAGTTTTATTTCCTCCTTCCCAGGAACAAGTGTGCCCTCCGGTTCCTTCGCTGGCCCGGCTGCCTCAGCCGGGGCGGCTTTCACCCTGTTGGGGCTGCAGCAGGGACCACCCTGCCTCACCCCTGGAGTAGGCGTGAGTTGCGAGGCACAGTCTTCCGTGTGTCCCAGGGCTGGGAGGTGGCCCTGTGCGTGTGACGCTGCCCTGACCGGGGCTGTCGCTGTTTGCTTCTTTTCCTGGCCACCCCCCCACCCCCGCTGTCCTGCCCACCCTGCTGCTCCTGTGGGAACCGTAGGTGGCAGGCCCCACAGCCTTGGGTGTCTCCCCCGCCACACAGCTGGCCGCTGCCCCGGGCGGTGCTTTGCTGGAGAGCTTTGCACGCCTGCGAGGGTGCCCACATCCTTGCCCCTCCTTTGGCGGGAGCAGCTGCCGCCTGGTGGCCGGCAGAACCTCGTGCAGACAGGCCGGGTGTCCGTGGGCAGCCCAGCCATCCCCAGCTGGAGCTGTTCTTCATGTGTCGCAGGCCTCACCCCTACCTCCCCGGCCTCAGGTGCTTCTGGTATGTGTCCCCCACCCCCAGCTGTGCTGGGCCTCCCGGTGGCTGTCCCGAGGCCCTCTTAGTGGGTGACCCCCACTGCTATGGGTGCCTGCACTCTGTCTGGCTGCCCTTTGGGGTTTTGGCCCTTCACAGGGGACAGTGGCTGGTCCTCGAAGATGCCCACGGGGACAGTGCAGCCAGAGGGGTCTCTGCAGGTGGGCCCAGGGGCCCGTGAGGGCACTGGGGCATTGCCCTCAGTGATGGGGGGCAGCTCTATCAGGCGTTTGGCCCCTCCCTTCACAGCCTTTAGGTTAGGCCTGGGCGGGGCTGGGGGCTGCGCTGGCCAGGCCCACACCTGGACTCAGGCGGGCAGCTGCCTCCCTTTCTGGCGCTCAGCTCCTTCACCAGTCTGGCACTGGTGGTGTGCCAGGCACTGGAGCATCTGTGTTTTCTTAATTTGGGATTTTATTTCTTTTTAGAGAGAGGGGAAGGGAGGGAGAGACACATCAACATATGAGCGAGACATTGATCGGTTGCCTCTCGCGTGCCCCCATCTGGGGACCCGGCCCACAGCTCAGGCATGTGCCCTGACTGGGAGTCAAACCAGCAACCTTCTGGTTCTCTGGCTGGTGGTCAGTCCACTGAGCTACACCAGCCAGGGCAAGGAGCATCTGGCTTCCGACTTTGCTCTCGGGTGGTCTGTGCCTGTCGGTGCGCCTCTGCCTGGGGGGCTGCCTCGGCTGCAACAGGCCCACTCTGTGTCGGCCGCCCCTCGCAGGCGCAGGGGCAGCCGATGGTGTCCCCTTCGGAGTGACGAAGCAGGTTGGACGCAGTGTCCCCGTCCCCTCGACGACGAGAGGGGGTGGCCCAACCCGAGAGGTGGAGCCTGGCTTTTGTGTTCTCTTCTCTCCTCCAGCTTTACCGCTTTGTAGTTTCGTGTTGGAGCCGCCTCCTGTGACGTAGATCACTGTCCAGTCATCGTGAGGTGACTTGAAAAAGCGAAGCAAACCCGCAGTGCTGTCGGGATGTGGGTACCCGTGCTGGGCTTTAAACGCGGTGTTTCTCTCTGTTTGCTCCCTAACAGTGTAGTGTTCTAAGCACGGAAGCACCTGGACTGCATGGAATTGAGCATCAGAAAAAGCCCCGTCTCGGTGCAGAAAGCCGTCACGTGCGTGAGGATGAAGCAGGCCCCCGAGGCCCTCGGCGGCAGCGCCGGGAAGAGCCCGGGCTGCGAGGTGAGCCGTGAGTGCTCCGTGCTCCTTGGCAAAGCGCAGCTGTCCACCGGTCTGCGGGAGGGCGTCATGCAGAAGTTCAACGGCCACGACGCACTGCCCTTTCTCCCGGCGGAGAGGCTGAGAGACCTGACCTCCCGCGTGTTCAATGGGGACCCTAGTGCTCAGGACGCCAAACTGCGATTCGAGTCCCCGGAAGGGAGAGGGGCGGGGACCCCACCCAGTGCTAGCCCCACCAAAAACGGCTCTCCAGAGATCAAGCTGAAAATCACCAAGACCTACATGAACGGGAAGCCTCTCTTTGAGTCTTCCATTTGTGGGGGCGGCCCTGCTGCTGTGTCCCCGTCTGAAGACAGTGGACAGAAACCAGAAAGCAAGGCGAGGAGGAGCAGGAAGAGGAGCATAAAGTACGACTCCTTCCTGGAGCAGGGCCTTGCGGAAGCCGCCGTCGTGCCGGAGACCTCCAGCCCCTCGGACAGGAAGGTACCTAGGAGGGGCTCTGCCCGGGGGCAGAGATGGTGCAGACACAGCTCTCCACCCAGGAGCGTCCGGAGGACGCTGCCTCGGGCCGGGGAGGAGCAGGGAGGGTCCCCAGCGTCTGCGTGGACTGTGGGCGTGGATCCAGGAAGCCCCCGCGGGGCCTCCTTCTGGCCTTACGGGGGCAGGTGTTGCGGAGCCACTGTGAGGCCTGAGGGGGTCAGCGTTGTCCACAAGGTCAAAGTAGCACAAAGAGGTCACACCGCTCTCTGAGTTCCTGGCCTCCTCCTGGCAGTGGAGGTGCACTGACGCCTGGAGGGGCCTCTCAGGCTTGCCCCACCCGAGGACTCAGTGTGGCTGCCCCTCGGCAACCCCGCTGCCCCGCGGCACAGGGCCGGGCTGCGTCTCCGCCCGGCGTCCGGTGCCTGCCTGTCAGAGGCAGCAGTGCGAGCCCTGCCCTCCCCGCAGGAGCGCGGCGGGGCTTCACGTCCTCATGTCTTAAAGTGACCCAGGGTGGCCCTGCTTGGGTGAGCACGGGCCGAGCAAGGCAGCCAGGGAGCCTTGGCTGCGGCCGAAGGGACCCGGAAGGGCGCCACAGCCTCCCTGCCCACCCTGGTGGCCTAGTGACAGCCTCGTGTGCCCACCCGCAGGAGTCGGGGTGGGACAGCTGAGACTGGTTCGAGCTGGTGTTGGGGTAACAAAGTTGGAATGTGCAGTTTGAAATACGATCAAAGACTTTTAGTTACAGTTTCCACAGGTAGGAGAGGAAATGGCCAAAGTTTCCTTGAAGTTATTAAAATAATGAAGGAGTTTGAAGTTTAAAAATGCCTTTTTCAGTGCTCAGGGCCTGCTTTGGTCTCGCTAGTGTAATTATAACGGTGAGTTTCTGAAACAGCGAGGCTGATGGTGGTTCTGGAGGTGCCCGTGGCCGTGGGCAGCTCAGTGGGGAAGAGGCGGGTGCCAGCAGCTCCCAGCCCCGCCCCCTGGTTTTGCCCAGATGGGCACATTCCCTGGGTTCTGACTTTCCTCCTTCAGGGTGGGAACCCTGACACCTGTCCCCATGGGTGTGTCATGGGGCTGAAAACACACAGTAACGTGAGGCTGCGGACTCGCCTGGGGGCCGAGAGTGTGCCAGGTGCCAGCCCCCTGCCCAGCACGCTGAGCTCCGAGAATGAAGTCCTGTGGTTGGCCCAGGAAGGGGCTCCCGGGGGCCTGGGATTCACACCCAGGAAGAGGCCAGGGCCACACTCACTGCCTGTCCCCTTGCAGAATGGGGCACCGGGCAGCAGGTGGCCTGAGTCAGGCCTGCAGTCCCAGACCACCTGCGTTCCGGGGCAGGGGGACTGAGGTCCAGGCCCCAGGACTCCTGTCACTCATTGCCAGGCCTGCTGGCGTCCTGCCACCCTGGCTGAGGCATGTGCTGGGTGGTGGGGCTCCAGGGAGCCCTCTGACCAGCTGAGTGAGGTGCTATCAAGGCCACGTGCCTGGCCGGGAGTTGACGTAGGGGGCCATCGTGGTGACGTGAGACGGGCTCTGCAGGCGCCGGGCCTGCCCCCGGGCGGCGGGTGGGAGAGGCCCTCTCAGTGGTGTGTCGGGCTGCGGTCTGACCACGGTGGGGGTGCCGGTGGGGGAAGCTCCTGCCGGTTAATCCTCACTGGGACCCGCTGGACAGGGCCAGCCCGAGGGGTGGTTTCGGGTATCCCAGCAGACGTCTCCTGTTCACGTCCAGACCCCGGCTGCGAGGGAGCCCTGTCCGAGCGCCAGCAGAGAACGAGACCGCCTGCTGAAGTACAGCGTCGGCGACCTGGTGTGGTCCAAGGTGTCCGGGTACCCGTGGTGGCCGTGCATGGTCTCTGCCGACCCCCTCCTGGACAGCTACACCAAGCTTAAAGGTACGGCGTCGGGGGCTCGCGGCCCCGCTGCCTCCTCGCTCCGCCTTCCACAGCCCGACTGCAGTTCCTCTCTCTTCACCGTGTTCAAACGTGCCTTGAAATTTGCCGCTTTAGCCTTTTTTTTAACTTACTCAGGATTCAGGTCTGAGCCACTAGTTTACAACCTTGGCTTCATGATGTTGTCTCTTTGTTTTTAGAGAGAGAGGAAGGGAGGGAGACAGAGGAGAGAAGCATCAGCGTGTGGTCGTCTCTCACACGCCCCCTACTGGGGACCTGGCCCACAGCCCAGGCATGTGCCCTGACTGGGAATCGAACCAGCGACCAGTGACCCTTCACTTTGCAGGATGATGCTCAGCCCACTGAGTCATGCTGGTCAGGGCCATCCTTTAAAACTTTTAAGGCTCTTTGTCTTTCTGTGGTCAGCAAGTGAGTCTGGGGGGCACCCCCTCCTGCTGCTTCTGGGGCTGTGCAGAGCCTGTGTCGGTGTGTCTGGCGGCCTGTGTTGGAGGGAGCGGCCCCCGAGTGGCCTGCGGCCCGTGTGTGCTTGTGGGGGGGGCTCTCAGCTCACTTTTGAGGGCTTGGTTGCCTGTTGACTAGCGTCTCCCGATCTCTGGTGGCCAGTGCTCTGTATGAGGGAAGGGACTCGGGTTCCTGGCGGAGACCCTTACTCGCCGCTGGCACAGAGGTCTGACCGTGCGGCCCACTTCCTCCTTTTCGCCCCCCTTCCGCCTCACCCCTACCCAGGACCCTTCCCTGGGCTTGGGGGCCGGGCGTCTCTTCCCTCGAGTGGGCCCCTCGGGCTCCTCTGGGCCCGTGGCCGCCCTCCGTGCCTCCGAGTGCTGCCGTGGGTGGGAGGCAGGGCGGGCTTTGTGCCCAGGTCTCTGAGCCCCGCTGGCTCCCTGCACTGTGGTCTTGTCTCCTCAGTCAAATGGCCCTTGTGTGACGGCCTCTCTGGTGGTGCTCGTTTGGAATCTTCCTCAGCGGGTCTGGGGACGTGGGGAGGTGACGGAGGGATTCGGTCAGCTCTCTTTCCCGGGCAGCCCGAGCCTGACCCGGCTGTCCTTCCTCGGCGCAGGCGAGGGAGCAGGTCGGGCCGAGGGCGGCCGTCGGCACCAGGGACTGCGCTTCGCGCCCGCGCTCAGTGAGTTCTCCCTCTCCAACCGCAACGCTCTGTTCTGAACCCAGGTCAGAAAAAGAGTGCCCGCCAGTACCACGTCCAGTTCTTCGGCGACGCCCCCGAGAGGGCCTGGGTGTTCGAGAAGAGCCTGGTGGCCTTCGAAGGGGAAGCGCAGTTCGAGAAGTTGTGCCAGGAGAGCGCCAGGCAGGCGCCCACGAAAGCGGAGAAAATCAAGGTGGTGGACGCTCCCGACCCCAATGCCACAGCACGAGTTTGATGTTTATTCTTAATTGCTCACCTTGTCTTGACGTTACGGTTGCTTGAAATAGTGCGAAGACTCCTAAGCAGGCTGTGTTAGAACATACGACAGGTTTCTTACTCGTCGATGACTCCCAGATATAACTTGCCTTGTAATTTTTATTTCTCTTTATGGCTGTGTAAATAGATAACATGTGTAATATATTGCATGTGTCTGTATTTACATTAGTTAGTGTGATTGAATTTATTTCTAGCTTAAAGAAACATTTATGGGGCTGAGCTCCACGTAAAACCCTCAAGTTAATTGGTTTTTATAGTTTTTGATTTCTAAATTTGTGTGACATCCTAAAAGCATCCTTGAAAGTGGGTCAGCGTGTGTGTCCACAGTGAGACTCACCACGGCCCTGCGCCCCCTTTGCAGCTGCTGAAGCCCATCGCGGGGAGACTGCGAGCACAGTGGGAGACGGGGCTCCGCCAGGCCGCGGAGGCCGCGGGCATGCCCCTGGAGGAGCGGAGGGCCAAGTTCACCTTCCTCTACGTCGGGGGCCAGCTCCACCTGAACCCGCACGTGGCCAAGGAGGCGGGCGTGCTGGACGAGGTGCCGGCGCCAGGGCCTGTGGGAGTCACTGCTGGGGCCCCCAGGCCCCGGAAAGAAGAGGGCACCGCTGTCAAGAGAAGGGGGAGGGCGAAGCTGGCTCGCCCTGTTGACGGCCAGGACAGCGGCTCCACAGCGGTGACAGCGGCTCAGAAGGCGGCGGAGGCCGACCCCAGGAGAGGGGCGAGCGTGGTCCCCGGGCGGAAGAAGGCCGTGGCCGCCACACCGCGGAGCAGGAAGGGGGACGCTGCCTCCCAGTTCCTGGTGTTCTGTCAGAAGCACCGGGACGAGGTGGGTGCTGCTCGGTGTGGGGGTTGCCCCCTTTGGGGTGGGGGAGCGTGTGTCTGAGGAGCCGTCTGTAGTGAGCCCTGTGCCGATTCGGACCGAACAAGTAGCTGTGGTCACCACAGCCTCCCTGCTTGTGGTGCTGAGGGGGCCCCAGGCACTGGGCCGTGGCTTCTGCTGGGCTGTCCTGGGTGAAGACACGGCTCCCGTGTAGGGGGCAGGGCCCCCCAGGGGCTGCGTCGGGGCTGAGGCTGGGCTGGCCCGAGTTACTGACCCACGTGCCCGTGAGTCCTTGTCTGCTGAGCACCCGTCCCCACGATACTTCACAGGGCAGCGGTGCGAACGTTCGAGCAGGGTCCTCACTGGTGTCTGTGGGGGGTGTGGCCTGCTGGCCCCGGTGACGGCTGGTTCCCTTGTGCAGAGCTGAGGGGTGGGCCCTTTGCTCCCTGTCCCAGTGAGGGGCTTGTCATTGTGATTTGCCGTCGCAGGCTCGATGCTTGTCTTGATCGGTGGGAGAGGTATTCGTTGACACCCATCGCTCTCCGACACATAGTTTGCACGCAGCCCAGGACTGGGCACGGACGCCCTTGATTTGGTCAAGGGTTTCTCTCACAACCTCTGAGCACACGTCACACCTGTTGGTGCGAGGTCAGAAGCATTTCCTGTGCCTCTCTGTCCCCTCTTGTGGAAGGTATTGTAGTGAAAGACTGGCCAGTGCAGTAAGATAAGAAAAACCAGGAAGGTGCGATCGTGCAGGAGAGAGCTGGCGCTGTCTGCAGAGGTCCGTGTGCAGGGCTTGGGGCGCCTACAGGAGGTGTCTCGCTGGAGCCCGAGTTCTCTAGGCTGCTGGGTGTGGGGCAGCACCCGCGGCGGTCGCTGGAGGTGTCGTGTTAGAAAGGCACCGTGGCATCAATGTGACAGAGCACAGGGGACTTTGGGGAAGAGCAGCTTTAACAGGGAAGCGGGCCCAGCTGAGCCGAGGTGGCCCTCCTGGGTGGGGAGGCTCTGGGCCATGGGCGTGGCCAGTCGCAGCCCCACTGGCAGAGCAGCGTGGCCCGAGGACAGGGCTGTGGGGAGGGCCTGCCACTGGGAACCCGCCCTGTGTGTCGGGGACACTCAGGCAGTGACACAGCCCGGGGAGCCCCGAGTGGACTTGTGTGTGTGGCAGCAGGTGGGGAGGGGCGCAAGATGGCCCTGCGCCGCACCGGTGAAGTCACACTGTGGCCCCTGTGGGACAGCATTGTCACACTCGGAGAGGGGAGGGTGTCTTAAGCCAAACTGATCACACCCCAGGGTGGGACTCCATTACAGGGAAGACGTGCGAGCCTGGGATGACCCCCCCCCGTGAAGGGGACCTCCGTGGTTGCAGCTCACACAGTGAGCCGCAGCCGCAGCCGCAGGAAAGGGGCCTTGGGGAGGGCCGAGTGCCGGAGGGCCTGGGTGGCCAGTGCGCCCACAAGGAGGTGCTGCTGGGGGCCGCGTCCCAGTCAGCGGGGCAGCTGCGTGGCACAGCGCACTGGCCTGGAGCCCTTCCGCCCGGCGCCCCCAGAGCCTGCCCTGGACGCCCCGCAGAGGGCAGAAGCGAGCCGCAGCACACCGTGGGGGTTCTGTCCTGCTCAGTGGGAGCCCTGCCTGCCCTGCTGGCCTCCAGGGTCTAGCGCTGGCTGGTCCTCGTCCTTATCAGAAAAGAGTGACTGCCAGGCTGCCCTCTGCCAGCCTCGGTGACTGGTTACCGCGAGTCTGTGCTGGCTCTGCCGTAATTCTGATCGTGATCGTGAACTGGGGCCACTGTGCCCGGTCTGCCCTGTAGCTCAGTCTGGTCTCCCTGGGCTGGTCTCTATTCCAGGACTGGTGGCTCAAGACACCCAAGGCTGTTTCTGAGAGGCTGTCGGGTGATAGCCGGTGGTCAGCATGAGGGACAGGACTGGGTGGGCGTCCCCTCTGCCTACTGGCCCCTGCTTTTGTTTGTAGGGTCACTTGATAGGAGATGGTGACGGGCAGCACGTTTGGTTGCTGGGGTCCAGCTTCCTGTGTCCTCCTTGCCAACGAGAAATGTGCTTTGCTCCTGGCAGCCGCTGGCTCCCGGTGGTTTGTGGCGGTTGCTTGTTAGTCTGTGCGGCAGAGCTGGCAGGGCTGGGACGGGGCTGGGCGGCACTCACAGTGCACGGAGACAGCCTCGGAGAGGCTGGGCAGAGTGTGTTCACCACCCTGGTGGCAGTGGGGACGTCCCCATGGGAGGCCAGGCCACTGCAGACGCCCAAAGGCTGCCGTGCAGCAGTGATTCAGCAGGTGGTGGTCGTTCCAAGCCCGAGTTTTCCGCCTTCGAAGGGTCTCCTCCACCTTCCAGACGCTCTTGTTTCCAGGGCTGTCAGTGCTTCTGCCTCCCGTGCGGGGCAGGAGCGTGAGAGCCCCTCTCGGGGGCTGGGGCTGGGCCCAGGAGAGCCTTCCCCAGGCTGGGGGGGTACAGCACCGGCGTCTGAGGCCAGCACCCCCCGCGTACCCGCAGGCGTGGGGCGGGCGCCCTGGCTGCCGGGGCAGCAGGCCAGGCCCACGTGCCGAGGCCCTGTTCCCAGGGGACTTGGGGTGCAGCTGACTTTTGTAGGAAGCCTAGAAAACTGTCTCCCAAATCCCTCTGTCTCCCAGTCATTATTAAGGACTGGGAACGAGTTTCGTCTCACTGTGCACCGGTTCCTGTGTCCACGTGACACACTGGTGCCACGGGCGGGTCTCCCTGGGCCTCCGCCCCCCTCGAGCATGAATTCTCTCTGCCGCTTCAGTGGCAGCGTTTGCCACGTGGGCGCACGGGGCGGGGGGGCCGCCAGTCCCGCGGGGCCCTGCATTGGCTCGTGTGCACAGTGAGACCCGGTGAGTTTTGGGTGCACGGCCCCCTCACCTGCCCCTCCACTTGTGCCCACAGGTGGTGGCCGAGCACCCGGACGCCTCTGGGGAGGAGATCGAAGAGCTCCTGGGGTCCCAGTGGAGCATGCTCGGCGAGAAGCAAAAGGCCCGCTACACCACGAAGTTTGCCGTGCTGGCCCTGCCCCCCTCCGAGGAAGACGCCGGTAAAGGCCGAGGCACGGGGTGTGCGGGGCTGCGTCCGCTCCCCACTCTGACCCACAGTGTTGTGCCAGCCGCCAGGGTGTGCAGGCTCACAGAGAGCCTTCCCTGCTGGCTGCGTGTCCCTACTCAGGGTCCCGAGAGCGGTTCCCTGCAACCTGGCTGGCCTGCGGGTCCCTCTTACACCCGAGTGGACTGGCAAGGTCAGCCAGCCTTCAGGCCTGTGTCCTGGGGAGGCTGCGCCTGCACCTCTGGTGGGGCCAGCAGGCGGGGCTCTGGCCCCGGGGGGGCTTTCTTGGCCTGTTGGAGAGCGCACAGGGTGGGCAGCCTCCGGCTGTTTCAGTTTAAAATGCAAAATAAAAACACCCTTGCCAGTGTGGCTCACTTGGTAGGAGCATCGTCCTTTACACCAAAATGTCACAGGTTCAGTTCCCTCTCAGGGCACACGCCTAGGTTGCCATTTCAGTCCCCAGTCAGGAGTGCGCGTGGGAGGTACCCAGCTAATAACGTCTCTCTCTCCGTGTCTCCCTTTCTCTCTGAAGTCAGTGAATGTGTTTTTAAAAATCAGAAGTAACGTGGAGAAAGCTGCATCTCTCCGGGGCTGTTACTGACAAGCTCTGCAGAGGCTGACTGTGGAGTGTGCTCAGGGTCCCCTAGAAGGAGGGCGAGACCCGAGGGGTGCATTGGCCGAGTGCCTGGCGGGGCGGTGAGCTCCCTGGGGGGTTTCTGCGCGTGCACACCCCCAGACAGCTGTCCATCTGGACGGATGGGGTGCCCTGGCCCTGCACATCGACCGTCTCGTGGCCCTGATGCGAGTCTGGCCTGTGTCCACGGTGCAAGGTGGCTTGGGGCCTGGCGTTCCCTCCGGGAGGCCGAGGTCCGGGCTGCCACCGTGGGTGCGCTGGGCTGAGCAGGCGCCCCCTCAGCCCGAGGCGTGGTTCAGAGTGCGTCGGCTTTGCCGGCAGCCAGGGCCTGCTCACCCTCGGAGAGCCCGTGTAGCGGGGACGGTGCCACACTGGGGCATTCGGGACGGTCAGTGGGCACTGGGAGGCCAGGACAGAGGCCAGTCCCCACCCCGAGGGTGTCAGCTGTGGGCTCGTCTCTGGAGGCCCTTTGGCCTCCCGGTCAGAGACCCCACGCTGGTGGTCTCGACAGGCATAGCAGCCGTGGTGTCGGCTGCCTGTTGTCTGGGTGCAGGAGTTCAGAGGGAGCCTTGCTGACCTTTCTGTGGGCAGTGGCAGCCGCCGCCCCTCTGGGGGCGGGGCGGCTCCTAGGCTGCTGCCGTGGCGGGTCCGCAGCCCTGTCTGCGTCTGCGAGTGGGTGGCTGGCCGTGGGGGTGCTGAGCAGGCCTGCTGCCCGCAGCCCTCTTCCCAGGGGCTTGTTGGGAGCCCAGGGACCATGACCGGGGTAGGGCTCGGCGGGCCATTCAGCAGGCTGCCCTCTGGCAGTCTGGGCCTGGTAGCCAGCGGGGCGCTGTGTCCCGGCCTGGGCACTCCGGATGTCATGGCTGGCTGTGGGCCCCGCCCTACCCCAATGCCAAGTCCCTGGGTGGCGCTGCCTCCCCCCATGGGCAGCTAGGTCCATCTGGGGTCAGCCCCGGGCCAGAGAGGGGGGTGTGCATCACAGTAAACCTGGTGTGTGGGTTAGCCGTCCCTCTGTGCCTGCACCCGCACCGTCCCTGTGTGGGTTCCCGAGGTGGGGGGTCCCATGTGGCACAGGGAAGTGGGGAGCACAGCCCTGAACTTGCTAATTGGGCGGGAGGCTGCTTTAAGGAAATTGTATAAAGTGGAGCAAGTTGTGTATCTGTTAAAGTACAACTTAAATTCTACCAGTCTTGAAATGTTAGTAAGCAAAAGGAGTTCTTAAAATACCGGATCACATTGAAAATGAACACCCTGGGGGGGTGGGGTGGGATGGGAGAAATAGATAAAAAAAATGTACTTGAAAAGTAACGAAATAAAATTTAATTAAAAAAAAAAAAAGAAAAGAAAATGAACGCTCTAGTCCATGGGAATGTACTCTGAGCAGGTAGCAGTCTTGCGGCTCCGGATCAGACCCGGGTTTCCCAGCGTCCGGTGTGACCGGTGCCGGCTGGCTCTCTGCCGGGCGGCCCAGGAGTCAGCCGGCTGCAGGCCCTGCCCCCGGTGCTGGCGAGCCCCCTGTGGCCCGTGGGGGTGTTCATGTGAGTTTTCCATGCCACTGCTAGGTTACTTCCACGGGAGGAGGAGGGCCCACCCAAAGAGGACACAGGACCCTGCGGGAGATGCTGAAGTTGAGGACGTGCCCAGGAAAAGACTCAGGACGGACAAGCATGGCCTCCGGAAGGTATTGCGTTGGGGTTGGCCTGGCTGGGGAGCCGTGTGCGGTGTGACCTGTGGTGTTGCTGTGCCCCTGACTTCTGCCAGGGTGGGCGGTGGGGAGAGGAGGGGCAGCCTTCTTGCTCTCCCCACGCCGGCAGGGCTCACCTTCCTCGGGGCGTGTCCAGGGAGGCTGCAGCCTGTGCCCGCCGGCCCTCGGCCCGAGCCCCTGGGACTTGGCTGCCCTTCCAGTGGCGCCCGGTGTTCTGACCCCGTGGGTCGTGGGCAGCGACCTCCAGATCTCTAGGGCTTGTCACTCGGGCTGAGAGTGGCGCTGATGTCTCAGCAGCAGCATCCACAGCTGGGGTGAGGTGTGGTCTGTGAGCGGCTGTCACCGGCCTACTCATGTGACAGCGACTCGTGGTGTTCGGTGGGCTTCCCAAGCAGCCGCTCAGGCCTGCTGGGGCCACGGCCTGCCCTTGCGGTTCTGGCACGTTCCACCTCCCCTGGGGGGCACAGCCTACCCTGGGCCCTCAGGACAGGGACGCCGGCCAAGTCCACGTGGCCGAGGAAGCCATGGTCATTCGTTGCCACCCTGCGGTGCTGGCACTGAGGGCAGGGGCGCCGTCCTGGCAGCGGGGGCGTGGCCCGTTCCTGTGAGCCTGGTGTCCAGCTGTTGTGGATGGAGAGGGGCTGTGGGCGTGGCCTCCCGAGGAGCTTTAGGCAGCTGCTCCTTTCCTGCTCTACTCCGTTGGGAGGAGTGGAAAGGAGTGTCACACGGGGTCGGGTCGCCGTGCACGTAGGTGGCCCCGCGTCACCGCCTTTAAACTCGTCTGTGCAGTTCAGGGGGCGGGCTGGGCCTGCAGGCGGTGCTCCGGCCCCCTGTGAGGGCGAGCGGCCGTGCCCGGCAGTGAGCGCGCAGAAGCGCCTCTTTGCAGCGTCGTGCAGGCGAAGCATCCAGAGCGAGGCGCTGGCGTCGTGATCTCAAATCTGCGTTAAGTAGCCGGGCAGACGTGCCCGGTCAACGGGCAGTTCAGGAACTCACACTCACTACACAGTGGTGTCTGCTGTGGTGCCCGGGTGGTGCCCCTCCCATGTGCCGCGGTCACGGTCCCAGGCGCACCTCGTCCACAGCCCTGAGGCTGCCCCTGGAGTCCCATCCTTGGCCCAGTCCTGGGGGGTGGGTGAGGGTGCCAGTGCAGGGACGTGGCCTGCGGGCTGGCAGCTGGGCCCCGAGGGTGGGCTGCAGCACCCGCCTGGTTCTAGCCCCAAGTGCGGGTGGGGTGCCCCCAGGGGTGCGTGTTCAGCTGCTTCGTCGGCGGCCTGGGTGGGGGCTTGTCTGGAGCTTCTCTGCGGATGCACGGCCTCAACGTGTGAGCTCGTGGCGGTGTTGGCACTGATTCAGCCCGGCGCCACTTTCCAGCTTGGGCAGCCTGGAGAAGGGCTCTGTCCTCTTGCCCTCGTACCCCCAGAACCCAGGAGGAAGTGTGGGGGGCACACTGAAAGCCCCGCCCCTGGTCAGTTCAGGTCGGGCTTGGTGAGGCCCCAGGCAGTGTGGACGCTGGCAGGGGCTGGGCAGGGTGGCGCTCGGGTCCTGGGGAGAGCGTGAGGCTGCTGGTGGCGGGTCCCTGGTGCTTCCCAGGGGCCGGGTTGTCGTGCTGCTTCTCAGCGGCCGGTGTGAGGTCGTGCTGGGAGACCGCTTCTGTTCCCTTCTTCTGCGTCATCCTCCTGCATTTTAGTTGTTTATTTTTAAATAACAGAGGGAGACTGTCGCTGACAAACCGTCCCGATCAGGCCCCTGCAAGGCCCTGGAGGCGACCTCCTCCCTGAAGAGCCAGGCAGGTAATGTGGCCGCACCTCCCTGGGCTCTTGGCGGGAGTCCTGGGCTGGAGCTGGTGGGAAGCTGGGCTGGGGTGCGGGGCCTTTGGAGGCCACAAGTCCTGGGGAGGCTGGACAGGTGCCCGGCAGCCCGGCACACTGGGGACGCGGCCGTCTTCACGCTTAGCTGCCTGCACAGCTCAGCTGCGTGCTGCTGATTCCTGTGTGGCTTTATTGTTTGCCCAGCAGAGTTGTGGGCCCTGGCTGGTGGCTGCAGCCCTGGGTGGTTCAAGTACTGCCCCGCATGCCACGCTGGCCGGTTTGATCCCTGGCCAGGGCCTGTACAAGCATCACCCAGTGATGCACCCACAGGTGTCACAACACATGGCTGTGTCTCTAATGCCGATAAAGCAAACAAGGACATGAGTGAGCGAGTGAAGCGCGGGCTGTGCTGGGTGTGAGCAGAGGCGCCCGCCTCTCGCGGGGGCGGCTTGTTGCCCCAGCACCCGCTGCCCAGCATCTGAGCCTCCACCCGTGTGCGGGTGACGCCGGCGACGCCTCGCTGCTCCTGCTTCACGTGTGCGGGAGTTGAGCTTAAAACGCGTGAGGAACAGCTGTCGGGTGGGAAGGGCAGGTGCATCAGCTGCTCCCCGTGGGCCCTCTGGAGGCTCACGGGGGGGAGCTTCTGCGTCCAGCTCTAAGGTAGGAAGGAAACAACATCCAGGGTCAGAGAGTGACTGGCTTTGGTGACGGCTCTGGCTTCGTTTTGGTGCCCGAGGTGCAGGAATGGCTTTTAAAAATCAGTGCAACAGACTTAAGAAAACGATCGGTGAGCAGTTTGAACACTGAGCAGGCGCTCAGTGCTAGAAAAGGGATGGCTGCTTCCATGCGCGATGGGGGGGGCTGTGGGCACGCCCAGACCACGGGCTTCAGAGGGGCACACAGCCTCTTTGAGGGGTGATGGGTCTGGGCTGTGGCGCGGAGCCCTGGCGGCGGTCCGCCTGCGCCGCGGGGTGGGCACCGAGGCTCGTGGTGCGGCACGGGAGCCATCTCCAGAACCTGGCTGATCGAGCAGGAAAGAGACTGGGGGCTTCACGTCTCCTGTTTACTCTATAAACCCAAACTCTTTTGCAGCAACGAAACACCTGTCTGATGCGTGCAAACCCCTGAAGAAGCGGAACCGGGCGTCCACGGCAGCGTCCCCAGCGCTCGCGCTCAGCAAGAGCGTGTCTCCTGCGGCGTCTGTGACTGAGAACGAGGTAAAGTAGTAGTAGGCTGGTGGCGGAGGCTGCGCTGCCCGGGCCGCACCTGCTCAGCACGGCCTCGCGCTGCCCACAGCGCAGGCGAGTTCCAGGCCCTCCCGACTGTAAACGCCGCGAGACACGGGAAGAAGTCCTGCCGTAGTCGAGTCGAGCACTCGAGACGCGAGGACTCGCACACGTGTGCGTGCGAGTGTGTGTGCTCGTGCCGCCAGACGGGCACGGCCTGCTGTCCCCGGGTCTCTGTGCTGCCCGCGGGAGCGGCGCTGATGGGACGCCGTCCTCGGGCCGCCCCAGGGGACGGGGACTGAGACACGCTCGTGCAGTTCCTGTGGCTTCTGGACGGAGGCTCACGAGGGACGTGGCTGCGGGGCCGCAGCCCTCCGTGGCCCTTCCGACTCCATCACGCTCTTAGCGGCGGGAGCATGGAGGTGAGTCCAACCTGGCACGGCGGCGACTCCTGTGCTCCCTGCTTGCACGGCAGCTGAGGCTGTGACTGTCGTTTGTCTCGACATCTAGACTTCATCAGCAAACCTCAAGTCTTTGCCACGTGAGGAACAAAATGAGAAATAGCCTCAGAATGCAGATTCAACGCCTTTTTTGGTCCAGAGGGAGTCTGGGATTCCAGACGTCAGTGGCTCCCCGCGGAGGTTATTTCTGGTTTTAGCTTCTTGTTGTTTGTCCCTGTGATTCCCTCCCCCTCCCCCACCGTAGACAGGGGTCCTGTTTCTGGAGTATCGATGAGGAGGTGCTGACTTCGGGCTTTTGCGGTGCAGGATAGTGGGGCAGGGAGTGGACAGGTGCCCTGCCCTTTGGGTCAGAAGGGGGCACTTCTGCCCTGTCTCTGCCACGGTCCCCAGTGGGACAGGCATTCTGCCAGCCTCAATTCCCCTCTCGTTCAGCGAGGGGCAGGCCTTCCAGTGTGTGAGGGTCTTCGTTCGCTGAGGTCAGAGGGGCCTGAGCTCACCGACCGGGTCCTCGGGCTGCAAACCCAGGGCACTCCTCTGGGGACACTTCCTCGGGGACCCCGGCCAGCTGGGCCGTGGGGAGCGGCTGCCCGCAAGTGCAGGCTGGGGCTTTCTGACGGGTGTGGGTGTGGGTGCGGGTGCCGCGGCACACCCCGGCGTGCGGTCAGAATCCTCCACTGAGCCCCAGGAGCTTCCTGAGCCTTCGAAGGCACATCCTGTACAGAAGGTTTTCTTTTCCTCGTCCTAAAGAGTTGACTGGAAAGGTGGCCTATAGCTCTGAACAGGAGCACGAAAAATAAAAGGTTTCCATTCCACAGACCCTTTCGGTGGAGTTGGCTTTTCAGTGACTCTTCTTGCACCGTCACACCTGGGGGCACGTGTTCCGTTGAGTGTCCCTTGCACTCTCGTCAAGCACAGTCCACGGGAAAACCCGTGCTGTTCAGGCCTGGCCCCAGCCCCGCGGAGCCGGGCGCGCACTAGGGCCGCTCTCCCGGCGCGGAGACACGCCTGCCAGACAAGCCCGAGGGCCCGACATTCATTTTAACGAGTTGAGTCTTTGCAGCCAAGACACTGGCTCTGGACTTGGGAAGCGTTTTGCAGTCATCGTATTTAACGGACTATCAGCTCTTTAACTTGGGGAGCAGACACGTTACCCGGGGTTTGCAGCAGGCTCAACCCACAGCTGCCGGCTCTGGTAGGCAGGGCACAGGTGGCAGCGTGCTGTCCATCCCTGGTCGGGGAGGGTGGCCCGAGGCCTGGCCGGCAGGCTGGCATCTGTCCCTGCCCCTGTCCTCCACTGGGGCCCGTGTGCACAGCGTGCTCCTGCTGAAACGCCCTGCGGGTGCATGGGCAGCTGCCACCCCAGCACGTCACGGATGCACACGCAGGGCCCCTTCCCGGTGTGTGCCGCGCAGAGGGCCCTGGGGCCCGGGAGGTAGAGTGCAGCCGCGTGAGCCCCCTGCTGCCCACTGGGCCTTGGCCAGTGGGGTTTGAGGCCTCCGATGAGCCGCCCGGGGCTTCAGACTGGCCCCCGTTTGGGCCTTGTGCCCTGTGCGTGTTCATGCTTTTCCTTCCCTTCACCGTTGACCCAAATGAGGACGCGGACGGGGTGAGGATTTCATTCATGATAGATCATGTTGAGGTTTAAACCCTTTTCAAAAGGGTGTGCGCCGGGCAGCGCACTTGGGCAGAGACAGCAGGGTGCGGCACACCTGTGTGACAGAGGCCTGTGACAGCTGATGTGACCGCAGTGTTTCTGTAACTCCGTTTCTTGTTCCCTTAGTAGAGCAAACACTTATTTTTTTCACCTTCGCTGGTGACAGCTTTTATGGGAGCCCACATCAGTCAAACTGGACTTGAACTCCGCTGCCCTGTGCTGCTGCTCTTAACACAGGGCAGCCTCCCAGGACGCCTGCAGTGGGTGGCATGTCATCGACACATGGAGGGACACCCCTCACAGTCACTGTGAGGAAGATGAGTGGTGTCTGTTTTTGTTGGTACTAACACACACACACAGTGAAGAAAGCCTAACACACTTTGCGACCGAGGTAAGACGCCTGATCCAGACCTTCGCCCCGGCCCTCCATCCGGTCTGAGGGGCACGCCGCTGGGCGAGGGGCCGCTGCAGGCGTCCAGGGGGCAGGGTGCCTGCCCAGGGGGCCGTCCCGCTGGAGGTCGCTCTCGTCCTCCAGGGCTGGCACCTCCGAAGCAGACACACTGGAGGAAGGCGCCATCCCTGCCCCTCGTTGCCGGAGGGGTGGGCGGCAGGAGGGCCGCGCTGCTGTCCCCTTACTGGACAGGCTCCCCGGGACACTAGGCAGGGTGACTGTGCGGGCAGTGCCATCTGCAGCGCCCCCCCCCCCCGGCTGTCACACGGGGGGCGGTTCCCTCCCAGGGGCCACCGGCCTCCTGCCTGGGGCCGCCACCGCGTGCTGGGAACGCGGCCGCGCCGCAGACTCCGCTGCTGTGGGCGTGACACGCGTGCTCAAGCCTTCGCTTCTCGTGACGCGTGCAAAAAGCACCTCAGGTGCCTGGCGCCTTGGAAGGACGCGGTGGCTCACTCTGTGACCATGTGGCTCAAACAACAAAGTGATGAAACCACCACTGAGGTGCAAATGCCCCGAAGTGTAAACGCCACGTGGGCTACAGCCCACCTGGGGGCAGGAAGAGCCACACAGGCGCCCCAGGCTGCTCCGAGGGCCCGTGGAGGTGGCCGAGGGCTGGGCCCTGCTGAGCGGTAGTGGGACTCCCAGCCTCCAGGGCACCCGCAGCTCAGCCCTGACGTGTGAGTCTCAGAGGGCCTGTCACTGTCCTGGGACGTGCAGGCCCGGTGTGTAAATGGCCCGGACAGGGCGTGGCCACTTGGGGCAAAGGCTCACGGGCAGCACCGAGGGCTCCTTTTAAAACCACAGCCCGGTGTGTCTGGACAGTGGCTGGCCAGCTGCCAGTGAGTGACAGGTGCCTTTCTCTCCAGCAGGAGAGAGGGAGGGACCCTCGGAGGAACTGGTGAGCCCGCAGAGCAGTGTAGTATTAGCATCAGCGGAGGACTCGGAGTGGGGGAGGCGGCGGGGACACAGCGGGGGATGTGCAGGCTTTCTTAGCTGGGCAGGTGGCTGGCGTGGAGGCAGGTGTGCTCAGGGGGCCGCAGTGAGGGACAGTCACAACAGCCCGGGTCAGGGCTGTTTCCTCTGGTGGCCAGGGCGGCCTTGCTGAGGACCCGCCCTGGGAGGCCCTGTGGCCACTAGAGGGGGTGGGGGGATGGGAGGCTGTGCCCCGAGAGCCTGCGTGTCTTTGGCTGGTTGGACTCGGTTTGCCACACGCCCTGGAGTGGTCCCTGCGGCACAGGTGTGCTTTTGCTCTGAGTCATTGGAGCTGCCCGGTGCTGAGACGAGCCCCCTGCAGTTCTGCGGGGGGCCCCGGGAGCAAGGCCACCCACAGTGTGCAGGTGATGGTGGGGCTGCCAGGGGAGCGTGCTCTCATTTCTGGAGGGCAGCACTTGCCTGGGTCTAGATGGGGGTGGCGCCTTGGTGAGCTGACTGCCGGTGGTCCCGCTGTCCAGCCGCTGCCAGCACGCCTGTCCCTGAGGGCCCTGCTCCAAGCAGACCTGGGCACCTGTCCCTTGCAGTTGTGGGTTTCAGGGCAGCTGGTCCCGGTGGGTAGCCTTCCCGCTGTGCCCACTCCTCCTGGCTTAGAGGCCCAGGGTTGAGGGTGTCCCCAGGAGCCAGCGAGGAACCTGAGGGCAGCCCCCTAGGCCTCAGGCAGGGGTGGCCCCTGCTCTCCAGGCCCTGGGCCTGAGCTTGCACGTGGGTGTGAGGCGCAGGGCTCAGGGGCGGGACAGCAGGGCACAGCCTCTTCCAGGGATCTGTGCAGTTGGGGACGTCGGTAGCTGAGCACACCAGAGGAAGGGTGGTGTAGGCTGTGAGAGGCGCACGTCAGGGCCGGGTTGGACACGCCCGTGGCCTCTGGCCTGGACCCACTTGCTTAGGACTGGTAACCAAAGGTGAGGAGGGTGGCCAGAGCAGAGGCAGCGTGTGCCGGGCGGCGGACGCTGGCCGCCAGTGTGCGTGGAAGTGTGTGAAGGAGAGGAGGCCGTTGGTCAGCATCTGGTTCCAGCCCCCAGATGGGCCCTCGGGAGGGTGCTTGGCCCGAAGCCTGGCGTACGCTGGTGCTGGGCACGCTGCGGTCGGTGGCCGGTGGCGGCTGGTGGCCGGTGGCGTGCTGACTGGGAGTAGCAGCGCCAAGTGTTTGAGTGAAGGACAGCCCTCCACTCCCCAGGCCCCGTCCCCCCGTGACGCCAGTCTGCAGGGGCTGGTGGGGAGGAGGGCGGCAGATCTGCCCGGTTTCTCCCTCGAAGGCTTCCTGGCCCCACGCACCCCTGGTGCACGGGAGCCCGTCTCCAAGGCCAGCCGCTCCGCTGGTGGTCCTGGCCAGGGGCCTGCACGCAAGGCCGGGCGACAGCCCTGCGGGCTGGCGTGGGGTTCGAATTTCGTGCTTTGAAAATCAGTAGTTGCGTTACCTCAGTTTTGAAAAGTCTGTGAACCGAAAAAGTAGTTGCTGAGGGTGGCCGCTTGTCTTTGAGACTGAGTCTGGGTCGCCGTCTGCTGTGAGCGCCTGTCTTGCTAGGAGAGGTTTCTCGAAATGCTCTCAGACCTGCTGGCAGCGTCCAGGCTCCTTCGGGGAACTGTGTCGAGAGCTGTGTTTTGGGGTCGGGGTTGGCGAGACTGGCCTGCTCCTGTCGGTGCTCCTCGCTGTTTGAGTCGGAGCCCTGGAGACCACCACTCGTCACTTGCCTCGGCGGGGAGGAGGTCGCGTGAGTGGCAACCCTCCCGCTGCTTGTGCTGTCTGGCCCCTGCGGGGGGCCTTTTTGTCACTGCTGTGCCACGTGCGTCACTTCCTCTGTGCTGCACGCCATTTGGGGTTGTTACACACGGTTTGTCCGCGTGTGGTTCGAAGCGCACTAACCACGGAGGTACACTGCACCCCCAGAGCTGACCGAGGTGGCAGTGGGGTGCGGCCCGGGCTTTGTGACTGTTCTCTGGTCCGCCCCCCCCCCCCCCCCGGCTCCCTCTCTGCTGAGCACAGTTGGGTCGACAGGGCTCTTGGAAGGACTTGTGTCTTCTGTGACCAAGGCTGGCTCAGCCACCTGGGGGGGGCGGGGGGGGGCTGGGCTCAGACTGAATCCGGAGCAGCGAGGGGCCGCTGGCAAGGGGGTCCAGCCCGCGTCCTCCCGATGAGCTGTCACTAGAAACTGTCACGGACTGAGCGCTGGAGAGTGCGAGCGAGTCACCAAAAAGTTACTTTAACTCCACTCTAACAGTTCGCTGTGGTGTCGACTCGGAAGGCCTGTGTGGGACCCGCCCTGTGGCTCCCAGCCGGTGTGGTCTGCTGTGCACAGCGTCCTCATCTGTGATCCAGAACGGGGTGGACGTGCTCCCAGGCCGCTGTCCGTGCTCCCGGCGCACGGTCAGTGGTGCCAGGGCCCACGACAGCCCGTTGCCCGAGGTCACAGCTGTTTCAGATGATGTGGAGCTCAACTCGGGACGGGTTGGTTTTGTCAGAGAACACGGCCTGCCCCGTGTCACAGCGTGCACGGCGGCCGGGGGGCTGCTCCTGGTCCCAGCTCGGTCCCAGGTCCCCTTGGGCCCTGCCACTTGTGCGGGAGGCTGCGCCCAGCTGCGAAGGAGCATGTTTCTCGGGCAAGTAGGGAGCCACGCAGGCGCATGCTGAGTAGAGAGCAGGGGAGGAGCGCCACTGCACGGCGGCCGGGTCGCAGCGGCTCCGGTGGCGGTGGGAAGCCACAGGGAGGTCTCGGCGGCCTGTCCCCTCATTGCTCCCCTTCCCTTCTCCCAAATGCATCCTGTGTGATGTGGAGCTTGTAGACTGAGGTGTGTGGGGCTGTGCTGGGACCGTGCGGGGGGGCCGTCACTCTCACGACCGCGTCTCCAAGTGAGTGCTGTCCCTGGTGCAGCCGGAGCCTGCGGCCGGAGTGGGACAGCCAGCCGCACCGGCCCGGGCCGTGCTGCCGCGAGGCCTGTGCCCTGCACGGCGGCCCCCACCCGAAGTGTGTGCGTGCCCACTCCTCAGAAGCTCCGACCGTGGAGGAGCTGCTGACTGCTCTGTAAATCGCAAATAAAAGGTGCTGTTCCCCCTCTGACCGGCCTGGTCTGTGTGTTCTGTCTCTCTCCTCGAGTGTTTCAATCGGTCCAGGCACAGGGAGGGAGGGCTGGGGGTCGGCGGGCGGGCGCCGGGCGCTCCTCCGTGGGGCCCCCACGAGGGCCGTTGTTTGGGTCTCGCGGCTCCACCAGGGAGGCCGCCCTCAGGTCCCCTGTGCCCCCGGCCTCAGGACGGGGCCCTGCCTCTGTCTGGAGGACACAGGATGTGGGGAGTCTGAGCACAGAGCACTTCTCCAGGGTGTCCGTGTTCACGGGCGGGAGGCGAGGTGACGGGAGGGCCCACGGGCCCTGGCGGCCCCGTCCGGGCAGCCCTGCACTGACCAGGCCTCAGCGTGCGAGGCCCTGTAACTCAGGGTCCATTCACACCGCTCTTTCCACCTTCTTGGGAGACGTGTGGGGACCGTTTAAAGGTGGCCCTCTGTTCAGGCTGTGTTGTCACAGGTGTGTCAGACAGTAAGTGTGGGGGGTGGCGGGGGCCACACTGGTGCCCCCAGCAGCCACACACACTGGCCAAAGCAACGGGTCCCTGCAGACGCACCAGCCACATGTCGGTAATGCCGACATGCCCCGCTGGGAGAGCTCACGTTTGCTGTTTTCTCCTTTTCCTCCTCCCTCCCTGTGGTGCCGGCCAGCTGAACCTGGAGGCGGCTCACTCAGGAGGCAGGAGAGCGGGCGCCCTGGCGGGCTGGATTCCCCTGTCCCGTGCCCGACCTTCTGACACGGCCCGAGGCCCAACTCTCGCTGGGCGCTGGGTGAGCAGCGGGCGCGTCACCACACGGTGCTTTGTGGGGCTCGAGTGACAGGAGACGAGCTTTCCACGCTGCTCTGTTGAAAAACGCAGCTTCCAGCTTTTCCAACCCTCAGATAAATGCTGCGTGTGTTTCCAGTTTCACCTTAAAGACCTCAGATTGGTGTATAAGCAAGTTCTCTAACGAAAGACTCAATAATTCTATTTGAACATTTGCTGTTGCCAGCCCACTGAGGGGCCCATTGAGCGGGGTGCAGGGAGAGGGTGTTGCCCGGTCGGCGGGGCCCAGGAGCGGGAGCCACCAGCCGGCGGGAGCGCCACACCTGTCCCTGTGGTCGTGGGCGGAGGACGCGCAGGGCCCGCCCCGGCCCGGTCAGCCGTGCACAACCTGCTTCCGCAACACGGAGCCTCTAGCGCAGCAGCCGCGGACGGCGGGGCCGGTGGGAAGGCCCCCTCGCGACCGCTCTGCGGCTCTTTCAGAGACTCATTTGGTGTCGATGTGTTTCTCTGTAAGTAGTCGGACGCAGCCGGTGGGCCGCGAAGGCCAGGGTCCTCTGTCCCCAGCCTGTTGGCGGTCACCACTGAGAGCACTCTGGGCGCTCGTGAGCACCGCTTCGTGTGTAAGGAACACCAGGGGAGTGTTAAACTTGCTCCCTCACACGTGTGCACATGTAGTAAGTGTCATGGGGGACGAAGTCCGTTGCCGAGCTCCTGCCCAGCTTGTGGACAGGCTGCCGCCAGGAGTCCCGCTGGCGGCCTGCGCTCACAGGGAGGAGCTGGCGTGCGGGCCTGCCTCGGAGCGCCCTGCGACTCGTGAACTGTCGTCCGCCTCCGCCCTGCAGGTCTCGGATGGCCCGGGAGACGAGCCTTTGGAGTCCCCGTACGAAAGTGCTGACGAAACTCAGACCGAAGTGTCCATCTCGTCCAAGAAGTCGGAGCGGGGAGTGGCTGTCAGGAAGGAGCACGTCTGTCAGGTGAGGGCTGCCGTGGGTGAGCGCATGTCCCGACGGGGCTGTGTGGGTGGGCCCCTGCTCTCGGGCCCCGTCCGAAACCTCCCCAGTGGGTCCTGTCTGTGCCCCGTGGCCTGCCAGTCCCCTGGCGTCGGGGGCTCTGACCGGCCGCCCGGTGTGTGTGCCACGCGTCCCTGGGGGGGCCTCAGCCGTGCCATCCCCTGCAGGTGTGCGAGAAGCCTGGCAGCCTCCTGCTCTGTGAGGGGCCCTGCTGCGGGGCCTTCCACCTGGCCTGCCTCGGGCGGTCCAGGCCACCGGAAGGACGGTTCACCTGCAGCGAGTGTACTTCAGGCAAGTGCTGTTCCCTCCCAGCTTCCCTGCACACCCGGGGCTGGGGCCACCTCCGCGGGGGCCCCTTGTGTTCCCTTGGTGCCTTCCATCGGGTGACAGGTGTGAACAGTGTCAAAAGAGTGTCACTCGGGATGAGCCCACGTGAGGCACAGCAGAGCAGTGGCCTGTGGGTGGTGGCGCCACGGCTCGTGCTGGGGTTCGCAGGGGCGCGGAGCCCGGTACCAGTGTGAGCGCACGCCACACTTGTCCCCATGCGGCCAGGACTCTTGCTCTTTGGCATCAGCTGTCACGGCTTATCTGCTGCCTACCTGGCTCTCAACTCTCCTGGAACGCGCCTCAGTCGGGAGAGGCCGCGTCTCGAGAGGTGGCCTAGGCTGCGGCCAACACGGGTGTCTCACTGGGGACCAGCCCTGGTCGGTGGCCACACTCAGTGGGACAGGGAAAGCCCTCCTGTCCTGGGTCCCGTGCTCCTTCCCGCCTCTTGCCCCCTAGAGCCAGGGCGCCTGGCTGCTGTGTCCCGGGCGACCACAGGATGGACTCCCAGGAGCCGGGCGGGACCCAGGGCTCAGTGCCGGGGAGGAGCCTGCGCCGCAGCAGCTGGGCCTGCCTCCCAGAGCCGCTGGGTCGGGGCGCAGGGGCCGCAGCTGACCCCGCTCTTTGTCCCCTCGGCCCCTCCCTTCCCCGCTCGCTAGGGAGTCACTCCTGCTTCGTGTGCAAGGACAGCCAGGCGGACGTGAGGCGCTGCGTCGTGCCGCAGTGCGGGAAGTTCTACCACGAGGCCTGCGTGAGGAAGCTGCCGCTGACGGTGTTCGAGAGCCGAGGCTTCCGCTGCCCTCTGCACAGCTGCGCCAGCTGCCACGCGGCCAACCCCGCGCACCCGCGCTCGGCGAAAGGTGCGGTGCCTGCAGGGGCGGCCCGCACTGAGGGGGGGGGGTCGGCGGCCGCCCAAGGTCTTCACTGCCCTCGTTTTTCGGAGGAGCTGCCGCTCTCCACTCTCGTCGCCGACTCGGCACAGGGGGCGTTAGGGGTTTTCTTGGCCAGCTGCCCCCTGTCTCCCCTCTCACTTCCCGACGCGTCACCTTTAGACCCTTAATCTAAAGGTTAAGGGTGGGACCTGTGAGCCCCTTGGGTGGGTTCCACCAGTCGTTACTTCAACGGCCCTCACACACCAGACTAAGACTTGAAAGCGAGGTCGTGGCGGGCGTCTGGTTTGGGGTGCGGCGTTGTGGGGGCGGGCTGTCTGTGCCTCTGGATGCCGCCAGTGGGGATGCGTGGGGCGGGGCACCGGCCTGGGGGCGGGGCGCCCAGCCTGACGCACCTGACGTACGTACGTGGTGGGGACTACAGGTCGTCGCGGGCGGGTTTTGAGCCTCCGCCCGCGGCTGTGTGCTCCTGACGTGTGTCAGGTGCACCCACCTGCCTCGCCCTCGTCCGTTCTTGCTCTGGCGCGTTGGCGCGGCACCGACTCCCGGATGTGCGGGCCGGCGGTCCCTCGCCTTCTGCTCCCCGGGCCGGGCCCTCAGCACGTGTCTCTGCCCGTTCAGGTAAAATGATGCGCTGTGTTCGCTGCCCCGTGGCCTATCACGGAGGGGACGCGTGTCTGGCAGCGGGCTGCCTGGTGCTCGCCCCCCACAGCATCGTCTGCGCGGGGCACTTCACCGCGCGGAAGGGGAAGCGGCACCACGCCCACGTCAACGTCAGCTGGTGCTTTGTGTGCTCGAAAGGTGAGGCCGGGTGCCACGTGCGGCCAGCAGGGGGTGGCCGTGCGGAGTTCCCCGTGCGTTCGTGGGCGACGCAGCGTGGCCTCCCTGAGTTCCCGCAGCCCCTGGAAGCTGTCAGTGGGGACGTGTGCTTCTGTGCCGGCGTGCAGGCTGCCGGTTGCGGGCGGCCGTCTGGGGTCAGGTGTGTGCAGGCTGCGTGGGGCGGGGGCAGGGCTCAGCGCCGCCCTCCGTTGCAGGGGGCAGCCTGCTGTGCTGCGAGGCCTGCCCCGCGGCCTTCCACCCGGACTGCCTGAACATCGAGATGCCGGACGGCAGCTGGTTCTGCAACGACTGCAGGGCTGGGAAGCGGCTGCGCCATCAGGACATCGTCTGGGTCAAACTCGGGAACTACAGGTGTGAGCGCTCGACTCCGAGCTCCCGGCGTCCTCGTTCAGACGTGTTCTTTTACTTTGCAGTGCTTGCAGCATCGACCTCACTGTCCCTCTCTCTGAAGAGTCTGTGACCCCTGTTTTTAATATTTATAATAGATGGTGGCCGGCAGAAGTTTGCCATCCCAAAAATGTCCCCCCAAATATTCAGAGAATGAAGCACGAGGTTGGAGAATTCCCTGTGTTTTTCTTTGGGTCTAAAGATTACTACTGGACGCATCAGGCTCGAGTGTTCCCGTACGTGGAAGGGGACCGGGGCAGCCGCTACCAGGGGGTCAGAGGGATCGGCAGAGTCTTCAAACACGGTACGGCCCGCCGGGTGGGGGGCGGCGGGCGCGGTGCCGGCCCTCTTGTCTGCGCTTCGGAAGTGGGGTTTCTGCAGAAAACACTGCGCTCAGCATCTGGGCTGGGCTTTAACGAAGGAAAAATCGTTTTTGCTGACTTGTCGAGGCACCGAGCAAGACAGACTGTTGGGCACTTCTGTGACCGATCACTAAGTCCTGCAGCCGTGTTGGGGAAATGAGCGAGCGCAAGTGCGGCAGCTGCCTCTCGCTCAGGGTCGCGTGAGGTGGAGACGAGGGCGGGGTGGCGCCGGGGCGGGTCGGCAGCCGCTCCGCCCCTGATCGTGCACAGTCCGGGGGCAGTGCCGTCAGGCGATGGGAGAGGAGCTTGGCTCCCTGGCTGCAGGAGGCTCACCAGGGCCGAGCGCGAGGGCGGTGTGCAAGCAGCCACAGCTGCCCGGTGTGGGGCGGCCTCTGCCCTCGGGTCCTCAGGTCTGAGGGAGGGTGGCAGGCGTCGGAGAGGGTCCCTGAAACGGCCAGGAAGCTGTGTGCGTTGATGTTGAGTGAGTGTTAGCTGGCCTGAGGCCGAGTCAGCTTTCTGGCCGCCTGACTCCTGACTGGAGTCCTGTGGAGCCCTGAGTGTTGACAGCAAGGGCATGTCTGTCCTGACTGCCCCCGACAGAGCGGGCCCTCTGGGGTCCTCGGAGTGCTGCTCCGTGGAGAAGGCGGCGGACTGGCACTGCCGGTCCGCAGCTGCACACCCTCGTCTTACTCAGACTGGCGACCGCGCACAGCAGCGAGGGGGGGTGTGGCGGGGCCGTGAGAGCACAGCGGACCTGGCGGGTGTGTGTGGTCACTAAACCGTGGGATTGTCTTTCCTTGGCTCTTCAGCGCTGCAAGAAGCCGAGGCTCGTTTTCGTGAAATCAAACTTCAGAGGGAGGCCAGGGAAACACAGGAGAGTGAGCGGAGGCCCCCGCCCTACAAGCACATCAAGGTGACCTTGGGCGGCGGGCGGCCGCGGCCTGCGCCGGGGGACAGGGTGGGGGCTGGACAGTGGGTCCAGGTTCTGCCTGGGAGCACGAGGCCCAGCCACCAGCCTGCGGAGCTGGATGGCTGCCCCCGCCAGGCTGCCTGGAGCTGGAGAGGCGCGGGGCCGAGCCGACCCTGGAGGGGCCTCGCCGGGGCCGGTGCCGGGCAGGGTCCTCCCGGAGGAGAGGAAGTGCCCGCCTCTGAGGGCGTGGCGGGCAGGGAGGCCGGGCTTATGTGCGTGGCCCCGCACCTGCTCTCTGCCCCAGGGCTTGGCTCCGTGGCGCGTGTGGCGCCCTCCTCACGCCGCCCGTGCTCACTGAGCGCATCCCCGGGGCCTGGCGGCCGCTGCCCAGGGGTGCTGGCCGCCCACGGCTGGTCACAGGCTCTGTGGTGCCCCTGCTGCCGGTGGCGCGTGTGGGGGCGGCGTTCTCCTAGTCGCCTGCGCCACGCCCCGTGGGGGGGGGCTCCCGGGACCTTGGTGGCGCAACCGGGAGCCCCAGGGGCTGGAGGTGTGTCCCTGCTCGTCCACCACGTGGCCCTGGGAGCCCCTCCCTCCTCCCACTTGCCTTTCTTCTCGGGTCTCTCGGCCGCCCTGTCCTCGGGCGCCGCCGTCCCGCCGTCCCGTTAACCGCACGTGGAGGCCGTGTGCACAGCCCGCACCTCCTGACCCCAGGGCACCTGCAGGGGCTCAGTCCGGGGAGCCGCTCCCCACAGCTGTGGGGCTGGGAGGCGGGCCGGGGGGGCAGCCGGCGCCCCTTGTGCTGAACTTTTCTGTGTGTCTTCTTGTCACACCCGCCGGCTGGACTGAATGTCAGCTGCCCTGTGTACGAGGGCACAGATGCTGTGACCCCAGGGGGACGTTGGGGGCAGGGCAGGCTGCGCCGCACACAGCCCTGTGTGAAGCCCCAGGGCCTGTCCTGGGCTGTGTGAGCCAGGCAGGGGCGTGGCCCTCGCGTGGGGGCTGAGGCAGCTCGCCTGTCCCTGCAGGTGAACAAGCCCTATGGGAAAGTGCAGATCCACACGGCCGACATCTCCGAAATCCCCAAGTGCAACTGCAAGCCCACGGACGAGAGCCCCTGCGGCATCGACTCGGAGTGCCTGAACCGGATGCTCATGTTCGAGTGCCACCCGCAGGTGTGCCCGGCGGGCGAGTCCTGCCAGAACCAGTGCTTCAGCAAGCGCCAGTACCCCGAGACCAAGGTCATCAGGACGGACGGCAAAGGCTGGGGCCTGGTGGCCAAGAGAGACATCCGCAAGGTCAGCTGGCCGCCCGGGGTCGCCGGTGCCCCTGCACATGTGGAAAGCAGTGTTTGACCCCGTCTGAGCCACCGCGGCTGCGGAGCCCCACCTGACAGCCACCTGTCAGAGCCAAGCTCATACATTCCCGCCTTCAGTTGGGATTTGGGTGGTTGCTCTGGGGAAACCAGAGTGGGGAGGCCACGCACTCGTCTGTGAGCAGCCTGGGGGTGGCCCCCGCCCACTGAGTCGGCGCACCCCTCTGCCCCCAGGGGGAGTTTGTGAACGAGTACGTGGGCGAGTTGATCGACGAGGAGGAGTGCATGGCCAGGATCAGGCGCGCCCACGAGAACGACATCACTCACTTCTACATGCTCACCATCGACAAGGTAACGCCCACCGCCGAGAGCCCACCTGGGGCCCGTGGGCGCCGGAGGGAGGCGCTGGCAGGGGCGCTGCCGGCACGGGCGAGGCCTGAGGTCAGTCCTTGCCTGTGGACCGAGATCAGCAGACAGATCAGAGGTCTGCGGGGGGTCAGCGTGCCCGGAAGAGGGTGGGTGAGGCTGTGCGTCTGCAGGTGAGGCAGCGGGAGGCGCGCGGGGGTGCGTTCGGGCCTGGCCGCGGGCCCTGCCGCGGCGACTCCTTTCACAATCACTGCCACCCCAAGAGAACAGACTGACGCCCCCTGCTGTTCCCTCCCTTTGGGGGAGGTGGGGGAGGCTATTTCATTAGAAACTGAACCCCCCACCAAAAAAGAAAAACAGTAGCAGGGGGAAACCTAACCAGGTTTCTGAGGTAAATTGAAACTACCGTGTTTTGCCTTGTATACTGTGCATCCACATGTTTGGCCCAAACTTTCAGGAAAAAATCTTTTAATTTTATAGCTCACTTAGAACAGAGTTATCCTTTAACTGCGTAAGTGAAAGAACTGGAGATGTTTACGTAGATGTGGTCGGCACCGCTCACGCAGGGACGTTCACCCTTATTCTTCCCTCAAAAATTGGGGCAAATCACGCACTGCACACGGGACACACAGGCAGCCCCGCGGGGCACGTGCTCCGGGCGCCTGGTCAGCGTGCAGGCAGCGCCGCGGCCCCGAGAGGCGGGGCGAGCAGTCGGACGTGCACAGGGAGCGGCCCAGGCGGGCGTCCCCACATGCACAGCCGGGGGCAGAGCCTTCAGGCAAAGGTCTGGGTGTTGGCGAGAACTGGAGACAGCGAGACAAGTCTGGCGGAAAACGCCGAGTGAGCCCACTGCAGGGGGCCCTGCCCCGAGGGGCCTGCACAGCCCGAGGGAACAGAGGACGTCGGGCACCCAGGGGCCTGGGAAGGGGGCGTCTGTGGAAGAAGCTGCTGGAGCAGAGGCTGAGCCGAGGACCCGCAGTGCCCCGAGGCAGAGACTGAGGGGGCCGGAGGGGCACCACATGTGCTTCTGGTCCAGAGGTGAAGCCCGGTGCGGGCGTGTGTGCCTGTTCCCAGACGGCCGGCCGCTGTCGTCTCAGTCAGCCCTGCCAGACAGCCCCGAAGCCCGTGCGGAGCCGGTGGCAGAGCCGGCCCTGAGGACAGCTGCCTGCCTGAGGCCGAGACCGTGCCTCCCACGGACTGAGCGCTGGACGGTGTGGGAGGGGTGTCGCCACGTAGGGCGGGGAGGCTGCACTGCCCAGAGCTGGCGAAACAGCCTGCGAAACCACGAAACTGCAGAGTGAGGACGGTCTCGACACTCAGGACGCACAGAAACACCACCGGGCGCCCCACTGGGGAAGAGCTGGAGAGAGCAATCGGGCGTCTCTGAGTCCGAGAGGCGTGGCAGGGACACATTTGTGCAGATGCCCCACTGAGCAGAGGGCCTCCTCTGTCATGGCCTCAGCAGTCACGGGTGGAGGCAGGCCGGTGTCCTCCACATGGGCAGTGTCGGCTCCGAAGAGCACAGCCTCCATGCCAGGGCGTGTGTGAGCGTGTGTGTGGGTGGCTGAACCAGCCCACACAGCCAGGAGCCTGTAGGTGCCGTGAGCTTCACGCTTATTTGTCCTTATCGCAGACGTGACTTTGCGTCCACTCACAACTGCCCCAGAGCAGGCACCTTTGCGCAGGCTCTGGCCCAGCCCCTTTTCCTTGCGGCTGGGCGGAGCATCCCTTTGGCTGTTGCCGCAGTTGATGCGGGGGCCCTGGTGCCCAGGCCCCTTCATCCCAGCAGGCGGGCACCCAGCTTGCTCCCTCCACACTGTTCCTGCCAGGCCTCTGGCCGCGGGACAGACCCTGTCTTGGTGGGAGGTCGGAGCCCGGGGCCCTGGTCGCACGTCCTCAGCGGCTCTCGAGTGCAGGCGCCTGCCTGCCTTCCTGCCTGGCCAGCCAGGCTCACACTGTGTGAGCCCTGTCTGTGCCGGTCTTGTCCCTGGGCGGGGCTTATCCTCCGTGAGTGTGCGTGGGTGTGCTGTCCGGGTCCTGGCTCCCTGGTCTGCCCCCCGGCGGGTGGTGAGGGCTCCCACCCCAGGCTCCCGAGGGCTCGGTCTTGTCCCTGTGGCCCCGACCTGCCCTCCACGAGCAACAGAAACTGGACTGGATTGGGGGTTTCCTGTCTCAGTGGACACAGGACACCACAGTTTCCGGTGCGACACGGGTTGCCCAGCATACGTTGTGGTTGCAAAGGCCCTTTTAAATGAGCCGTGTGGCCGAGAGTGGGCCGGGAGTCCGTGCTACTTGAAACCCAAGCTGTGCCTTCCAGGACCGCATAATCGACGCCGGCCCCAAAGGCAACTACTCCCGGTTCATGAACCACAGCTGCCAGCCCAACTGCGAGACCCTCAAGTGGACGGTGAACGGCGACACCCGGGTGGGTCTCTTCGCCGTGTGTGACATCCCTGCAGGTACCAGCTCCGCCCAGGGCAGTAGGAGGGAGGCTCTGGGGGCGGGTGGGGCGGTGGCAGCTGCGCTGTCTGGAGCGCCTGCTTTCTGAAGCGCACGGTCCTGGGTGTCCCCACCTGGCATGTCTGCTCTTCCCAGGGACGGAGCTGACTTTCAACTACAACCTCGACTGCCTGGGCAACGAGAAGACCGTGTGCCGCTGCGGGGCCCCCAACTGCAGCGGGTTCCTCGGGGACCGGCCCAAGGTGAGGCCCCGCCCCTCAGGCGCCGCCTGGCTCCGGCCGTGTTGGTCGGCGGCCAGGACAGACAGGGCTCGGTCCCAGCCATCAGTGACCAGTGGAGTCCCCTGTGGGTTCGGTGTCCCGGGGCTGCCTGGGAGGTCCCGGAAGTTTAATCTCTAACAGTCCGAGGGCCAGAAGCCCGCGATCCGTGTGGTCAGGGCCACACCCAGGCTCCTGGGAGGGTCTGTGTGACTCTGCAGCTTCAGGGGCCATCGGCGGGCCGTGGCCTCGCCCGCGTCTGCTGCTTCTCGCAACGACCCCCGTCCGGCTGGGCCCATGGCCCCTGCTGTGGTGTGACTGCCCCCGACTCAGGCACCCCCACAGGGTCTGCCCGCCAGTGAGGCTGCACTCCAACGCTGTGGGAAGGACATGAGTCTGGGGGGCGTGGGCAGCCGCCTTGGGGACCACTGTTCCTCTCACCCTCCCGTGCTCACCGCGACCTCTTGACCTCTCAAGGGTGGGAGCCCCGGTGTCCTCGGCCCATGTGCCTACCAGCAGGTCGGGGCGCCGAGGGTCTCTGGGCGCCGAGGGTCTCTGGGCTGCCGGGAGGGGTGTGTGCCTGGTTTGCTTTCTGGGTTCGACTGTCTGTGTCCCCCCCTCCATGAAGGAGCCGCCCTGAAGGCACGCCCTCTGCCGTCTCGTGTGGGGACCCCTGCTCTTCCGCCACCAGCGCTCCACAGGTGCCCACGTTGCTAAAGAAGCGTGGCTCCGCCCATGCCGTTCTTTCCTGTGACCCGGGCTTCACTCTCCATTCCAGACCTCGACGGTGCTCGCTTCAGAGGAAAAGGGCAAGAAGACCAAGAAGAAAAGCCGGAGGCGCCGGACCCGCGGCGAAGGGAAGAAGGCGTCGGAGGACGAGTGCTTTCGCTGCGGCGACGGGGGCCAACTGGTGCTGTGTGACCACAAGGCCTGCGCCAAGGCCTACCACCTGGCCTGCCTGGGCCTGCGCAAGCGGCCCTTCGGTGCGTCCCGGCCTCGGGGGGCATGCATGTCCTGGGGGGGTGGGGGCACCGTGGGGAAGGAGGACTGTGACCTCAGGGGGAGGGCTTTTGGGTGCAAAGATGGGAGAACGGAGGGAAAGGGAACGTCAGACGTGGCGGTGAGACAAATGCACGTTTGGACAGTGGCGGGTGACAGCCAGGTGAACAGGCAGACGTCCCAGAGAGGGGTCTGCGGGCTCACGGAGCCCTCCCCCACCTGACGCAGGGCCCTTAGGGGTCAACACAGACGCCTGAGTCCATCTGGCCTGGTGCCCTTGGCGGGTGGGCGGAAGGGCCCCGACCCGGCCTCTGTCGCTGACCCGCCCATCTCCGTGCAGGGAAGTGGGTGTGCCCGTGGCACCACTGCGACGTGTGCGGCAAACCTTCCACCTTGTTCTGCCACTTCTGCCCCAATTCGTTCTGCAAGGAGCACCAGGACGGGACAGCATTCAGCGCCACCCAGGATGGGCGGCCCCGCTGCAGTGAGCACGATCCGGGCACAGAGTCTGTTGCCCGCGCCCAGGCCGCGCAGCCCTGCCCTGAGCCTGTGAAGCCCAAGGGGAAGAGGAGGCGGAGGCGGTGCTGGCGGAGGGTCACGGAAGGCAAATAGCTCTGGGGGGGGGGTCCTGATCAGGTGTGGGGGGGCACCGGCAGGTGGGCGGGCCTGGCGGGGCCCAGGGCACCTCCGCAGGGACAGGGACAGTGACCGCCTCTCATCCTCCCTGGGAGGGAGCGCCCGCCACCACTGAGCCACCAGCAGCGCCGCTGCCTCTGCACTGAGCGCCCCCGAGCCGCGCACTTGGGGTGGGGGACCACGCCTGTGACACCGCGTTGGGGCTACACTTGAATTGCGGGGCGTGTTGAGGGTCTCACCCCGACTTTTAGGTTCCAGTTATGATTGAAATTAATTGGCACATGAAATGTTTTTATCTTGCCTGAAGCAGGTAGAGTAGTTTGTTCTCTTAACGAGGCTCCTGGGCCCGCTTCCCTGCCGTCCTCACTCAGGAGGGGCCTGGCCGGCTCGCTGCGGGGAGGGGCTCAGACCCTGAGTCCCTTAGAAACCATCATTTTGATCATTATTTTTGCTTTTGTGAAACAGCTGTATTTTTTGTACTAATGTGAAATTTTTCCTCAAAACGCTCCTTTTTCGTCGTAGTGAGAAGCTGTCCCAGCAGTGGGGGCAGTGGTAGTAGCTTTAAGATATTCTGAGTCGTTTCCTCTCCGTAGATTTGAACTAGGAGCCGCCTCCGGGCCTGCCTGTCCGGCGCAGGCCCCTCCTCAGGGGCCGCTCCCCCCGCATGGGGTTCTGGCCAACACGTGGGAAAAGACTGTGTACTTTTTCCTTTGACTTTTCTTTCGTGGTTTCTTGATTTATTCTCAATATATTTTTGCTAAGCGTGTTTCACTACCACCATTGATTGAGCTGTGTATTTACTGATGCGCCCGAGTCCCCCCACAGACAGTGGGCTCGGCGGGGGTGCGGCCCGCAGGCGTTGGCCCGGGCGCCGGCACAGGGGGCTCTCCAGCGCTGGGGAGAGACCTGAAGGGCGGAACCGGCGCCGAGCTGCCGTCCACTTCCTCACACCGCGTGGGTGTGTCCGTGGAGGTCAGGTGCGCGGGCAGACCTGCTCGGCCAGGGCAACACCTGCCCAGAAGGCCCCAGGAGACCCCCAGGGGGCGAGTAACTTCTGGTTTTCCGTGGAAGACGTGGTTCTTCTTTCCCAGGGTCCCTCTTGACCCCGGGAAGTTCAGAGCTCCCTGAAAAGGGGAGGGCACCCCGCTGGCACCCACGTGTGCTGAGGCCTGCCTGTCCCCATGTACAAGGGGGGGCAACCAGCCACAGACTCCGACCTTTTCAGCTTAAAGCACCACGAGGACGTGTGTCCTGCAGAAGGGCCCACACAGCTGCCCGAGGTCCCCGCTCGTCTCCCGTGGGCTGTGGGGCCTCGGACGGCAGGACAGCTGCGGCCCCAGCCCTCTTCCCCACGGGTCTGTGGGGTTTTGACATGGGCTGGCACGGGGGTCTGCCAGGGAATGAGCCGGTGCAGACCCCCCCCCCCCCGAGCACTGACTGGCCACCCGTATGGCCCTTCTCCCACGACCCTGGACAGCACACGTGGAACCAGAAGGGAGAACCAGGAGCTGTCACTTTCTGACCACTGCCGAGCGTGGCCTAGTCGGCCTGGAAATGCGCTTGCCTGAGGGGACAGTTATCTTGGGGGAGCACTGGCCTGCCATGTAGACACCCACTCCTCGCGGGCCCCACAGCCCGCATTTGAGATGTGGGCACAGGTGCTGTAGGTGGGCCCCCGCAGGCCGTGGTCCACGTTCTTTTTTTAAGAGCAAAACATCAACATGTGGTTGCCTCTCCCATACTCACCTCTGGGGACCTGGCCTTCAACCCAGGCATGTGCCCTGACTGGGAACTGAACCAGAGACTTTGGCTCACAGGCCCGCACTTAAGCCACTGAGTCACACCAGCCAGGGCTCACATGCGTCCTTCCGAACCAGCTGAGGGACGTCTGTGCTAGTCAAACCATCAGAATTTGTTTTGCAGTGCACTTTGGGGAGCAGATTAACTTATTTTTGTATTTGACAGTAGTGAAATCTTGCGATTTTTGTCACTTTGACATTTCCAAATTTTAAATGAGCTTTCTGAAAGGATATAGTAGAAAAAACATTTTCAACAGAGTTGCTCTTTCCAAACACCATTAATGAGCAAATAACACTAACTTTGAAAAAGTTACTTTAGGAAACCAGTTTATGACTCTTGAGCTGCACCAAGCTTTTGGAGGAGCAGCCGAGTGTGAAGGGCCTCACCACCGGCTTGTGTGTGTGTGTGGGTGTTCAGCCTCTTGAACCTCAGCTTCAGTCCATGGTCATTAATGTGAAGCAAAAACAAAACAAAAACCGCCCCAAACCTCAGGGTTCCCTGGGCTCAGGAGCCTGTGCCCATGTGTGGTCACACCTGCAGTGCCCTGACCAGGGAAGGTGGGCGTGGTCTGCGGCACAGAGGCAGCCTTTGGCTGCTGTGGGGGAGCCGGCCCGGCACCAGCAAGGCCCGTATGTACTCGCTTGGAGGACCCGCCCTCATTCTTGGCCCCACCCCCACTCAGGTCCGTGCCTCTGATGCCCGCAAAGTATTTCTCTCAGTGGCCGCTGTCCGTCTCTCCAACTGCCTCTTCTCAGTTGGAGGCGACTGGCCCCGTCTGACTGGGAGTTAATGTGAGCAACTGCCCGTGGCCAGTCCGGTCCCCCACGGCCAGTCCAGTCTCCCACACGTGTGCTGGTGAATGCGAGTGCACTGTGTCCACCACACCCTGCCAGAAACTAGCCGTGGACATCCACCTGCCAGCTGGCGCCTGAACTTCATGCACCAGGAGGGCAGGCCCCTTTTAGGGAGACTGGGTGCCACTCCCAGTTGCAACAGACTCGGAAGCGTGAAGCTCACTTCTGGGGGGGAAATGTGCGGAAGTGCCGATCTGGAAGTCACCTGTGCTGGGGGGAAATAGCATTTCCAGTGGGACATTGTTTGGAAAATCGTGTATTTTTATATTAAAACATTTTTAAAGGCTCCTTCCTCACACTTGGTTTATGTGGGATTGCGTTGCCGGTGCTGGGCTTCCTCCCAGTTACCGAGCCGCCTGTCACTGCGTGCCTGACGCCTGCGCGCAGGTGCGGGAGGGCTCCCGCCCGTGGGGGCCACTCTGCCCTGGACCTGGCTGGGAGTGGGCACTGGCCCCGGAAGTGGTGCCGAGTGCTGGACACAGTGAGTGCAGCTCTGATTTTGGAAAACTGTCTTTTAATTTTAAAAATACGTCGGTTCCAAATCCCCATTAAAGGTGAAGTGGTCAGGAGGGAGGTGCTGCAGCCTCCGCCCCCACCCCAGGCACGCGCTGGCCTGAGACACGGCTCAGGGGCGCCCTCCGCGGTGGAGGCCCGCTCGCCAGCGCTCACCACGACCCAAAAGGCAAACGGAGGCCTGCAGCAGGGGGTGGGGCTCAGCGCGGGCAGCTGTTCTCAGCCCTACGGGCGGTTTTTGGTCCCCTTGGCCTCGTGGGTGGGGAGAGCCCCTCCCCATGGCCAGCGGAATTTAAGAAAAATCAAAAAGGTAAAAGTCTAACAGGCAGAGCTGTCACTAAAACTAGGAAGTTGTAACTTTTTTGGTTAACTTTAACATTCAAAAGTGTAATATTGAATCCAAAAAAGTGTCTTAGATCACACAAAAAGTAACCCATATTAAAATTTAAAAACAACACCCCGGAGAACTGAATCTAAAGTGTGAGCAGCCTGCAGCACGGCAGGGCACCAGAGGCCAGACCCTCGGTGACACCGCAGCGCCACCATCCCTCGAGCCGGCGTCAGGCCCGCAGAGGTGGGTGGCAGCTCCTAAGACACATTGGCCATGGGCTTGTACTTCTTGAACCGCGTCCACTGGCCCGTGGCGTAGTTCATCTCGAACACAGTGTCCACCAGCATGGTGGTGCTGCCCTGGCCATCCGCCTTCGGCAGGTCCTCGGTGTGCTCGCTGAGCTTGATCTGGATCACGTCGCCCTGCTCCTGGCACGGGTTCTCTGTGGAGGGTGCGGGCTCTGGGCGGGGGCGTGGCCACGTGGCCTGGCCCCTCCCTGCAGGGCCCCGCCCTACCCTGCCCCACCCAGGCCGGCCAAACAGACCCACCTCGGGAGCCAGCCATGAAGCCCAGGATGAGGGCCTTCTCGGGCCGCGTGACCTTGTTGGCCGTCTTGAACATCTCCTGCGCGGCAAACATCTGCTCTCTCTGCAAAGTGCATCGAGGGGTGAAGGCCCGGGCCACCGACCCTCCCACCCCGCCAGTGTCCCCCCCTCTTGCAGGCCCAGGCCAGGCTCCCCGGGAACCTGGGCTGCAGGGGTAGAGGAGTGAGGCCACAGCACCTGCCGCGCCTGTGGCCTTCCAGGGCACACCTACCGTGAGGGACAGGTTCTTCTTGGGTTGTGGCTGGGCAGGGGGCTGGGCCTGTGGGGCCACCATGGCCACTGGCGGTGCCTGGGCAGCAGGGGTGGCGGCGGGGGGTGTGGTGGGCGTCAGGGGAGAGGCAGGCGCAGCAGGTGCAGGTGTGGGCGTGGCTGGGCTCAGGCTGCTGTTGTACATGGGCGCCCGCTGTTTGAACTGAGCCGGCAGGGCAGGGGCTGGGGTGCTGGGCTCCTCAGGGGGCCGGCTGGCCTGTAGGCTGGCTTCCCGGGAGGGTGGGGCTGTAGGCACAGCGGGGCTGGCTGAAGCTGGCAGGACCAGACATCCCACTCGGCTCTGTGCCAGGCCTCACCGTGCCCGGCCTGGAGGGGGCAGGCTCTGCCCCGCCCCCAGCCCCGATGCCAGCCACGCCCAACCCCAGCCGGCCCCACTAGCTTTTGCAGCCACTGGTCCCGAGACCTCGGCTCGAGTCTCTAGGCTCCCAGGAGGCCCAGAACCAGGCCAGGCCCCAGAGAGCCCCACCCGGGAGCCCCAGGTCTCAGGCATTTTCAGATGGGCAGACAAGACTGCCCAGGATATGGCCAGGTCTGCCCACCTTGGACCCCAAATCCTGGCAGAAAAAGCTGAGCCCCACCAAGTGGAAACCGCGGAGCGGGACCTGCCAGCTCAGTCCTCTCCAGACTCGAGGGCTGCGAGGGGACCGGTGGGCCCCGAGGTGCTGTCACCTTGGCCCCCCTTCTCATGCCCAACCCAGTCAGTGCCGTGCAGCTGGACACGGGGCTACTGCCTGTTGCCCCAGGAAGGGCAGAGCAGGGAAAACCGAGCTCATTTCTCAGCCTGTGCTCCCAGCAGGCACCGGCAGGGCTGGAGGACCACATGGGACCCTCCCAACACCCAAGGAAGCACTGGGTGGGGGCCCCTTGGGAAGGCCGCGGGCTGCCCAGCCACTCGCTCACCTGCTGGGGCCTCAGAGCTGGGGATGTAGGACGAGGCAGGGACCACGCTGGGTGTGGCGGGCAGGTAGCTTGTGGAGGGCAGCGCAGGCTCGCTGTTCAGAGCCCCGAGTTTCTGGAATATGGTGTGTGGAGAGGCCTGGGTCCCAGCGCTGCCCCCCTGGGGGCTGAGCACCTGGGCAATCCTGTGGAACGTACCTCCACACCCCCTACCCCAGGTGGGGAAGGGACCACTCCCGGCCACCAGGCCCCTGCCCGGCACAGCCCCCCAACCCTGGACCTTCCCGGGCAGAGGACAGCTCCTGTTTGGTTAAGGAGCCGCACACCAGCCATCTTTGAGGAAAGGAGGAAGCACAACCGCGTTTTTGTCGTCACACACGGGGCGGAAGGCAGGCGGGTGGGCACATTGAGACATGGCTCCAGCCACAAGCTGCTCACATGGCCCCGTGTGGGGGCCACGGCCAGCTGCCGCACGCGGGAGCATGTGCGCACACACACACACGTGCATACACGTCCTTTGACAATACCCTCTGGTGGCTGAGAATTGGGATGAGAGGGAGGAGCCACAGCTGCACCGAGGCCCTACCTGCGTGGACACCAGGCCAGCCGCGTAGTCGGGGGTGGCATTCTCAATGACCGTCTCCTCCTTGGCTGGCTTTTCCACCACCTCTGTATCTGCTGACAGAGCCCGGTCAGTGCCCCTGGAGGCCCCCTCAAGTGGGCTCAGCGAGCCAGTCCCGAAGCCTGCCCTTCCCACCCAGCTGCAGGCAGAGAGAACGGGCCCAGGGGAAGGGCTGCGACCCGCAGCTCCCGCCCGAGACGCATGCTCGTGCAGAGGGAGCCAGAGCAGGGGAGGGCAGCCCCGCGGACCCCGCCAGGAGCCCGGCACCCACCCAGCGTCTTCCTCCTCCTCTTTGCCTCTCGGCCGGCACCAACCATGTCCAGTTCAGAAATGTCCAGCAGCTGCCAAGACAGACAGAAGCCCACCCTTAACTGTAACATGAGGTGCGCTGAGACCCGCTGTGCGGGGGCTGCAGACAGCAAAGAGGACGTGCCCACCTTCACGCCCCTCTCCTTCCGCAGAGGCGTCCTCGAGGGTGGGACAGGAGTCCGGTTCCCAGCAGGGCTGAAGACGCTGGGTGTGGTGGGGCTCCGGAAGGGCGCCTGCTTTGGGATGCCTTTGAGTGGGGCTGGAACGGGACAGCACCCGTCAGTGGGCGATGGGACAGCACCCGTCAGTGGGCGACAGCAGCAGAGAGGGCCGGTCTCCGGCCACAGGTGTCCTCAGGCTCTACCAGGCGCAGAGGCACCTCCGTGGGAGGCTCGCCGCCCCCTCACTGGCCCAGGAGGCCCTGGAGTCTGCTGGCTGCTGAGCACTGACCCCACAGACTTGCCGCATCTACTGGAGATGACACCCCTGGGTCACCTGCACCTGTCCTTAGGGAGTGAGGGCTGACCAATCCAGAACAAGGCCTTGGCAACCAATGGCATCACAGCCAACCCAAGACGTTTTTGCGGAAAAACACTGAACAAAAGCGCAGCCCAGCGGCATCTGCCCTGCTGCTCCGAACTATCAGCGAGTGGGCCTGCGCACGGTCAGCACCTCCCTCACTGCCCAGGCCTTGTCCACGCCTGTCAAGGGAAAGTCGCTGGACACACCAGGGACAGTTCCTCCTGAACACGGCCTGGCCCACCCCTGGGAGCCCCGCCTCGGAACTCAGCACGTGGGCCCTTACAGCCGGGCCGGCAGGGCCAAGGACGGACCCACTGCCACCCCTGCTCCCAGGGGGCGCCACAGAGGGACCACCCACACTTCTTGTGCCTCCATGGCCACAAGGGCAACAGCCTGCCGTGCAGTGAGAGCCAGGAACCACCCCTCACACAGTGACAAGTCAGCTGGTGCCCAGACACCAGGCCCCACTCGTAGGTCCAGAACTGTGGGCCTGTGTGTGGCAGACAATGAGCGGAGCAGGCCCGCCCACAGAGTGCGGCCTGAGGACTCCCTTGGGCTCCAGTGTGTCTCGCTCATCTGTGGCTCTCACGTGCCCCGTCTTCTCAGCTGTGTGCTGGGCCCTGGGCAGTGAGCACTGTGTGCAGGGGGCACATGGCGACAGGAAACAGGAGTATGGCCGTCCTTCCCTCTGGGCTCTTGGCCCGGGCCATCTGGAGGGAAGCTGCAGGGCACCCCGTTTTTTCAATTGCTTGGGTCGTGCGTCTGGGGCGCTGTGCTCCCGACCCCAAGGGAGGAGCAGACCCAGGAGGATGGGGTGGGGCCGCTGGCTCCTGGGCACCACCCTCACTTCCAGTCATCCTGCAAGTGGTGGCGGAGGGTGGCAGCAGGAGCACAGGCCCAGCCACTAGGGGGCAGCACCACAAAGGAACGTTCCGGCCTTGGCACCTGCTCGGGATGCGCTGCACTTGCTGGAACTTGTATGAATCACATGCCACGGAAGAAAACGCTTCACCGTTTGGCACTCGGTTTCAGCACTGGCCACGAGCTCCAGAACAAGCTGCTGACGAGCAAGGAGGTGCCTCTGTGCCGCCCTCGACCCTGGAAGTGGCCAGCCCTGTGCTCTGCCCTCGGCTCCCTCTGCTCGCCAGCAGCTCTGGAGGTCAGACCTCGAGTGCCTCTGCCCGTAAGGAAAAAACCTCTCATCTTTTAGGTCTGACCGGCCTAGCGGACCAGTAGCTCTGGGCCACATGCTGGCCCAGCAGCCAAAAAGCCCTGTGGTGCCGGGTGTGGCCCAGGGCTCACTCCATGAGGGGCACATGGCCTTACTTGTGGTGTCCATCTTGCGGAGCAGCCCCCGGCCCTTGGCGTGGAAGGGCACGCCCGCGCTCCTCTTCAGCTGCTGAGCAGTCTCGGTGGCTGTAAGGAGAGGGCGGTGGCTGTCAGTGCCCCAAAGGGACACCACGCCTCCGCTGCCCATGAGTCCAGCCCCGACCTGTCAGACACGCAGAGAGGTGTGTCCCTGCAGACACCTGGTCTGCCCTCTGAGTGAGCCCTCGCTCGCTCACTGGGGGTCCGTGGCGAGCTCGGACGCTACAGCCACGTGTTCTGCGCACAAAGTAGAGCTGTGGGTGGCGTGGCCTGGGATGCCAGGCGCTCTGACGGGGCCTCAAGGGCTCTGCATGGCCACACACCCTGTGTGAGGCCCAGTGGGTGTGGGCGGCCCTGGTGCTCTCCCGCGCAGGGGCAGAAGCACGAGGAAGGACGGGAGGGTGCTCGGGGGCAACGCTCAGGGAGGGACAGAGCCCAGAGCCGGTCTGGCCCTAGGACACTGCTGGGTTTACTCGGCAGGAAATGGCATTTTCGTGTTATTAACACCCATTCTACAGCCACGCACCATCAGCTCGCTGAAGTCTGATTGAAGGAGTCTCCCCCTGCTTCCCCTGGCACGTCCCTCCCACACAAGGTCCTGACACCACGATCCAAGAGCACATTAAATAAAGCCACCAGACGTCTTTAACGCCAGCCTGAGATCAAGACTAAGGTCAAGCTGCGGGAGCAGAGCCGGCCTTTGCAAGGCCGCCTGACTCTTTGCCTTTGTGACTTGGTACAAATTCAGTTTCGTAACAAAGGTTACAGACACTTTAACCAGAAAATTCTGAAGTTTGGAAAACAGGCTTTTAGATGTTCAGCATAGCAATAAAATTTCAAAAAACAAAAGAAAACCCTAAGAACTTTTTGTAGGACCTCCAATGTCTTCACCAGACAGCTTAGGTCCCATGAAACGGAACAGCACCCGAGGATGAAAGCGCCGGACGGCAGAAGCGCAGGGTGCGGCGCAGCCCCGCCCGCGGCGGCACTCACACTTCTGCAGCAGCTCCGCCCTCAGCGTGGCGCTCTTCGGCTTCCTCTTCAGCTGGAAGTGCTTCACCGGCGGGGTGAGCGGGCCGGCCAGGGTGGTCAGGGCGCTCTTATTCAGGTACCGGCACTCCAGTGGCAGCATGGCGGACGCCTCGCACTCGGTCACTGTCCGTTCGAGGAGCAGCGCATGGTCAAGGAGGCGCGTCTCCCTTTCTGAGCGCGCAGCGTGCTGCCTACAATCAGGGGGCAGGGACCCACGGGGGCGGCTCCGGGCGGGCAGCACCCAGGAAGCCAAACCACAGCTGAGGCAACGCCCCCTGCTGGCTCAACTCCCCGGCCAGGGCAGGGGCTCAGGAAGGCGCAGCGCAGCGCACCTGCGCAGGCTCTCAGACATTTGCAAATATTTTCTAAGTGGCTTTCGGTTCCCATTCTGAACGACTTAACTGCTGGAGCTGTCTGCGCGTGCACGGCTGCGCTACGTGACAGCCTGGACGGGCGGAGGGGGCGGGGCTGCACGGGGAGAGTGAGCAGAAACACGAGAAGTGCATGAAAAGTTTCAGAAAGACACGTGCGGGGGCAGGGACAGGGAGGCACGGGCGCACTGTGGTTCGAAAATCCTCTACCAGGTCCTAAAATTGGCCAGTCCCCAGTGTGATACCCTGAAAGCCAGAGTCTTTTCAGAAAAGATGATTTGCTCTTTGGAAGCCATTTCCCTCCTCCGTCACAAGCCAAACCCACACACGTACCCTTTTCTCTAAGTTCTCCTAAAATATCTTGAACGTTGGGATTCTGCTCCTCGAGATCAAGGTTGAGTGAGCCCGTGTCTGGAAAGGACTTGAGGATGTCGGCGACCATGAGCACCCAGGGGTCCGAGTCCAGGGTGGCCAGCTGGATGACCTCGGTCAGGGCACCTTTCATCTGCCCAGAGAGGAGAGCCACCAAAGTCCTGAGCAGGCCCCCCCACCCACCCACAGCCAGTCGCCCCTCCTCTGAGGGCTGTGCTGCCCCACTGGGGATGCAGAAAGGAGTGCAGCAGGAGGGTGCGGCCAAGAGCCTTTGTTTTTATTTTTATTTTTTAAGACTTTAATTATTTGCCCTGGCTGGTGTGCCTCGGTGGGTGAACGGGAAAAAGCTCTGCAGAGGGCAAGCACTTGGTCACCCAAGACCACAAGCTGTCTGACTGCATGTAGAAGGAAACTTCTAGAACAGCCAAGTCCACAGACCCAGGAAGTAGCCAAGTGGCTGCCCAGGGCCAATAGGTGTGGGGGAGCCTGCTAATTGGTACAGGGTTCATTTTTCAGTTGATGAAGATGCTCTAAAATTGACTAGGACGACATTAAACGGGTGAATTATACGGTACTTGAATTATATTTCAGTAGAGCTGTTAATGCTCACTCATGATTAAAATAGTTCTTAAAAAATCTAGAAATACAACAGAAGTTCCATAACCAGGCGCAAGGTGTCTCTCAGGGGACCGAAACCAGCAAACAACAAAACACTGAAGGTTCCCTCCGTGTGATCAGAGACCAGACAGCACACGGGGGCGGGGGACGCAGGAGACAGTGACAGAGAGGACACAGAAAAATAAAGATTCTGCAGCAAAATAATTACAATTAGTAACATTTCAGCACCGATGCTATTCACAAACTCATCTGAAAAGAAAATAAAAAATTCTTGCCCTGCCTGGTGTGGCTCAGTGGATTGAGCATCAGCCTGCGAAGCAAAGGGTCACGGTTCCCAGTCAGGGCACAGGCCTGGGCTGCAGACTGGGTCCCCAGTAGGGGGCGTGAGAGGCAACCACACATTGATGTTTCCCTCCCTCTTTCTCCCTCCCTTTCCCTCTCTAAAAATAAGTAGGTAAAATATTTTAGAAAAAAAATATTTTCCTTTTCTAAAATTCTAATGTGTTTATAACAGCATAAGAAAATGTGAAATATCTAGAAACTTGTCTAACAGAAGGTGGAAGGCCTCTATGGAGAAAATCATAAAACTTCATAATGAACATTAAAGATCTAAGTAGACAGGTACGCCTGTATCCACAGTTTATAAGATTCAATACTGAAGTGATTTCTCCCCAGAATGAACTATAAATTCAACTCGGCCTCAGTGAGCATCCCCCGGCTGCTTGTGGGTATGAGGGGTGCAGAGGCTCCTTCTGAAGGGGGTGGTAACCGGCACAGTCTGCAGCCCGCACTGAGGCACCAGGTGGCAGTACCAGGACCTAGTGGGCTCCTGGCACCTGATCTGTCTCAACAGCTGAGTGGAGCCCAGAAAGACAGCCATGGCCCCAGTGACAGTGCAGATCAGCAATCCCTTCGGAAGCATGGAAAGCATGGAAAGACAGTCGTCTCAGTAAATGGACTGTTGCCAGGCTGACGACACATCTGTTCGGACAGAACCAGACCCCAGCTCTGCACGGTTAGCCTCTCATTCTAGGTGGATGCCAGGGTGTGGGGCACGACCGCAAGCTCTGACCCCATGGTACAAGGCCCCCTGACCCCAAAGCAGCCACACTGCAGGGCACCTGTAACACATGCGACTTAGACAGGACTGCTACCCAGCCTCGATTTTTAAAAACTTCCTACAATGCAGCAGCAACAACAACATGAAAAAGAATCAGAAACAAAAGATCCAAATAGCCCTGGGTGGTGCAGCTCAGTGGATTGAGTGCAGGTTTGCAAACCAAAGCATAGCCGGTTTGATGCTTTGCCTGGGCACATGCCTGGGTTGCAGGCCATATCCCCAGTATGGGGGGTGCTAGAGACAACCATACATTGATGTTTCACTCCCTCTCTTTCTCCCTGCCTTCCCCATCTTTCCAAAGTAAGTTAATAAAATCTTAAAAAAAAAAAAAGATCCGAACAGACAATTCACAAAACAGTTCACTCAAACAGTGAATGAACAACACTCGAGGCTGCTGGGATGACATGGGAAGCAGGCATCTGGTGCTGACAGTTAATAAATCTTCAGCTCCCCCATCCCGCCCCCCAATTTCTGTAACTACAGGCTAGGAGGGCGTGAGGGAGACACTTCGGTGAGCGTTTCAAAACACACACACCCAGCCGTTCCGTGGCACACCGAAACCAATAGGACGAAACCAATGGGACGCTGTAGATCGGTTACACCCCAGTAGGAAACGGTGCAGGTGCTTTGGAAAACAAGATCCACGGAACGAAGTCGGGCGAGCTTGGGGGAGGAGTTTAATCTTTTAAACCACTTTGAAAAACAACCAGACATGAAGCCATCAGCCCCCTTCCACTGCCACAGATGGCGGAACCGAACGCCATGATGCTGACCAATGCAAGGCTCCTGGCAGCAGGGGCCAGCCGGCTCGGGTGTCCGCGCGACAACGCGGCGGCGAGATCAGGGAGCGGGTAAGCTCCCACGCCGCACGCACATGCGATGCACACACACGCACGCCCACGATGCGCACAGCCGCGCGCGCACAGTGCTCAGACCAGGCACCACCGGTGCAGCGGCGGGCTGCCTGCGCCGTTTATAAGATTACACAGAAAGGCGCGTGGCGGGGGGGGGGGGGGGGCGTGGGGTGGCGGGAAAGCTGGGACCCGCAGGCAGGGCGGCCGCCATCGCAGCGAGCGGGTCCCAGGGCCTCGCTGGCGCCGATGCGGACGTCACAACTCACAACACAAACAGTTGTGAACGACTACTCCATGGTCGCGATCGCAGCGTAGCTGGGGAGCCTCCACCAACAGTGGCCCCAAAACTCTGACGAACGACCGTTCACTTCGCCCGAAAACAGCACAACGCACCGCTGGAGAAACACACTGACGGCCCCACCCACGAGCCGGACGCAGGCGTGCGGAGAGGACCGGAGGGACGCGGGGGCCTGCACGTGCTGCGCTGGCGCGGCCGCTGGGAAGTCCCGCGGAGCCTGAGGCTCGGCTGGGCTCGGCAATGCACGGCCCGGCCCCCCACGCCGGACCCAGACGAACCTCGGCTCGCCCCCGCGAACCCGGGGCAAGCAGGTGCCCGCGTCTATCCTCGCCGCCTGGAGCCCCACCCCCACAGCTGACGGGAGACGCCTCCCCTCCCCGAGTGGGGACCGGGTGGGAGCCGAGGGGCTGCGGGGTACTCCGGATCCGGGCTCAGTTACGGGAGGCCGTCCCCGCGCCGCGAACCGCCGCCGGCGCCTTACCTCGTCCACCGTGCGGCGCGGGAGGTGCAGCGTCCCGAGCAGCAGCTTGAGTTTCACGGCCGACGAGAGGCCGTGGAAGCAGAGGCGGATGTTGTCGATGACTGCGGGCGTGAGCAGGGACGCGATGCTGGGCGGCGCCCACAGCTCGTCCGTGGCCCCCAGCTTGTTGTGCAGCCACAGGCCCGTGTCGCTCTCCCGCATGGACGCCATCTTGAGGGGGAAAAGCCGAGCGCCGCCGCCGAGCCGGCATCTTATGAAGACACCTACGCGCCCGCCGCGAGGACCCCCAACATGGCGGCACCCGCCTAGGCGTCCACGGGCACGTTGTGACGGGGCGGGGCCTCGGCTACGTGCCGTAACGTAACATGGCGACGTCCACGGCCGGCTCTAGCGACCGCTGCGGGATGTGACTGGAGGGGCCGTGGAGCCTTTAGGCTAGTGAGCGCGCCGGCGGGCGGGGTCTTGGCGGGGTCCGGGCGCCAAACGGCGGCGCCCCTGGAGAGCGTTTCAAGGTCAGAAAGACCCTAAGGGGCACCTCCGTCCACCGTTGCCAGGGAGGGTCGAGTTTTCTTCCCTTCCTTAACGCGCCGAGCCGGACAAAAATTCCAAACCTCACGAGCTAATTTGGGTCACGTCTAAAGGCCGACCCGGAAGCAGAACCTTAGGAGGGGGGTTGAGAAGTGCTCCAAAGAATGGCAGGTGTGTAGTTTTCTTCGCGCCTTTAGTGTCCAAGAAGAGAACTAGGGATAACGGGAAGTCCCTCGGTGGTAGACTGGGCGCGGGAGCAGGCAAAGCGGGAAATCCCGCGTCTGGAGGCAGGGAGGCCACGCCAACTTCTCCCGCTCGCGGGGATGGGTCGCGGTGCCTGCGGGGTCCGGAAGAGGACGGCACTCCCACGGTCGGAAGTACGGGGTGCCGCGCGCCCCGGAACGAAGGGCCGGGGCTGTTGAGAGGACCACTCGGACGTTCGGGAGGTGCGTCCCTCCCTGTCCAGTGGTGGCAGGGCAGCAAGCTGGGGGCACGCTCAGCTCGGCCGCAGACCGGGGGGTGGGAGCTTGTTCACCACGCCACGGGCAGGCCGCCTCTCTGAGGTGGCGACGCTGCCGCTGAGGCTGGAAGAGGCCGTCGGTCCCAGGGAGCGCCTCCGAGGCCCGGGAGCGCCCTCCGCTCCGGGGAGCCTGCCTGCGCCAACACCCCCCCCCCCCGACCCGCAGCACACCCAGGGGCTCCGGCCGAGCTTGGAGGTGCCCGGGCTCGCCCGCCCTCACTGCGGGGGAGGCCCCACTTGGGTGCGGTCGTGTTGCGTCTGTTCTTCCGCCGTCGGTCCCGAAGCTCGCTTCAGCCCCCGACACCTCCCCCCCGTTCTGGCGTGTCTGGAGCGCGCCGGGTGCGTGTCCTGGGCAGACGCGGAGCGGACTGGCGCGGCTGCGCGCGTCTTCAGTGGCAGAGCAGGCAGTGCCGGCCCGTGTCCGCGGCACATTTGGGCTTCCACCCTCCTGGGTCAAACCCTCACCGGGTGCGCGCGGAGCGGACAGTCTGCGGGGGGGGGGGTGGCGGGGACCCTGTCTGCCCCGGGGCTGCCCCACCCTCACCACCGGGCCGCTGTTGAGTTTTCAGGGGTTTTACAGGCCTGTCAATTAAACAGCCATTATCAAGAATTAAATTTCACTGTACTCATTTTACTTCCTAATTCCTCACAAGGTATCTCCCTTCATTTCAGTGTCGCCCTCACCCTGGGCGTGACGCACAGCTGTGGTGACTGAGGGGTGGAGCTGCCGCACCGCTGGTCCTCAGGTGACCCAATGACTGTCCTTAGAAAAGGTGACAAAAGGAATCGCGCCCTGCTGGGCCTGTCTGCGCGGAGTGCACACGCGTCCCCCGTGTCTGCGTGCATTTACTGCGGGTCCTCGGCTTTCCCGCCACATCCACACCGCAGGCCTCTAAGGCAAAGTATTGTCCCTCTGTGAGTGTGGGTGTGGGCGGCCCTGATGGGTGGGAGCTGTCAGGATGGACTGGCTGCCCGGGGCCCTGAACTGGAATCTGCTGGTTGGAAAATAATGCTATTACCCCGGCTGGTGCGGCTCAGCCAACTGAGCGCCTGCCTGAGAACCACCGGGTCTCCAGTTCGACTCCCAGTCAGGGCACGTGCCTGGGTTGCAGGCCAGGTCCTGGGTTGGAGACATGCAAGAGGCAACCACACTTGGATGTTTCGCTTCCCCTCTCCCTCCCTTTTTCTGAAAATAAATAAAACTTAAAAAAAAATGATACTGTTTTCATTAATGTTTGTTAAACGTGGGTAGTGCCCTAGACCAGGAATCAGCCTTTGAATCACAGGTTTGGTGTTCAGCCACTGAGCTGCACCAGCCAGGGCGAGCTCATATTTATTTTAATGTTTAAATTAGAAGTGTTTTGGGTCTTTATTTAGAAGTTTGGTGATTTTTGTGTGTGACTGCAAGCATGCCATGGGAACATAACTCTTGTCCATATCCACTAGCCTAGGGTGGACCTGGGGTCCCCGTGTTGTTTTGTTTGAAGTCGGTCTCAAGAACCCACGGACAAGGCAAAGCAGGACTTCCAGGGAGCACACTGCTGCCTGACTGCTCCAGCTCCACTGTCCAGGGCCTCAGGCCTTGCACTTGAACTCAGCACTGCTGGGAGGACCGTCGCTGTGGGGGCTGGCAGAGGGCGTGATGTCTACTGACTGGCCAAACCCGACCCAGCCATAGAGGAAATGCCAGCAACGAACATCGGACTTAAAAGCCTGCTGTGTCTGTGGTCACTGCCGAGGGGACGACACACGCAGTTTCTCCAGATTCAGAAACGCCCACTGCCCGGTGCGGCTCTGCAGTCAGTGGTGCTGGGGCTAAAAGGAGTTTCAGCTGCCACAACCCAAGTTGTTCACAGACTCGGGCCGCAGCGTGGCGGTGTCCGGAGGGAAAAGGCGTGGTGAGCAGGATCGGGGAAAGGGGGCACGTGGCAGTGGGAAATGTGCCTGGGGGTGGTGAACACAGAACACAGCCGATGTGCTGTGTAATAGTGCTCCCGAAACCCACATAATTTTATGAACCAGGGTCACCCCAATAAATTAAAGAGAAAAAGGAAGGAGTAAATAAAATTGTTTGAGGGTGGGAAGTAGTCTCACACATGCTCACTTGTCAAATTCAACGGCAGCACAGCCCCTGGGAAAAGAGTGGAGTGGGAGGCACCTCCGCAGGTCAAGTCCCTGCTGTGTGGAGCCGGCAGTTGGCTGAGCAAGTCTGCAAACCGGGGCAGACACGGGCAGCAGCCCAGATGTTTGGGCCCTACACCCTGTTCGATTCGGGTCTGGGTCATCAGAAAAACTTCATTTAGCCACTGGCTTAACAAAGGGAAGACAGACCACTGGGAGGAGGTGTTTGCAACATTAAAACACCGGAGGGGTAACGTTTAGAGGAAACAAGGAGTGCCCGTTAAGTCAGAAAAAGAGGAAACAGATGGGCAAAGGGTAAAGTTGGGGGGGACCTGAAATCTGAGAAGCAAAGACCAGTCACCCGAAAACAAATAACATGATGCCTCACCACACCCATTAGATTGCAGTGTGAGAAGACCTAGTTTTTGTTTTAAATACTGGTGTCTGAGTGTCTGTGGGAAGGACTTTTCTTTCCCAGCTGAAGTGCCTTGGAGCCTTGGTTTCAGGTCCTGTCGGGTGTGGGGCTCTGTCCTGATGGTTCCAACCACCTGTCTTCACGCTGACACCACACTGCTTGATGCTGTGGCTTTGTAACCTACCGAAGTGATGTTGGCTATTTTAGGTCTTCTGCATATCTAGTATATTTTAGAATTATTTGTCAATTTCTAGAAAGAATTCGTGGACACAGAAGTTGTTCACAGTGTACCTTTGATCTTTTCGTAAGGTCCATGGGGTCTGTAGTGATGCCCCATCTTTTATTTCTGTTTTTAACAGCCACAATAGTTTGTTTACAATGGAACTATTCTTTTTAGAGATTTTATTTATTATTTTTAGAGGGGAGAAGGGAATGAAACATCACTGTGGATGTCTGTGGGGCACCCTGCACTGGGGACCTGGCCGCAAGCCAGGCTTGTGCCCTGACCGGAAATGAATCAGATACCCCTGGGTCACGGGCCGCAGCCAGTCCGCTGAGCTGCACCAACGGGGGCTGCACTCTGCGTCTACAAGACGACCAGTTTACACACCAGAAATTGTGTCAGAAGCAGGAGTCACAACGCAGACACAATACGGGACGCCCCCGCAGTTTGCGTGTGCTCTCTGCGTCGCTGCGCCTTAGCATCGGCGCTGTGGGAACTAGCGCCTGTCTTTCCTTTCCGACGTTAGTGACTTGCGGCCTTTCTCCTTTTGCCCCACGGAGGTGACTGACGTGCAACAGTACGTTCCTCCCAGCACGTCACTAAAACACTGGCAAGTGGGAACCTGGGCTACACTGCCCTGGGGCGGGGGCGGGGGGGGCGCCGTGTTGCCACACCCCGCGTCTCTGGCCTGGGAGCCCCACCCCTTCATTCTCAGCCGAGGCCGTGCTGTGGGGCTGGCTTTTTGTTTGAGGCTGGCGTGTGCAATGTGATGAGTTGCTGCGAGCGCCTTTCTCTGTGCATCTGCCAAGCTGGCCTGAGGCCTGTTGATTTTATGGATCTTTACCAAGAATCAGCTCTTGATTTCATTGATTTTTCTGTTGATTTCCTCTTTTCAGTTGTATTAATTTCTGCTCTAATTTTTATTATTTCTTTTCTTCTGCCTACTTTGAATTTAATTTGTTCTTGTTTTTCTCTCGTCTTGAAGTAGAAGAAGCTTCGATTATTGATTACAGATCTTTTCTAATAGATGCATTAAACATGTCCTCATGGTCTGTTGAGTTCGACCACGTCCTCGCTGACCTTCTGCCTGGTGGGTCTGTCCATTCTGATGGAGGAGTGTGGGCGTCTCCGACCATGATAGTGGGTGTTACAGAACAGGGACCAAGGAGGGTACGATATACTGTTACTTGAAGGACCCCCACTAGGTACACTTGTCCACCACCAGAGGAAAGGCGTGTCTCAATGCCAGAGGTTTGTGAAAAGGAAAGGAAATGTTTATTTATAGCTATACAGACTTAGAGTAGTGACCTAATGTCCTCACTAAAACATCGAAGTCCTTTAGGACACCCACAGATGCACACAGCGCTCCCTTCTCCCTCAGTCCTAAACTGGGCACCGTAGCTCAGGAAAAGAAGTCAATTCAGGCTCCCGACACCATCAGCTGTGTCGTCCGCCAGGATCGAGCTGCGTGGTTCTCCTTGGCAAAGCTTCGAGGGAGTCTCCACTCTGCCACAGCTGAGTGGTGATTCTCTGCTAAAGCTGCATGACCCTCTCCTGCCCCCTGGGGATTTGCCTTCACTTGACTGCAGGGGTCCCCACTCTGGCCAAAGCCATGTAGTTCTCCCCACAATGGCTACCGCATATCGGTAGAAACCCCCGGCCAGTCCTCTGCAGCCCCGTTTCCGACTCCGCCCACAATCAGCCACAGCTGCCGGCACTCCAGCATCCGTCCAGCTTTACTGGGCTGCCATAGTAAGTCCGGGCAGGTGTGGGCCCGTGGTGTGAAGCCAGTCATCGCCAAGCTCTCACGCATGCGCGCTGTAACCAGGGGGAGTAGCCAGGGGCCAGTTACATCTTGGGTGGAAGTCACTTCCATCCCCCACTCAAAGCATGGCCATAGCTACTTAACATATCTCTGCGGCCAGTGAAAGGTTACAGATGTGTTAAATGACCATGGCAGGGGTTAGCTGCAAAGCTGTTGCTATTCAAAACAGCTCTGCATGTTCCTGCTCCATGTGTCCCTTCCCCCAATTCACACCTGTGAGGGGAGGGGGTGAGGACATCCTTTATGTCTTTCTAATATTTCCTGGACAGCTGGAGTTCTGGACCCCATCCCAGACCCCTATTTGGGGCCCTCTGGGCTGCACCGTTCCATGGGGCTTCTGTCTCTGTTATTCTCGCCTTGCCATCCGTTTCGGCCGACTTTTAACACAGTGGTGCCCATCTCGTTTTGTGGGTGTTTGCACACTGCGCCTCTTCCCTGCTTTGTTGCCAATAAGTCTGTGCTGCACAAGGGCACAGGGCCTCACAGGCGACAGTGTGTAGTTGTGCTGGTTTCGCTTTTTTTAGGGTGCTGACTAGTTTTGTCTATTAACTGTGACATTTTGTTAGCATTGATTAAAAGTCAGTGGTGTGTCCGTTTCCTCCATTTGTATCTTTTGGTTTTCCTTTATTATTTTATCACGTGTATTAATTGAAGAGTCACTCACTCCGGGCTGTTCTTAGTGGTTTATCACAGTCTATACCATCTTCCACTTGAAACACCCACAACCTGGGACAAATTTGGAAGCAGAGCCCTGCGGGCTGCAGACCATAGGCAGTGCTGCACCTCCATCCTTGAGGGGGACCATCCGGCTGCCCCTCTGGAGCCCAGCCTGCCCCTGGAGGGTGCCTGGCTCAGGACTTGGAGGAGGAGGCCAGGCGGAGCTGGTGCACCCTGACTTGGAGACACAGAGCTCTGGGTCCGGCCGTGTGTCCCACACTCCCACCTCCAGGTCCCCTGCAGCGGCCCCTCTCTGTGCCCCGCCCCCTGGGCGGGCACTGCCGTCTGCTCACCTGGTCCCAGCAGTCCTGTGCTCACAGGTCTGTCTGGCAGACCCCACGCCCCCTCCAGGGCCTGGCCTCTGAGGGACACCACCCAGACCAGTGCACCCCTCCCACTGCCTCACCAGCAACAAAGAGGGCAGGCCCCCAGGAGATGCAGGGTCACTCTGCCCAGCTGCAACCACACATGGCGTCTGAAGAGCTGTCAGCTGTCGGGCGGCAGAGCCGCCCCGGGAACTCTGGGCACAACCAAGAGTTGGCGAGTTTGCTGAGGCGCACGGTCCCAAGGTGAGAGCTGAGGACACAACCCGAGTGCCATGTAAGGGCAGGTGGATAAGCAACCGCATCTGTCCACACAATGGATGTCACGCAGCCTTCAAAAGGAGGGGGTCCTGCTGTAGCCGCCACGTGGGTGGTCTGCAGGACATGGGCGGGTGGAGTTGCCAGGCACAGCGACCCCACTCGCGAGACGCTCAGAGGAGTAGGATCCTGGGGAGATGGGGGAGGTTGGGGGTCGGGCTGGGGCAGGCGGGGAGTTTGTCGGGGATGGAGTGCCAGTGTGGGGGGACAGAAAAACCCCACAGGTGAAGGCAGGGGTGGCTGCCCACACTGCGTGTCCCCTGCATGGCACATTTTAAATGCATGTGTGTATGTGACAATTTGAAAAAGGAGCTACAAGAAAAAGTCCTGGTTGTCCTACGGGCTGGAGGGGGAGCAGGAGGAGCCCAGCAAGGGCAGGTGGACGGGGGCAGTGGCCTGGGTCTGGGCTGCTGTAGGCCAGCCAGAGCCCCTGCCTGGACTGAGCTCCGTCTTGATGGGAGTAGGGGCACAGACCGAGGCTGGAGTCAGGTCAGCTCTGCACTCCTGATTCTGAGAAGCCTGTTCTTAGGGCGGGGACACATGTTCAGGGGACCTGGAGCTGCTGCCTGGTCTTCACAGCCGTGGCCACCTAGTATGGGGTGCAGTGGAGGAGGGGCCCAAGTACAGGACCCTGGAAAGGGGACAGGAGAGGTGAGGGGCAATCGCTGCCTAGCAGTGCCTGCCCGCAGGGGCAGGGCTGGAGTCGGAAGTGGGCCTAGGAGGCGAGGACTGTTTCCTGGACGCTATGGGCAGTTAGGGGCAGCGCAGGAACAGGAGTGGGCTCTGGGGAGAAAAGGGGGGACAACTGCGAGAAGAGGTGCTGGGGGTGGGGCAAGCAGGAGGCAGTGCACTGCATCTGGGCAGAGCCGAGCTCCGGAGTCCGCGGGCTCCCTTTGAGCACGTGGGCGCGGCCCCGCGTGTGGCGCCCTGGGGCGCAGGACCCCCCAGGCGGGGCTGCACCAAGACCCTGTCCCCAGAGCCCGGGATGGGGTTCTCGGCCCCGCGAACGCCCCACGGGCAGGAGCAGAGTGGATGCCACGAGCCGGGCCTTTGCCTTTGGTCAGAGAACATATGAGCGTCTCCATCCCGTGCCTGGGAGACAACTGACAGGAGGCCCGCGGGTGGAGCAGCCCCACCTGGCTCAGCAGGACGTGGGCCTGGGCTCCTTCCCTGGAGTCACGGCTTCTGCGCCCCTGCTGGGCTGTGTAGAGGCCGGTGGATGCCAACTGGGTCCCCGGTTCTCAGAGTGACGGGTCTCCTCGCACTCACGCGTCTGAAACGGGCCTGAAACACGCGCGCATCGGGTGTTAGCGGAGGCCACACGCGGCTCTCAACAACCGTGTGCGTTCACAGGGGAGAAAAGAGCACAGAGAGGCCTGGCGACTGCTCTGAGGTCACACAGTAGGGGGAACCGCGAAGGTGGGGGAAGGAGAGTAGCAAATACGGGGACGCGGAAATGTGGGCAGAGGGGTTGGAGGCGAGTCCGAACGCAATGAGGGCCGGAGAAGGTGGGCCCGCCCTGCCCACCAGCCTGGGTCGCTCCTGGACCGGACCTCCCGGGGTAATCAAGCCGATTGGATTCACCTACCCGGGGGGAGCAGCGGTGCACCTTTGCGTTCACTGTCCCCGGCCTTTCGCGTGCGCCCAGCTCTTACCTCCAGATCCGCCCCAGGGACTCCTCAGCTCCTGCAAAGCTCCAGCCGCAGATTCCCGAGTCCTCAGCTTTGCTCCCTCCGGCAATGGCTCTGAAGGTTCCGCCCAGACACCGCCTCCTCCAGGCTGCCGTCCTTCATCCCGTGGGCCGGACGGTGTTCGGGACAGGGGTTGTGCTCCAGGGTCCCTTTAAACCACAGTTCACACAGTCTGAGTTTCCATGACGACGACGTCGGAAGGGAACCGGTCAGGGTCCAGTAAGAGCGCATGCGCGGTGCGCGGCGAACGCAGCAGGTCTGACCAAGCCGCCGGCGCTGCTTTCGCGGGTCCCTGAGCCGCGGTAAGGACAGGGTTGGGTCGCGGTGGGGCGTCGCTGGGCCGTGGGGCGCGGTGGGGTGTAAGGGCGGGGGTTACGGGCTAGTGTTCACGGGGTGATGGGTCGCGGGGTGGAGGTGGAGGGCGGGCGCGCTGATCCACCAGTGCTCGCTGCAGGGCGGCCGGCTCTCTCCACTTGGCCATGGCCCCGCCGTCGCTGTGCAGACCCCCGAGGCCGTGGCTGCTGCTGCTGCTGCTGCTGAACGTGGCGCTGCTGGGAGCCCAAGCCCGCGCCGAGCCCGCCACCGGTAGCTCCATCCCTGCGCAGAGTAGGTGTTGCGCGAGGTCCCCGCCCCGCCCCTCCCGGCCTGCGGGAGGCCGCGCCTCGCCTTTGTTCCTGGCAGTCCCCGCGCCCCGCCCGCAGCACGGCTCCTCCGCCGCCCTTTCGGTGGAGGATGGGGGGTGGGGGAGGGGGGCAGGGCTGGGGCGCCCCCGCCTGACCCAAGTCCCTGCAGGCCGCCCGTGCGTGGACTGTCACGCGTTCGAGTTCATGCAGCGCGCCCTGCAGGATCTGAGGAAGACGGCATACAGCTTGGACACGCGGGTGAGGGGCCCGCAGAGGCCGTGGGTCTGCGTCCCCAGTCTCCCCACCCTGCTCTTGGCGCAGCGCCCTCTTCTGGCCCCGATTGTCCCCGGGCGTTCTGGGCGCTCCTCTCACCTGGGCCTGGGCACCTCCTCAGGCGCCCAGCACACTGGTTGCAGCCCCAGTTTAGGGGGGTGCAGGCTGTCCAGCAACCCCCCGAAGGCCTCACTGGGCACTTTTCCCTGCCCGCCCTCCCGAGCCAGACCCTAAAGGAGAATACCCGTCTCAGTCCAGCCTTCCCCACGGGGCAGAGAGGAAACGTGGGGGCGGGAGTGCTGGGCATGGTAGGTGGGCTTGGGCAGGGTGGTCTGGGAGCGATGGGTGCCTGCATAGGCTGCCTCAGGACATCAGAGGTGACCCCCAAGTGTGGAGTGAACAGTGAGCCCCCAAAGCGGTCACTGTGCCTCAGCCAGGGAGTCTTTTTTTTAAGTTTATTGATTTGGGGGGAGAAAGAGATCGATTTGTTGTTCCTCTTACGGATGCACTCACTGGTCGGTTCCCGTATGTGCTCTGACTGGGGATCAAACCCGCAGCCTTGTTGCATCAGGAAGACACTCTAACCCATTGAACCACCTGGCCAGGGCTCAGCTGAAGAGTCTTTACTTCTGGGTGGGGAGTTCCCAGAAGTAGAAGAGAGGGGCGGCCCAAGCCTGGCCCCTTTTTCTGGCCAGGTCTGAAGTGCCCCAAGGTCTGAGAGCCGAGTTCAGGTCCAGAGCTGGGCCCCTGAGGGGAGCGGCCCTGCCCACCCTCGAAGATGGGAGCCTTAGAGGGTGGGGAGGGGCCGGCAGGGTTGGAGAAGCCAGAATAGTAATCCTGGTGGAGGGCCAGGGTGCCCAGGCAGGACTGGCAGGGAGGCAGAACCTGCGGGGACAGGAGAGTGGGGGACCCAGGCTGGGTGGGGCAGGAGGTCCCTGAAGTGAGTGGGCTGCAGGCGGGGTCAGGAGGGGCTCTGCAGGTGGGTTGTGGGTGCAGGTGGGTTGTGGGTGCAGGTGCAGGCTGCGCAGTGCCCTGAGCTTCCCTGTTCTCTGCAGACTGAGGCCCTCCTGCTGCAGGCCGAGCGTCGCGCCCTGTGTGCCTGCTGGCCCGCCGGCCGCTGAGGACCCTCGCTGGTGCTGTCCCCATCAATAAAGGCCCAGCTCGGCACGACTGTGTCCTCTTCCTCCTCTGCCCACCAGCGCCCACCCGCGTCGTCCCCAGAGTCCCTAGCAGACCCCTCTCCAGGCCTTGATTTCCCCAGCTGTTCCACGAGGGGTGAGCCCCTCTGGGCACATGTGCGGCCGCAGTGCCAATGTGGAGCGAGGACCTGCACACCTGGCCCCACTCCGGGGCCTGGACCCTGGACCCACGGGCACTGCTCTGTGGCTGGTGGGCCTCCCAGGCCCCTGCTCCCTCACCTGCCTGCCGAGTTTCCAGGGCGGGGAACAACAGAGGAGGAGACGTGGTCCCTGCGGCAGCGGCCTCAGCGCTGAGCCCTCTGCACTGTGGTGGGGTTGGCTGTTCTGTGAGGCCCAGCCAGTGGAGCCCCAGCTGCCTGGGGAAGGAGGGCTCCTCCCAGGAGGGGTGCTGGGACCTTCCCCACAGCCTGCACCCGCCTGCTGAGTCCCTTCTGCAGCTGTGGCGTGATCCGTGTCCGCTCAGGTGCCCTGCAGGCCCCTCGGGACTTGCCCTGCTGTCCCCACCCCCACTGGCTGCCCAGCCCCTCAACCGCTCTGTGCCCAGTGCTTTTGTGCCTGGAGGCACCGGGCAGCCCGGTGTCAGCACCTCTGTGAAGGAAGCAGGGTCCTACCGCAGTCCAGGCGGGGTCGAGCCAGGACCTGCAAATGCCACAGCAGGCCAGACACTGAAGCCAGGGCAGGTCCAGCGTGGTGGCCCTGAGGGCACCAGAGAGGAGCCGAGGGGCAGCTGAGGCGGCACCTGTGCGGGGCGCTCACACCTGAGGGGCTACCCTCGGTCCCCCTGGTGGGAGGGACGCTGCCTCGCAGCAGCGTTGTGGGCTGGGCCGTGGGGTTCAGCGAACACCAACACAGGCCCAGGGACACTCGCTAGTATGAGGCCAAAGAGCTTTCAGGGTGAGCGCTGTGAGCCCTGGCTCGGGGTGGGGTGGGGGGTTCTATTGACAGAAGAAATGGGGACAGTGGAGGGCACCCAACACAGCCTCGGGAGGCTGCTGTGTGTGGTCTGTGTAGTGACCGGCCCCACAGCTGAGGGGGACAGGAGGGGTTGGGACGTCCCGCTGGAGAGGGCCCCTCAGCAGTCTTGGGGGGTGTCCGCAAGCGAGGACACGCTGTGGTGTTTGAACAGGACGCTGGGCTGGGAGAGAGTGGACCCTGGGACAGAATGGGCCACGAGGGAGACACGGTCAGGCTCAGGGTCAGGGTCAGGCTGGGTGGGGGCAGCTGAAGGAGAAGCTGTGGTCGGTGAAAGGAGGGCCAGCAGGACCGGCCAGCAGGCAGGTTTGGGAGAAAGGGCAGGGAGACGGACTGGACAAGGGAGGACAGGTCCCAGCTGCGTGTGTTGGGTGGAGGACCGGATGGGACTGGAGTGGGAAGGTGGGGCTGGCTGGGACCCCTGAGGCCCGAGTGGACAGGGGGGGGGGGTGCGGAGGGCGGTGAGGGAGCCCAGCAGAGATGGGGCAGCCGGGGGGAGGGGGCGGGCAAGGCCACTGGAGGGAGGGGTGCTCGGTGCGTCCCCTGCTGCTGAGGTGGAGCAAGGCCCCACCGAACCCCTGCATTTGGTTGTCACCAGTGTTGGGTTGGGGGGCTCTGCTGGGGGGCAAAAGCTGACAGTGGCTCTGGCAAGTGGCCCAGGCCAAGAGCACCCAGGTTCTGTCCTGTGAGGAAACACGGGCACTAACTGCAGCCGTTACCTGGCGGGAGCCTTTCACGTCTCCTGGGCCTCCAGTGTGCCTGTCACGCCCGCACTCCACCTTCTCATCCTCCCCCCACGTCCCCAGCCCCCTGGGCCTTCCCAGCCCACTGCCCACCCTTCACTCTTCTGCTTCAGGGCCACTGTGTCCTGGGTCCCAGGTCATCTCCCTGTCACACACATTCAGCCAAGTAGCTTCCCAGAAATCAGTGGTGAGTCGCCTTTCTGAGCCAGGGGTCTGGAGGCTGTTTGGCAGGTTCTGTCAGTAGGCACGACCCCCCCCCACACACACACCCTCTAGGACCTGCCTGTCTTCATCCCTGGCCCGTCCTGCCTGCCGAGGTGCTCCCCTCTCTCTCGAGGGCGCCAGTGCTTCGGCCCTCTGGCCTCCAGTTGCCCGGGGCCGACAGCTGCCTGGGCTCCCTTCTCGAGAATCCCTCCAGGCTGGCCAGCCTGTGACCAGGAGTTTCAGCCTGCAGCTTGGGGACACAGCCCTCACTGTCATCTTCTTCCTGTCCCGGGACCCTGTTCGCTGTTCCCTGGGCCTGCTGACCGGGTCCTCTGTTCTTGCAACCCACCTCTGTCGTCCTGCCCTGTCCCAGTTCCCAGGCTGCACCTGTCCCTCCGTCTTCCTGCTGGCAGCGCCGTCATTCTGCCCAGGGTTGGGGTCAGCCTGCGGGTCTGCCTGTGGAGCCTGGTGGGGGGCTGGCTACGGCTGTCGCAGCCCCTCAGGTGGGGCCCACGGGGCCCTGACGAAGGTGTTGGATGCGGGGAGGGAAGCACCGGATGGAACCGTGGGGTGGGCGGGGTTTCGTGGGCAGGTGGGGTTCAGAGGGAGGGCGCTGGGAGGGCCCGCCAGTCCTGAGCTGTCTGGCCTTGCTTTTTTTTTTGTCTGTAAAACAGGCTCCTGGTGTGGGCCGAGCTCACAGCCTCCCTGGTGTGGGGCGCACCCCCATGTCTGTGAGGTGCAGAGTAGTGGCCTGGGGCTGCCCTGCTGTCTCCACAAAGGTCACCCCATTCCAAGCGTGGTGAAGTCTCCCAGACCTTTCAGGCATCTGGCCCTAGAGTCAGCCCTGTCCCTTCTGAGCTGAGTCTGGCTGCCCCCCCATCTCATCCTGTCTCTGCCCCCCCCTCACCAGGAGCTGGGGCACTGGGCATCCCGGCCCCCAGGGGCCGTCAGGGACATGTGGGGCTGATGGGGAGGTCCAGGGCCTTGGAGGTGGGGGCTGTGCAGCTGCAGAACCGAGGTTCCCCGCCCAGGCCCCATCAGCAAGCGCGAGGGAGCGCTCCCCAAGTTCCAGACCTGGGGCTCAGAGCCAGCCAGCAAAGCCCGGCCTCCCCTTCTTCCGGAGCCCCTGGCCTACCCTGCCCAGCAGCGCCCCTCCCCAGTGCTGGTTTGTCCTGCCCGGGCGCCCTGCTGCTACTGGCTGGGCTGGGACATGCCCTGCCGTCTAAGAGCTCAGGCTGCTGCAGGGCGCCCCCCGCGCCCCCGCGTCGGTCCGGGCAGCAGTGCTCAGGCAGCACGTGGATGGGTCCTGAACGGGTCCCCCAGTTGCTGTGATTCCACTTCTAACCCCCTGCAAGGTCGCGGCCAGGGCCTAGACAAGTCTGGCATCTCAAAAACACGGTGTAGGAGTGACTTCCCAGCCGGCTGCGTCCTCCCCCCGTGGCAGCCTTGGCTGCGGACAAGTTGAGCTCTTCTGTCTGGGTCCCTTAGGACTACGTCAAAGGGTAGTCGGTCCCTTGCTGCGCCCCGGGTGACTGCAGCCGCCTCGCTGGGCCTCCGCGCGGGCCGAGGTTCCTCAGGTCTGGACCCCGGGGAGGAGTCCCCATCAGCGCAGGCACAGGGACCTCGCTCCGGGCTGCCCTGGGAGGTCACCTCCGGGGAAACGCGCGGCAAGGAGAAAGGAGTGCGGAGCTGCAGGGGGCTGGGCGCATCAAGTGGTGGGGGGTTCTGGGGATACCTGTCCCCCCACCTCCAACCTCGCGCGTGGCCCGCGGCGTCAGCCCGCCCGGCTCGCTGGGGCCGGAGGACTCCGTCAGCGCACCCCCTGCACCTGCACCGAGATCGTAGGGCGCATGCGCGGGCCGCGGAAGGCGGGGGCCGGTCCGGGAGGGGTCCTGCGGGCCCTCGAACCTCCCTCCTCGTTGCCCGCAACGGGTGTTTCTCGTTCGAGCGAGGGACGCAGCGCTGGGCGACGCGAACATCCGGCCCCGCTCCTGTCGCGTCCCCGCGCCCCCAACCCGTGCGGCCCTGGGCGCACGTTCCCAGGGGCGCTGGGCCGGAGACACCGGGGTGCCCCTTCCTAGGACCCCGCGGGGCGCCGCGTTCAGACAATGGGGCGGGAGGTGGAGGTGCTTTCGTGACTGCGCCCGGCGGCTGAAGAGGAAGAGGACGACGCGGTGCTGAGAGATCCGGAGGCCGGGTCTCACGTCCCGGCGCTTCCAGGCCCGCGCGGAGCGGCGGCGGCGCGGGGACGCAGGGCCCTGGCGGGAGGCGCGGGGCCCGGAGCCGTACCCAGCGACCCCTCCGGGCTGGGAATCCCGGCCTCGCGCTCATTCGTCGCCGGCCTTCCCCCGCCGCCGCACCGCCCCCCGCCCGGGCACATCCCCGCTGACTGCCCGCGCCCGGCCGCGCCGCAGCGCCCAAGTGTGCCATCGGGCGGGCGCGGAGGCGGTGTCTGCTCCCACCCCCGAGATCACATGGTGACCCTCGGCAGCCAATGCAGTGGACGCTAGGACCCTGCGGGACCCCGGGCGCCGCGACTGCACCGGCGCCGCTGCATTATAAATACTTCTCCAAAATGCGGCGCAGCTCCCAGCGCGCGCCCCGGCCGCCCGCCGCCTCCACCCCGCGCTCCTGAGCCGCCACCGCTGCCGTCGCCGCGGGTCCGAGGGCGCCGCGCCCTTGCCCTGGGCCGGGGCTGTGCCGGCCCGCAGCCCGGCCCACCTCCCCGCGCTGCGCCTCCCGGCCGGGTGCATGCATTGTGAGCCTCCCGACATGGTCTGCGAGACGAAGATCGTGGCCGCCGAGGACCATGAGGCGCTACCGGGGGCCAAGAAGGACGCGCTGCTCGCCGCCGCCGGCGCCATGTGGCCCCCGCTGCCCGCTGCGCCCCCACCCGAGCCCCAGCCCCTGGGCGGTGCGGAGGACGAGGGTCCGCCGGAGGGGCGCGGCGTGTACATCCGCGAGTTCCGCCCGGCCGAGCAGGAGGCGGCGCGCCGCATCTTCTACGACGGCATCATGGAGCGCATCCCCAACACGGCCTTCCGCGGCTTGCGGCAACACCCGCGCACGCAGCTGCTCTACGCCCTGCTGGCCGGTCAGTGCGCGGGGACCTGCCGCAGTCCGTGTCCTCCGGGCCCCTGCGGGACACAGGCACAGGGCCCGGCTGGCCCACCTCCGGCCCAGGACGCAGCTCGGGAGGGGAGCGGACACGCACCCGAGCGACTCCGCGCTCTGCGGCGGCCCCGTGCGGTGGCCTCCAGCGGCGGGGCGGGCTGGGCTCCCGGCCAGGGCGCGCTGGGCGGGGGCGTGGGAACGAGAGCGGGGCGGGGGCGGCGCGCGGGGGTCTCCACCTGCGTCCCCGCCTGTCCATGTCGGCCGTCCTGGTGGGGGCGGCGACAGCCCGTAGCTCCGAGGCCGAGGCTCCGCGCCGGCCGCGTGTGACTATATATAATCCGCGCGGCGGGGGAGGCTTCCTCGGCGGCTCCAAGTGCTAATTTATGAGGGACGACAGCCAGCTCCCGGGGTGCCGGGCGGGTGTGCACAGAGGACGCGAGCGGGGGGCTGGGGCCCTCGGAGTGGGCAGTCTCACACGGGCCTCCTCGGGGGCTTTCCTTGCCGCGTTTCTCCCCATTTCACAGATGAGGAGCTTGAGGCTTGGGGGTGGGGTGCGACTCTCCCAAGGTCATGAGCAGAGGCAACTGTCACTGCAGCGCGTGGGCCTCTTGGCCGCTCAGATGGGGCCAGAGACACCTTGGGCCTCCCTGCCTTATCCCGGGGTGGGGGTGGGGGGTGGCTCAGGGCGGGCTCTGCTTGGGGCCCCGGGAGGGTGGTCCCGGGGCCTTCGGTTTGAAGGTCCCTACCCACCCCCAGGCAGGAGCCTTGCAGGGCAACTCCTGGCTTCCCAGTGGGCCAGCGCCGGCCCTTCCCCCACCCCAGAGACCACAGGGTGGTGGGTGAGGGCCCCTCCCAGAGCCCCTCCGGGCTGCTCCCACCTGTGGTCATGCGCAGCTTGTTCTTAGCAAGGGGGTGTGATGGGTGGCCAGGACTGTGGAGATGGCTGAGACCACCCGCTGCTCCTCCAGAAAAAGCAGTCTTGGCATTTTGGGCGTGCTCTCTCTTCCACTCCTGTCCTTCATGGGCTCACGTCCCAGGGGCCCTGCTGTGAGTGGCTGGCTGCTGGCTGCCCACTCCCTGGGGGCACAGGTCCTCTCCAGAGCCCGGACTGCCTGGCCCCCGGCGTCCTCACCGTGTCCCTCTCGCTGGGCTCCGTCTCCCCGCAGTGCTCTGCTTCGCGCTCACCCGCTCGCTGCTGCTGACCGGCCTGGCGACCGCGGCGCTGCTGGGGCTGCGTTACTACTACAGCCGCAAGGTGGTCCTGGCCTACCTGGACTGCGCCCTGCACACCGACATGGCTGACATCGAGCAGTACTACATGAAGCCCCCCGGTGAGTCCCTGAAGCCTCCAGCCTCCTCCTCTTCCTCTCTCGGCCACTCTTGCCCCCACCAGCCGCCCCTCTGGCAGAGCCAGCTCGCCCTCTCCCCACCAGGCCTGTGGGGAAGGGCCAGGCAGGGCTGGGCCCTGGGACTAGACTTCTGGCCAAGAGTTGGGGGTGCAGTGGGCTGGAAGAGACTGGGGCGCAGAGCCACCAGGCCCTGGGTGCTGAACCAAGGTCCCTGAGTGTCCACATGGACCCCCCGGGCCTCTGTCTGTCACCCCCCTGAGGGTGGGCCTTCCTCAAGTCTCGTGGGCCCCCTCTGGTCCAAGCTGCTCCTTGGTGCCCTGCTGGCTGCTGGGCTGGCCTGGCGCACCCGGTCCTGGTGTGGGGGCGCGTGTGGCAGGGCAGCAGGGACCCTAAGTTTCGGACTCCTTCTGGTCTGTGGGCCATTCAATGAATGACCCAGACAGTCTCGCCCAGGCCCCTAGTGAGGCCTGCTGTCTGGGGGGGCCCTGTCTGCCCTCCAGGCGGGCCGGGTCTTGGGGCGCAGGACCCCAGGCTTCTCCACGCCCGGAGTGGATGACAGATTCTTTAGTGTGGCCCTCCAGGGCATGAGGGTCTCCCGGGGCTGAGGAGAGGGGACAGGATGGGCCCAAACGGCTGGCTGGCGTCTGGCAGGAGTCTGCTGAGTGCCAGGGAAGGACAGTGGGGGCAAGACAGGCAGTGTCCCAGAGCATGGGCGACCCCGGCACTGCCGGCACCTCTGGTGGCTGGCCTCGGGCGCCTTTGTTCTCCCTGGCCCTTCGCCGAGCCCAGAGGACCTTGTCTGCCTCGTGGAGCCCTTGCTGCAGCCTGGCTCTGGCTCTGTCCGGGGGGGGGGGGGGGGGGCGCAGGAGCGAACGGGGGTCTGCCGGGGGGCAGAGTGTGGCATGAGGACCCTCTCTCCGGGCTGCAGTCTGCCTGAGTGTGATGTAGGGAGGGGCTCTGTGCCTGCCCCCCGGAGACATCCAGTGGGTCTGAGGAAGGCCACCCGGGGGCAGAGAGGCTGGACAGTGGCCGATGGGCCGTGCTGGACTTATGGGGAAACTGAGGCCCGGGAGGGGCAAGGTTCCCAGGCCTGCCCCGACCTTTGGGTGAGTGGGCGGGCCAGCGGGTTGACGGGCAGTGTGCCCTCAGCAGCCGGCTCAGCCGTCCCCACGCTCTGCCCTGTGTCCGGTCTCGGAGTGTGGCCAGGGGATGCAGGGAGGCCAGGCGGCGGGGGCCCCTGGGGCCAGCGGAGGAGTGGGGGGTGTTTTCCAGGCAGGGCTCAGGTGCAGAGCTTTTAGGGTGAGGAGTTTGTCCACTCACAGGGGGAGTTAGGGTGGGAGAGCCCAGAGACTGGGGTGTCCATGAGCAGGGTGTGTGCAGGCCCCTCAGAGTGTGTGCCCCCCGTCCCCAGCCAGGCCTTGCCCCCCACTGCCCCTGGGTCTTTGGTTGCCGGTGGTCCCAGGCAATCCCAGGCCGGCACCCTGCAGTCCTCCGCCCTCCAGTCTTGACTCCCTCCCCCTCGCTGAGGTCTTGTTCCCTGAGGCCTGCCCCGACCACCCTGATCTGCACGGGGCTCTGATGGGCCTGGGCTGTGGCTGGGGACAGCTGGCCTGGTCCCCGGGCTGGCTGCCCAGGAGAGGCCAGGGTCAGTGGGGCACCGTGCCCAGGGCCGGCCTAGCCTCTTCACTTGGGTTTCTCAGATGTTGGCAGACCTCCCCCGGGCCTGCTGAAGGTCCCCGGGCTCCCAGCCCAGCAGCCTCTGATCCCAGACAGTGGAGGCCATGGGGCTGGCCTGGCCACAGGCCCCTGAGACCTTCTGAGGCCCTGAGGTTCTGGCCCTTCGAGGTGGCCCTGCCACCCCGGCCTGCCTTCCTGGACCCTCTCAGCACCCACCGTATGGACCCTTCCTGATGCTCCCTCCTGGCACCTGGCTCCCGGTGTGGACACCTGGGGGACAAGGACGGTGGGCTCCGGGTGGCTGCAATGTGACCTCTCTGTGGTTGTCACCCGTGGCTCTCCGGGCATTCAGTCTGGGGGGTCACTGGGCAGGGGAGGGGCCTACGTGTCTCTGGCCGGCCCAGCTCTTAGCACCAGGGGGTGGAATTCGGGCTCAGAGGCAGAGGCCACGCTAGGCCCCCAGGGGTAGTGGCGCCTCACAGCAGAGCCCGCAGCGCTGACCGCCCTGTTCCCCACAGGCTCCTGCTTCTGGGTGGCGGTGCTGGACGGCAACGTGGTGGGCATTGTGGCGGCGCGGGCCCACGAGGCGGACAACACCGTGGAGCTCCTGCGCATGTCCGTGGACTCCCGCTTCCGCGGCAAGGGCATTGCCAAGGCGCTGGGCCGCAAGGTGCTGGAGTTTGCCCTGGTGCACGACTACTCGGCGGTCGTGCTGGGCACCACCGCCGTCAAGGTGGCCGCCCACAAGCTCTACGAATCGCTGGGCTTCAGACACGTGGGCTCCAGTGACCGCTACGTGCTGCCCGGCATGACCCTCTCGCTGGCCGAGCGCCTCTTCTTCCAGGTCCGCTACCACCGCTACCGCCTGCAGCTGCGCGAGGAGTGACCGCCGCCCGCCGCCCGCCAGTCCGCCTGCGCCCGCCTGCCCCCCGCCCGGGCCGCTTTCAGACGCTCTTCTCGGCGCATCTGCTGGGTTTTCCTGTTTTCAACATCTTGTGGTTCTGGCTGGTTCTGGGGGTGGGGAGGGGCTGTCGCTCCTCTGTGACTCGGGGGGGGGGGGGTCCTCCGCCGCCATGGCCCCTGCTCTCCCCAGCCTGCGGGCCACACCCTGAGGAGGGACAGCACCGGCCACCACCTGCCCACACAGGGGCCCGCTCTAGCTTCCGGGGCTCCCGGCCTTGCCTGCCAGAGCACAGAACCTCTGCAAGGGGGGCCTTGCCCAGTAGACCCCTGGCCACCAGCCAGGCTCTGGCTCAGCCATCGCTCCCTAGGAGGCATGGCCCGCCAGGCTGGCCAGCCACGGCCCCGAGGGCCCCTCCGCTCTGTGCATGCTGAGCACGTGGCCTGGCTGCTGCATGCCCGTGGCTCCTGCCCTGCTGCCCCACCCGCTGGGCCCCGACTGGAGAGCGCCCCTGCCCGGCCCTGAGCTGGCCCCCGCCTCCCCCCGCTCTCGGGAGGGCCAGTCCCAGCAGCCCCTTGCTACACCCAGTTCAGCTTTGCTTTGACACCCAGTCACCTTCTTTCCTTTCCGTCCCTACCTGTCCCCTGCCTGGGCTTTGCTGATCAGAACCACCACCCTGGTGTGGTTCCCATAGCAACCCGTTGCACAGCCTCGGTCCAGGCCCTTCAGGAGGGCGGGCGGGGCCTCTCCCCCAGCCTCAGCCAGACCCAGCGGCCTCTCCGCCAGCCCAGGACCTCCCTGCCTCTCAGCCCACGGGCTCTCTGCCCTGTGACTCACTAACTAACCGAGGCCACCGCCGTCACTGAACCCACAGCTTCTCCCGGCCTGGAACTGACCTATTTTTTTAATAAGTTATTTAGACAGCATAGCACTCTGCATGTCTTTAATTCTTGGGACAAAACGGTAGTTCACACCTTCACATGTGCGCGCGCGCGCGCACACACACACACACTTGTGTGTGGTCTGGAAGATGTGCTATTTCTGGCCCAGTTTGGTGGGGGTGGGTGGCTGGGTGGGTGGAGGGTTTCAAAGTTTGGAATCTGGAGGGAGATCCTGATCCAGCATCGTTTTCCTGGTCTGTGGGAGGCTGTGGGTGGCCCCACTGGGCCCTGACCTGCCGCAGCCTCCGGAGGGGCCGGTGGCCTCGCCACGCACCTTGGCTGGGAGCTGGCTGTGTGCAGCCGGCTCTGGAGGTTGGAGGCCGGGGCTGTCAGGCGTGGGTGGTCTGGATGGGGATGGGCTGGTGGTGGTTGGCAGTGGCTGGACGCCGGCCAGAGACCCCTTTATTTGGGGGCTTGGAGGAAGGGGGAGTGGCAGGTTGAATGGGCCACTGAACCAGGGCCCACGTATGGGACCACAGAGGGGACGTTCTTAAAAGGACCTTTGGAAACTAGCAAGTGAGCGAAACGCCCGTTCCGCAGCGCCTTCTGTGCTGTCCGCAACGAGATATTTGCAGAACCCTGTACAGACCCCGCTCCCCTGTACATACCCCTGGTGGCGCCCGGGCCCCGCTCGGGGTGGGAGTTTTGTAGACTGTACAGAAATCGGCACCCTATTTTCTTGCAGTTCTCAGATTTTGTTAACCTGGATTATACAGACAGACGTAAAGTGTTTTAGCAAAATGGAAACAGTTGTGCCTTTTTCCTCTTTCTGTCCGGCTTGGTCTTGGCTTGGGGCAGCCTCAGTCGCCTTGGGATCTTGGGGGCGGGAGGGCGAGTGGTGTCCTCCGGTCAGCGCAGTGGCTCACACTGGGATAGCACGGGGATGCCACCAGCTTCCTCTGAGCCTGTGCCTTTGGAGCCTCTGGTCCCTGAGGTGGGGCAGGCGGCCAGGGCAGAGCCTGCGCTCTGGGGCTGCCAGCGTCTAGTTGGTGCTGACCAAGGCGCCCTGCAGGCATTGCTCCTGGACAGCAATGCGGCCACTTCTTGTTCTGCAGGCACCTGAGAGGGACGTGGGGGGGCTGCTGTGTCCCCCCATCAGACAGCATAGAGAGGGAGGTTGCTGCCTAGACTTGACCTTTCCTTACTGCCCTTTGTCGCTGCTGGGACTCAGGAGAGAAGTTGGGCGGCTGTGGCAGGGTGGTCACGTGTCTGGAGCCTCATGCCCGGCTGCTGAGGGGCAGGGGCGTGCTCTGCGCTCTGGGCCTTGCCCCAGCCGTGTGCAGCTCCGCAGACCCTGAAGTCCCCCCGGAGCAGATCCCCTGTCCTCCCGTCCCCCCAGCTGGGGCCTGGGCACCCTGGCTGGCCGCTGCCCGCTGGCCTGGGCACTGGCTGCCCCAGAAACGTGTGCTGTGATGTGGATCCTGCGTGTTCTCTCTGTGAAGCATCTGCTGGGGCCCCTCCTCCCTGCTGGTTCCTGGCCCACCCCACGGCTGCTCGGCGAGGCTCGGGGAAAGGCCGCCCTGGGCCAGGCATCTGCGCTCAGGGGTCAGGGCTGCTGGGACTTCCGCTGTCTGTCCGGGAGCTTCTGTCTGTGGAGTAATCCGGAACATCTTCCTAAGACAGGCAGCTCCGGGTGTGGGACCAGGGCCCCGTGGAGAGGCCCCGCCAGGGGCCATGGTGGTGTGTCCCGCCTTTTGCCCCACACACGTCGGGCGTGGCCTTCCTCCACCACCCTTGGGTGGGGGTGGGGGTGGGCTGGGGTCGGCCTGCCCTGAGCAGGTGGGAGACCTGTCCTAGGTGCTAAAGGTCAGGCTGGGAAGCCCTGCTTGGGCCCCTGTCCTCAGAGGAGGCCCTCAGAGGAGGCCGGGGGCACGCTCCCCAGGTGGCTTCTCGGGCATCTGGCAAGTGCCTGGGCAGCTCTCGGGGCCCCAGGGCCTGGCTCTGACCTTGCGGGGCACACGGGCCATAGGAGCGCCTGCCCCCTGCCCTGGGGCCTGGGTGGCGCCCAGGGAGCACCCAGCCTGGGCAGTGGCATTGCGGCTGTGTCCATCTGAAGCCACTTCTGTCAGTGTTGGCCACAGGCCCATGTTCCCGCGCAGGGAGCTCCGTGCATGGGGCCTGTGGGGGGTGTGGTCCGGGCTGGGTAGGGGCCACCCCTGGACTGTGCGCTCCTCCGTGCTGTGGTTCAGGGAGGGCGAGGTGTGGGGTGCAGGGGGGCGCCCAGCCTGCCATTGTGGGATGCGGTTTTTTAAGTAGCCATTTGAGGAAGGGGTGTGCCTCTCATGTGCAAGCGTGTCTACATGCCCGTGTGTACATGTGTGACACGCACGTGTGCCCGTGTGCGGTGAGAGGCAGGAAGCCCGGGAGGGAGGCGGTGCCCCCAGCACTGCTGCAGTGCGGGGTCTGGCCGGCCCCGTGGCTGTGACTGTGTTGTCCCCCCGGGGAAGGGGTGCTGGGCCCAGAGCAGTGTTTGCTGGGGTCTCTGGGCGTGTGGGGGGGCAGCCAAGACCAGATCTGGGGTCGTGGGGTCAGCCCAGCCCAGCTGCGGGGCCACCACTGCGGTGGATGCCACGACTTTGGTCAGGCACACCCGGGACCGTGGCAGCACCTGGTTCACTGTCTGTGAGCCCGCAGCCGGGCGGCTGCCCTGAGACCCCAGGACGTGGCAAAACAGCCCCCGAGAGGGCTGGCGTGGTGTGAGGCTGAGTTCCGGAGGAGACGGGCCGCGGGGCGGGCGTGGGTGGGGGCCCAGCCTCCGAGAGGTTGGGGGCTGGGGCCCAGGGCCGTGCTGCTGGTTTCAATAAAGCCAGAGTTGACAGAATGGGCTCCGAGCCTCCCTGAGCAACCCCAGCCCTGCACACCGGGCCGGGCCGACTTTTGGGAGACACTGGGCGGGTGCCTTCGCAGGCCGAGGGGCTGAGGTGCCCCGTCCACCACCACCACCCCCCGCTGCCTCTGCAGGCCCCTGTGGACGGAGCAGGGTGGGACCCGGAGTCTGTAAGGGAGGGATGGGGAGGGGTCGGGGAGGACACCGGCCTCGCTTCCGGGCCCAGCTCCTGCTCAGTCCCTCCCGCAGTGTCCACACTGCGGCCGCCCGAGCACTTAGCTGCGCCCTCTTCTCTGGTGTTACACTGGTGTCAGTGGGGCTCAGAGCCTCAAGGAGCAGCCCGGGATGGGCGCCCCGTGGCTTCATCCCTGCGCGACACGCGTGGGCTGGGCTGCCCCTGGGGATGTGGAGGGTGCTTGGACGTGGGTCCCCAAGGCCGGGCATTGGTTCTGAGCAAGACTCCCCTCGAGGAGGCCTCCGCTGGCTGTGCCCGAGGGGATGGCGCTCAGCCAGGCCCCTGGCCCAGGGGAAAGGGCCAGCACACAGGTGCCGGCGTGGAGGCCCCTACTGTTCCAGGCCGGCTGACAGCCCCCCCCCGCCCCCCCCGCCCCCGTCCAGACTGGTGATGGGGTCCGGGAGCCGTGAGAGAGACAGGGCTGAGCTGGGCCCCCCGAGAAGACCCAGCTGTGCCCAGTGGGCTCTGCAGAGGCAGCGGCACTGAAACCTGGCCACACTCACAGAGCAGCCACGGCCCAGGCGGGAGGGCGAGTCTGGGTACCTGCCTGCACGTTCGCCCGGCCCGGGACAGGTTGGAGCCCAGGGCCAGACAAGGAGGCTGGTGGGAGCGGCGAGGCCCTTCATGGGGCCAGGGAGGTCTGGCAATGGAGCGCTGGGGCCAGGGCTGCGGCAGAGGCCGGCTCGTTCCGGCCCTGCGTGCTGCTCCCTGTGACGCAGCCTTCCCGTGCAGGGGTTGGGGCCCAGGCTGCTGTGAGGCTGCTGGGGTGCACAGCGGGGCCCTTCCCGGGGCCCCACGGGTCTGGGAGACCTGCTTGGGGAGCCAGCCCGTCCCTAGGGCCTGTCGGCCTGCCCGAGACTCATGGGGAGACCGCTTGGCCCCGGCAGCCTGGACAGGCCCTCGCCCCGACTTGGGTCTGGGGGCTGAGGACTGTGGACATGGTGTCCCCGCCCCAGAAGGAAGTCACTCAGGCGCAAAGACAGCCTTGTGCACAACGTTTACTCCTGGTGGTGGCCCCTCTGCAGCGGTTCTGCTGCAGCTGGGAGCTGGCACAGACCGGCAGCCACTGACCGTGGACAAGGCCACAGCCTGAGCTGGTGGAAACCGGTTCTGTCCTCCCGCTGCTGCCTGGAGCTACAGACAAAATTCAGGGGGGAAATGCAGGCGTGGGGTGCAGGTGCTGACCAGGGGCCCAGCGGTGGCCTGGCGGTTGCTTGGAGACTCAGCAGGACGTGGGCGTGGCTGAGGGTTCGGGGCCTCCTGCAGGGGCACCAGGTGTCCCCAGGAGCTGCCGGCACTCAGGCTCACCTTCAGGGGCACCTGTGGGTGGCAGCCAGAGGTGAGCACCAGGCCCCACAGTGCACAGGCAGACACGCTGCGGACGGACGCATGCTCACAGGGACAGGCGGGCAGGCTCACATCACGTTCGCACCCCACTGATTTGGCTGAGTTACCCACCTGACCTGCCAGGACCAGTGTGCCTGCAGGGGTGGGGTCAGGCAAGGTGCCCTACCTGTGCAGGCAACCTCGAGGCCCTGCGCCCTGGGGGGCTGGCTGACCCTGAGAGATGCCAGGGAGTCCTCCCCGGGACCTTGCGCAGGACAGCTCCCTCTGAGTAGGGTGGGTGGGGGCCGCCCAGCCGCAGCCCCTGACAGCTATAGGGGTACTTGGGGGAGGGGTCCTGGGCTCCCAGGGAATAGAAGTCCCCCCAAGTCTGGCTGCACCCAAGCCTGCGTTCCTTGACCCCACCAACCACTGCTGGGGGACAAGGCAAGGGGTGCCACCCAGGGTCCCAGGGCACGCCGTGGGGCCCGCAGCCACAGAAGGAGTGAGGAGGTGAGCAGCCTGTCTACACCCCTGTCTGCTGGGGGCTCCCAGGCCTGTGGGCCGGGGCACCCCTCCAGAGAGATAGGGACAGTGACAGGAACGTCTGTCCTGCCCAGGTGGTCGCGCAGGCTTTGGGGACTCCCACCACCTCACCTTTGTGCTGTTCTCCCCTCCTCCCCACTGCCTCGGGGAGCCCCTCAGACAGGTGAGCAGGCAGGAGTGGGGCTGGGGCCAGGCTCAGCAGGGCCCAGGGTGCCCCTGAGCCAGGTGGCGGCAGCCCTGAGTGGAGGCCTGACAGTCCTCCTTGCCGAGCCTCGGGGGACACCGGGCCCGGTTCCCGAAGGCCCTGAGGACACGCCTGCTGCTCTCACCAGGCTCGGAGAGAACACGCCTTGTCACCCAGGGTAGTTTAGCTCCTCACAAGGCAGGTCGGGGACAGCCGGGGGCTCAGGTGCTGCAGGCAGGGCTGGGGCCATGCCCTGCCCCAGCTCACCTGCCCTCTGGGAGCTGGGCTCTCTCCCACCTGGGGCTCTGGCTGTGGGGGGTGCTCACCTGCAGCTGCAGGTCCAGGGTCCTCACGTGCTGCACGGACTCCATGGCTCCCCTGACGAGCGCTGGGAGAGGGAAGGGGTGGAGCTCAGCCCCAGGGCAGCACTGGGCCATGAGAACCCCAGTCTCCTGCCCCCCACCAGCGCTCTGTGCCTGGTTCCGGCTCCCCCGGCCATGTCTGTAGCAGGCTTGAAGGCCCCTTAACTCTCCCAACTGTGGGTCCCGTCCCCCAGGTATGGAGGGTCCTCCTGGCCCCACAGTGCCAAGGCCCCGCCCCCAGGTTTCTCCGCTGTGGGCCCCCTCACCCCTCAGGGTTCCTGCAGGGTCAGGCAGGTGTCCCCCAGGCCCCCAGCTGTCTGTGGGCAGAGGCTCTGGGCCCAGAAGAGGGAAGCGGCCAGGGCAGGGGCACTGTGTGCCCTCCCAGCTCCCAGGTCCCAGCAACAGGGCTTGAGCGCCTGTCAGGGCGGCCATCGGCTGGTACGGAGGCCCCGGGGGGGCCTTGGCCACAGTGCTCGGCCTCGGGGGGGGGGGGAAGCCCGGCGGGGTGCAGGGCCAGTGTGGTTCGGGGTCCTGAGTCGGCTTTGCCTCTTCCGTGGACGGGCATTTCGCTCCGTCCCGAGTCCCCTGACATCTCGGTACAGAGGTTTGGACAGACACCCAGGAGCAGACAGACTCCGCCCTGTCCTCTGCCCACCTGCTCTCACCAGTGAGGTCAGAGTGGGAGCACCCCGCCCCCACCAGCAGGCGAGACCCCTAGGAGAAGGCGGCTGCCCGGACCGGGAGTCCTCCGGGGCCTGGGCCACAGAGCCCCTGCACAGGGCCACCCCCACGCTGGGGGCCCCGAGGGCTGTCAGCCTGGGTGCAGGGCACGTGCAGCATGAGGTAGGAGAGCAGCCTGACCCCCTGCACCCCCCAGCAGACGCCTGGCCAGACCCGGGGGGCACTCGAGCTCCCCGTGAGACACAAACAACCCTGTTTCCCTTGGGCTCACCTGCGAACTCAGCAATCTGCGGGTCTTCCACTTCAAATAGCAGCTCATCGTGAATTTGGGCAACTAGCCTGAAAGACACACAGCCGCGCAGTGCGTCACCCCTCGATGGGGCAGTGAGGATGCCTCCTGTCTGCCCAGCAAGGGGGCACCACCTGGGGGTTGTGCGCACAGGGGTGCAGGCCGCCCTCCAAGTCTGGCACAGGGTGTTGGGGAGGCTGCGGCTCAGTGGTGAGTGGCAGGGCCCGGCCGAGGGCCTGCTGCCTGGTCACCCATCACCAGGACGCCTCCAGGGAGGTGGGGGCACAGGTTAGAAGTGACCTGTGAGCAGAGGCAGAGGGCCCAGAGGGAGGGCAGAAGGTCCACGCAGCATGGAAGAGCCCTGGGGGGCGTTGGGGCCACGGCGTGGGCTTGGGAGGAGGGTCTCTGCTAACCACCGGCAGTGGGGCCTGCTCCAGGGCCGGGCTGGGTGGGTCCACCTCCCACCTTGAACACTTAAGGGGAGGTGCTGGGAGGGACAGTCCTTTTTCCAAATTCACTTTTGAAGTCAAAGAAACACTTAATAAAATTTGGAAAGTGCAGTCAAAACTCAACAGTGCAAAACAAACACCTGAAGCCCCCACCTCCCATGTGCCCGGGACTGGGTGGGTCACCCCTCGTGTGGCGGCCGCAGCATGCACAGAGCGGCGTGGCCCAGCTCACCCGTGGCCCTGCAGCCCCCCTCCCCCCACCGCCACATCCCATCACAGGCCCAAGTCCTCACTGGGGGCCACCTGGCCCTGCGCCCTGGCCGCCCCTCCGAGCCCCTCCAGGCCCCTCAGCAGGGGCAGGGAGCGGATGCTGAACAGAATGGTCTGTGGAAGGACAGCCCAAGCCCACCCAAGGGCAAAGCCTCGGCAGGGCTCAGACCCCGGTGACGGGGCAGCTGGTGTGAAGGTGTGTGTGGAGCCACAGGCCACCCGGGGCCCTGAAGCTCCGTGCTGCCTGCACGAAGCAGCACTGGGGCTGGGCAGCCCGTTCTCCAGGAGGCGGGTCTGGGCAGGCTTGTGAGCCTTGGGCAGGGGACACCTGCCCCTCCCTCAGGGTGGATGCACACAGTGCCCCTGCCCCTCGGGGAGGGGAAGGTGTGGAGCGGCGACCCTCAGGACCACCTCCAGGGTCTGCAGCCCTCTGGGAAGGACGGTGGGTGTCAGGGGTCCAGTGCGCAGTGTGCTCTGCCCTCTGTGTGGCCTGGCTGTGCCCAGTCCTGTCACCTTGCTGCCTGGCAGGCACAGCGTGTTCAGGGAGGGGCAGTGGGCAGACCGCCCCGCATGGTGAAGCTGGGGGCTCGAGCTGACCAGGCGACGGGCTGACATGGAGGGCAGCTCTCCAACCCCACGGCAGACGGATGGCACACACCCTCCATGGGACACACGCAAGGCTCCGCAGTGGAAACACGGGGGGCTGCCCTCCACTCCTCCTCTCTGTGGGTTGCTGGGGGGGGACTGGGGCTGTGTCCGAGGCTCGCTCCCAGATAAGGAGGCCCCAGGCAGCCTCCGTCAGGGCGGACTGGCCCGTCACCACTTTCTCTTTGCCTGGAAGGTGCTGGGACAGCCACAGCAGCCACTCCCATTGCAGCATCAAGAGGGACAGGGCTGGGGGGACCTGGGCCCTGCTGTCCTGAACCCTGGAAACAAAGCTGGCACCTGTGGTGCTCTGGACACCTCAGGCCAGGAGTGAGGTCTGGGCTGCAGCCACCAGGTTGGGTCACCAGCACGGGAACATGTCCCCACGGAGAGACGCCCCGGGCCGTCCTGCTGGGCCCAGACCCCGAGCAGCCCCGGGCGGGGTGCCCGCATTTTATGTGGCCCAGGGCTATGGGCAGTGCCCTTCCGGACATTAGAGTGGGCGGGCAGCACGGGTCTCGCCTTCTGGCTGATTCGAGGCCATGGTGGGACCGTGGCTCCCGCGGGGACTTAGTGCTCAGACCGCAGACACCTCTTTCAAGACGGCCGCAAGGGCGTCCTCGCACCTGAGATCACAAGGTGGGGCTCTGGCTCGGTGCGGCGGCGGCCTCGGAATAGGCCTGGGCTGTGAGTCACTCTCACATCCCGCTCACGGCCACAGCTCTCACGGAAACTGGGGCACGGGGCACAGCACCGGGTCCACTGCTCGGGAGGCCAGCCGACCTGTGGTGACCCCTCTGTGGTCCTGCGCCCCGACCGTCACTGAGGATGCCAGGCCTCGCCAGGCCGTGCCACCAGGGGCCGCTCTTGAGGGGTCTTGTCTCCTGTGTCTGGGGCGGTGCGCTCTGGGCTGAGCCCCTCTGTGCCGGCCAAGCCTGGCCAGGGGGTGCCCCAGGGTGCTGCCGCCCTGGGAGGCAGCCAGAGGTCAGTGGCTGCCCAGAGGCGAGCAGGTTAGCCACCGTCCATAAGCCCCTGCAGGTACCCTGCTCTCCCTGTACCCAGGGCAAAGACCAAGTGTCTCCCTGAGGCTGCCACCTCGGCTGTGGCTTCAGGCGGGGCTCCCGGTCCCTCCTCGGAAGTGCAAGGCCAGGCTGCGGCTCCAAGCTGGGAAGCCTAGGACCAGTCCAGCTGAGTGAATGCGGTTGTGCTCTGAGCCTCAGTCCCCTCTCTCTTCACTCAGGTGTGGGGGCCGACAATGCCAGAAGCTTCTTTCGAGCCCCACCATGCTGATGCCTGGCAAGGCCTTCTCCCAGGGGCCCCGGTCCACAGGTCCGCCAGCACTGAGGATGGTGCCAGAGATGAGTGACTTCCTAGCCAACTGCAGAGCTCAGGTGGGAACCCCCCAGCCGTCCTGCCCTGGGCTTGCCCCGTCCTGCACCAAAATTGTGGCCCACAAGGCTCCTGGGCCAATGGGGTAGGGCTCTGGAGGGTGTGTCCCTGCATGATCACAGCGCCGGGACGTCGCCCCTGTCCTCCCTAGAACTTCCTGTTGCTCTGGGGAAAAGAACGGGCCACGCTTGGAAAACACAGAACACGACTTCCGGCCAAGGTGGAGGTGGAGGTGGAAACACTGAGCCTCCTCCTCACACAACCAAAATTAAGGACGACAAAAACTTAGAAGCAAAAAAGCACCAGAACTGACGGAACACTGAACATTACGGAGGTCCAGCAACCACGCACCCGGACTGGTAAGAGGGCGGAGTCGGTGGCCAACGGGGAGGGGTCACAGCAGGAGAACTCGGTGGCTTGGGGACCCGGGTGCGCAGGCAGTGGCCAGCAGACCCCGGGCCTGGGGTGGCACCGAGCAGACCCAGTGAGGCGGGCAAGGTGGCTGCCTGACCACGGTCACACATTCACGAGCAGATAACCAGGCAAAAACGGGCAGCGAGACAGACCACACAACCCAGGGCCCCAGCACCAGGAAGGAAAGCCTAAAAGCACCGATGGAAAACACCTGTGGGGTTGAGGCGCTGGGAGAGACTCCCAGTCTCACAGGAGAGTTTGCTGGAGAGACCCACGGGGTCCTAGAACATACACAAGCCCACCCACCCGGGAACCAGCACCAGAAGGGCCCAGTTTGCTTGTGGGAAGAGACAGAAGGGACTGAAATCCAAGAGAGAGCAGAGTAACTGCCATCATTCCCTCTCTGACCCCGCCCCCACGTACAGCGTCACAACCCAGCGCCTGGGTTGCCCCACACTGGTGAACACCTAAGGCTCCGCCCCTCACACATAACAGGCAGGAGCAGACCAAGAGGGGGAAAAAAAGGCTCACACAGAAGAACAACAGATCAAAGCCCCAGAGCCAATATATCTAAGTGACCAAGAAATTGCCAAACCTATTGGATGCACAGTTCAAAGCACTGGTGATCAGGATGCTCACAGAATTGGTTGAATTTGGTTGCAAATTAGATGAAAAAATGAAGGCTAAACTAAGGGAAATGCACAAGGAACCAATAGTGATGGAAATAAAACTGGGACTCAAATCAATGGAGTGGACCAGAAGGAAGAAACAACCAACCAAAGAGAAAAGAATGAAACAAGAATTCAAAAAATTTGGCCCTGGCTGGTGTAGCTCAGTGGATTGAGCGTGGGCCTGCGATCCCAGTTTGATTCCAAGTCGGGGCACATGCCTGGGTTGCAGGCCAGTTCCCGGCAGGGTACTCACGAGAGGCAACCACACATTGATGTTTCTCCCCTTCTCTCCTTCCCTTCCTCTCTAAAGATAAATAAATAAAATTTAAAAACAATTTTTTAAAAATAAAATAAAATAAAGAATTAAAAAAATTAGGAGAGGGACTTCCGCCAAGATGGAGGCATAGGTGGATGTGCCGCGCCTTCTCACACAACCAAGTTTAGAGACAACTAAATATTAGCAACAGAAAACACAGCCAGAACATGGAAAATTGAACTTTTCGGAAGTCCGTTAACAACAAATTCTTCAGCCTGACCGGTAAGGGGCGAAACCAGCGGCTGGTGAAGCGGGGTTGCACAGGAGGTCTCGGTCAGACGGACTCAGGCGTGGAATCCAGACCCGTGGAATCCAGGCGCAGGGTTGGACCTAGTGAGCGACCCAGCGAGCCACCAGGCGAGCGACCGCGGGGGAGACAGCGGGGGAGCGGTGCTGCGTGTTGACTGTGGTCGCCCATTTGTGCGCGGGCGGACAGGCGAGGGAGTGGGCAGTTGGACCGGGGCCCGGCAGGTCCCCACAGCAAGCACCAGTGGAGGGCGCCACCATTTCCCTGCTCTGACCCCACCTCCACATACAGCGTCATAACCCAGCGACTCTGAGAGGCCCGGCCCAGGTGAACCACCTAAGGCGCTGATCCTCACCCAGCTGTGAGAAACAGCAGAGGGGGTCGCCATTTCCCCGCTATGACCACGCCCCCACATACAGCGTCACAACCCAACGACCTGGGAGTCCAAGGCGCCGCTTCTCACACTTAAAGGGCGCGAACAGACCAAAAATGGCGCAAGAAGATCTCAAAGCCCCAGAGCCTATAAATCTAAGCGATGAAGAAATAGCAAAACTCTCAGACGCACAGTTTAAAACACTGGTGATCAGGATCCTCACAGAACTGGTTGATTATAGCCACAAATTAGACAAATATATGAAGGCGAAACTAATTGAAATGAATGGAATTGCACAGGACACCAATAGCAATGAAACGGAAACTTGGACTCAAATCAATGGAGTGGACCAGAAGAAAGCAAATAATGGCCAAACAGAAAAGAGTCAGGAAGCAAGAATTCAAAGAAATGAGGAGAGTCTTAGGAACCTCCAGGACGTCTTTAAACGCTCCAACATCCGAATTATAGGGGTACCAGAAGGGGGAAAGGAACAGCCACCAGTGGAAAACTTATCTGAACAAATAATAAAGGAGAATTTCCCCAATCTGGCAAAGGAAATAGACTTCCAGGAAATCCAGGAAGCTCAGAGAGTACCAAAGAAGTTGGGCCCAAGAAGGAACACACCAAGGCACATCATAATTACATTAGTCAAAATTAAAATGAAGGAGAGAATCCTAGAAGCAGCAAGAGATAAGGGGACAGTCACCTACAAAGGAGTCCCCATCAGACTGTCAGCAGATTTCTCAAAAGAGACCTTCCAGGCAAGAAGGGGCTGGAAAGAGGTATTCCAAGTCATGAAATCCAAAGACCTACAACCAAGATTGCTCTATCCAGCAAAGCTTTCATTTAGAATGGAAGGACAGATAAGGTGCTTCTCAGATAAGATCAAATTCAAGGAGTTCATCATCACCAAGCCCTTATTATATGAAATGTTAAAGGGACTTACCTAAGAAAAAGAAGATAAAAAAGATGAACAGTAAAAAGACAGCAAACTCACAGTTATTAACAACTACACCTAAATCAAAAGCAAACTAAGCAAACAACTAGAACAGGAACAGAACCACAGATACGAAGATCACATGGAGGGATAGCAACAGGGGAGGGGGAGGGGGAGAAGGGAGGAGGAGGTACAGAGAATAAGGAGCATAGACGGTGGGGAGAAAATAGGGGGAGGGCAAGAGTAGTGTGGGAGATGTAGAAGCTAAAGAACTTATGACACATGGACTTGAACTAAAGGGGGGGATGTGGGTGGGAGGGGTGTGCAGGGAGGAGGGAAGTGAAGGGGGAAATGGGACGACTGTAATGGCATAATCAATAAAATATATACAAAAAATAAAACACAGAACACGAAACCCTCCGACCCCACACCCGACTGCTCGGTCTCTATCGTGGCCTGATGCACTGTTACGGGAAGCATTCCTGAGGACAGGAAGGGCTGATGACAGACAGGGGACCGGCTGGGCTGTTCATTTCCTGGGGAAGAACTGTTATGCTCACCTCAGGACTCTGTCACTACAAAGACCCCAAGTCCTCAGTGTCCTTTCTCAACCCACACCACCTGCAAACGGACTCCAGACTTACACTGTCACAGGTGCAGCAGAACGTGTCTGGAGGGCGAGCTAGCACAGCCCCTTGTCCCCTCCCCCAACACACCCCAGAGGCACCCACACGAGTGGGCTGCCTGGGTGCGGTGGCCATGAGACGCTGTGCTGGAGGGACTCGGGGAGGGTAAAGCGCTGTCCCTCCTGCTCCTGCCTCCCTGGTCCTCACAGAAACCAGAGGTGCAGCGCCTACTGCAGGGTAGGGACAGCAGGGTCACTGGGGTCTCAGGCCAGAGGGTCGGGTGGGGGACAGCCCAGGCCTCCTGCTTGGCCAACCTTCGCTGGGGCGGAAGGCGGAGCATGGACGCAGGATGCGAAGGGGGGTGCCCGATGGGTTCCGTGCAGCCTGGGGACAGTCTCTCCCTTCCCTGACCAGGACGCCACTCCACAGCCCTGGGGTGGCCCTTGCCCCGCACGCACTTCTGTGCCAAGTTGCTGAAAGCACCCAAGGAACCCGGCTCAGAAGCCAAAGCCAACAGCAGGGAATGCGTGACAAGAGAGCAGACGGCTGTTCAGAAAGACGCCGGAGAGAGCAGAACGGTGTCGGAGGCCCAGAGGGAGCGGTCCCTCAGATGGGACAGGGCGGCCACAGGCAAGCAGGTCCCGATGTCCAAAGGCGGCAGGAGGACAGATCCAGCTGGCCTCCACTGGACACGCCTGCCCTTGGGGGTTGGGGGTGAGCGTGATGCCCCTCAGGGTGGGGCTGGTGAGGCCACTGAACATTTCATCGTCTAGAGAAGTGCTGCCTGTCCACCGTGAGCCCGTCCTCGGCGGTGGACACGCTGTCGGCCTGGGGGTCCCTGTGGCAGGACGGGACCCTCTGGCAGGTGTGCCCGGGGACGAGGGGGGGGGTGGCCGGGCCCACTGGAGTCTGACACGCTGGCTTGTCTGGGGGTCTCAGGTTGGCCGCCTGGCACACAGGGCCAGGACCTGGTGAACTTGGTGGGGTGGTTCTGGGCCAGGGCCCCTTGTCACCCAGCTCCCCAGACACTTAGGGAGTGGGCCCAGGGGGGCAACCACAGCAGCGACCAGGCAGAGTGAGCTGTGTCCCGGCAGCCCTGGCGTGGCCCCACTTCTGAGGTGTGTTGGAGCCTGGGAAGGGCCGGCGGCAAGAGCCTGTGTCCTGTCTGAAGGGCGGGTGGGCAGCGCCTGCACTCGGAGGAGCCCAGGAGCCCCGAGGGGAGGGCATGACCGGAGAGACCCCTTGGCGCCCAGGGGAGAGCGCCTGTTGCCACTCGTGCTGCTGTGAGCGGCCCCTGCGTACGTGGCCCGGCCTGGGGGGAAGAAAGGGCCCTCCTGGGGGTGCTGAGGGGAGCTGAGACTCAAGGGGTCCCTTTCCTTGGGGGGCAGTGACCTTGCCAGAACATGACCCAGGGCCACAGCGGGCGGGGGGAAGCCGGGAGTGCGTGTATGTAGGCCAGCCACGGAGCAGCGGGCCCCCCCCACCCCGCACCCCAGCCCCTGGAAAGGCAGGGGCACACCCTCACTGACCTGGCTGTCAGGGTGGGGGAGGCAGCCACTGCAGTGAAGATGTGGGTCATGGCCATCTTGCAGAGGTCTGCGGCCGAGCCTGTGGGCACAGAGGTTCCGTCTCACGTGCAGTGTCAGGCCAGGCCTCGCAGGGACTGCCCGGCACTAGCCGGCTGTCTTGGTTTCCCACACTGACCCCCCAACTGCCGGGTCCACTGTCTCATCATCCCCGCTCAGGTCCGGAGATGAGTGCGGACTTAGCAGCGGACTCGTCTGGACTCAGCCAGGGGAACGCCCACTTCACGTGACCTCCGGTGGCTGGGAAACACGCGTCCCTGCAGCCGAGCCACCGAGGCTCCTGCCGGGCCAACTGTGGGCCGAGGACATGGGGCTCTGGGGGGGGCCTGGGCCCCTGTGGCGGGCACACCAGCGCACATGCTTGTCCACGGCCAGCGGGAGGGCGCCTGCTGCTGTCAGTCCCTGCCCCACCCGAGCCCTTCCGTCAGAGGGTGAGGTTGGGCCCATCGCGGTGGCCCCTCTCCATCAGCTCAGCGTCCCGTGTGACGTTTTGGCGCGAGTGCAGGTCCCGCCTGCCCGTGGGTCGTGCACGTGGGCTGCAGACTCTAGATTCTGTCCCTGGCCACCAGCCAGCAGCATGACCCAGTGCAGATGTGGCCCGCTGACTCCCATGGCCCCCACCCATGTGCACGGCACGGGGCCCTGGCACTCGTCCTAGGCCGGGGCGGGGGTGGCTCACTCGGTCACTGGGACATGCGCCCGTCCAAGGTGCTGGCTGGCGCAGGGCGCAGGTCTGTCAGCGCCAGCCACACAGCGGGCACTGAGCTGCTCTGACCCTGGGAAACAGACCGAGGTCCAGGCTGCCCTTGGTGGTCCCAGGCAGCACCCCCAGATGCCAACTTGCTGTGTCCCCATGGCAGGAGGGCCTGGTGTCAGGTGGACCTGCTGGCTGTGTGGGGTCTCAAGGCCATGGGAACCCTGCACTGGGGGCGGGACATCAGGACGCTTGCTACTTTAAGACAGGCACCCAGAGCTGCAGCCAGGCGGTGGGAGCCAGGGTGCAGAGGGGACAGCGTGGACAGGGCGGCCCCAGCCAGGCGGGCGCTATGGCTTGTCAGCGTGCGTGTCCACCTTGCGGAGGCAGACGTTCCCTGTAGCACTGGCCACTGCTCGTCCCAGGCACCTCGTTCGGCTCAGCACAGAAGTGAAGCAGCCGCCGCCCAGGCACCTGTCCAGAGGCCCGGGTGGGCAGGGGCGCCCAGCCTCGTTAGCCTGGCCCGTGCAGCTCTCCTGTGTGCACTTCTCACGGGAAGGACTCTGGAGTTGCTTCCACAGCCCCTCACCCAACCCAGTGCACACACCTACTGAACAGACACGCGTTCATGACCGATGGCTTCCTCACACATGAGAACCTGCCTCAGCACCAGAGGCATCTCGGCATTTCAAGGGCTCTCGTCCGCTGGTCACGCTGGGAGACAGGACTTAGGAAGGCTCCACACTGAGCCCGTCCCGCCAGCTGCCGCTGCCCCCATGCTGTGCACGGACGCGGGAAGGCTGAGCCTGTGCCGAACGGCTCTGCCCTGCGGGCCTCTCTGCAGGGTTGGCTGGGGCCTCGACCTTTGTCCTCCTCATTTGCTGGGGTCCCTGGCCACCCTCTTGCTGCAGAACAGCCCTTTGTGGGTAGGGTAGCGCAGCAGGCACCCTTGGGCTGGGCTCTGGGGCCTCAGCCCTCCCTCTGTGCCCTGTGGAGTCCTGGCCGGGATGATGCCTGACTCCCAGCCGACCCTGAGGCCGTGCTGGGACAGCGCACCACACGCGGGGTGAGAAGCCCATGACTACATCTCACTGCAGCTCCACGCAGACACATGAGCTATTTGTGTGCTGGGGCTGAGGATGATTAAAGCGTTTTCATAACTGGAGGCAAACAGTGTGGTGTCACCACCAGCTGCTTCCTGCGGCGGGGGCTGGGGGTGCCGAGGACGCGCTGTATGTGGGTGCCTTGCTCGAGCCCTTACACTGCCAGGCACGAGGGTACAATAGACGGTCCCAGGCCAAGGGCCCAGGGGCTGGGCTCCAGGCCCAGCCCTCATGCCCAGCTGGGTAAACTCCTGGGGGTCTCAGGTCCCTGTGCAGAAGCAGGGACAGCCCTGCTCCAGACTGTCTTTTGGGGCAATGTTGTAACTATAAAAATTACCATGTATTGGACACCTCTCACCTTCCGGCACATTCCATTACTGCCTCCTGACAGTACCTGCCAGGGAGGGCGGAAGCAGGAAATATGGGACAGTGATCTGGTCAGTGTCACGGCCCTGCAGCTGCTGGCCCAGGAAATGAAGGGGCTCAGCAGGCAGGCTGGGGGCTGTGCATACCTTGCACCACGAAGTTCACCGCCTGCCGCTCAGCCTGTGCTCGGAGCTGCTGTTCCTGCGCACGGATCCTTGGCAGCGGTCTCCTTCTGCCCATGATGGACGTCACGTAGCCTGGGGTGCACCAAGGAAAGCGGGGTGAGGGCAGGAGCAGATGGGCAGTGTGATGCCCTGGTGGGCGCAGCTCCCTCGGACTTTGCCCAGGCCAGCCGGTCTGTGGCGGGAGACACACATGGCAGTGGGGGGCTGTCGCTTGCCTGGTGGCACGTTTTACATTTATTTTCTTCTCTGAAATTAACTCTGCTCCTCTTTTCCAAATGTCTTGGGTGGAACACACACCACCTGTGTTCACATTTCTTTCTTAAAAACCCTCAAAGTATTCCTTCAACTCCTCAGTCAGCCTGACTCACCGTATTTTGTGTGAGATGCTTTGCTGTCACTTGTAACTTTACCGAGACTCCTTTTTCAATCCTAAGTGGGTCACTCAGAAGGGCAGTACACTTCTGACAAGCAGATGGACACACGGCCATGCGTACAGATACGAGACCACCCGCGTGCCCTGGTGCTACAGCCATGCACGCGTTGTCCGGGGCAGTGCAAGCCCCGTTGCTAGGTGCAGGGAGCCAGTGTTCTGCGCGTGTCTGTGCAGCGGCCCTTCTCTGACTCCACCCTGTTGGCTCTGGTGCCTCAAGCAGAGCCTGGCTCTGGGCCCTTGTCAGGTGGAACCTTTCGGTCCCATTCATTCCACAGGGGTTGGACAATCCGCATCCTCCAGGCCCCGCCGTCACCTCCCCCCCACCCCCACCCCACCCCCGCTGCCGTCTGTCCAGCCACTGGCCAGAGGGGCAGGGCCACCCAGCTGCCACAGGTCAGACGTGGGAGGGGGAGGACCTGCCGATTGCTCTGGCTGCTGCTCTGGCTTACCTGTCTGGCGACACCTGGCAATGGTTGATTGGGCAAAATCCTTGATTTTCTTGTACTTCTGCAAAAAACTCTCCAAAAACTGGGAGGCTTCTTGAATAGTCACTCCAAGGCAAGCAGCAAGCCGCTCCTTCCCTGTATGAGCAGGAACGTGGAGATCAGAGGCAGCCCTGACCCCCGCATGGTGGGGACCCAGAGCACGAGCTCCTAGGCAGGGACCCCCACACGCGGAAGAGCCAACAGGAGGCCTCCTGGGCATGTGCCGAGTCAAGGACCAGCCGGCACCACCGGCCTCTTCTGATCGGCTTCACAACTGAGTGCGGGGTGCTGGCCCGCCTGCGGTGGCACCCACGTGTTTATTCCGTGTCGGCTGAGTGCCTGCCAGGTGCCGCAGGTGCTGCAGGTGCAGCTGGGCCCCGAGCAGGCGTGGCCCGGCACTTAGCCTGTGCAGAACTGCGGGCAGCTGGCTGGGCAGAGGAAGACAGGGGGGAACGCTCCAATGCCACATTAGGGGAAATGGGACCCGGGAGCCCACCCTTCCAAGTTCTCGGTGACACAAGCACTTTTGGTCCGGCCAGTGTTTGCCTCCTAGGGGACGCTGGTATTCTGATGATGCTTTAAAAAAATTTATTTTAAATGTTAATTGTTTTTCAAGTAATGACTCTCCTTACAGCAAGGTCTGTGGTCAGGATGGCACCAAGTCCCAGCACTGCCTTCTGGATGAAGGTGCTGGGGCCACCCTGGCCTGGGTCTGCGTCCAGGTGGCGGTTCTGTGTGGCCTTGGGGAAGTCACCTGACCTGCCATAAGCCCCATTTCTTCCCTGTGAATGAGGAAAACCATCCTTGCCCCTCAGGTTGGTAGGGGACCCCCTGAGCTGAGGCAGGCAAAGCTCCAAGCGGACTGGCCCCCAGCTGGTGTTCAGTGTGGAGCCGCTCTCCCATGTCCTCCAGAAAAGAAGGCTTCCCAGAGGGAGTGAGCAGCCACAAGGAGGGGTGTGGGCGCCTTCCCAGACGGCAGGGTGACTGACGGCACCGGGCTCAGAGGGGCTGCGTCTCTGGAGGGAACCCCAGGACACGAGTTGCGTGAAGGCCTGGGAGCACGACTGGAACCGGGATGGACCTGCGGCCTCTGCACGGGGTTGGCTCTGGGGTCACACTGGAGGGCCCGCACTGGAGGGCCCGCACTGGAGAAGCAGGCTCCGGGGGGCTTCTCTTTCATGCTTCGTGGTGGCTCGTGCCCCCTCTCCACCCACTGTCACTCTGAACTTCGCTTCCAAGGGCCAGGCTTCTGCTGTGGGGCTGTGGTCGCAGGCAGGACCGTCTCCCCGAGAGCAAGGGCCCCCAGCTCTTAAATCTGCCATGAACACACGGGTGACTCTTCCCACGGACAGTGACCAAATCCTGCGTGTGCGCATGCGTGTGCGCATGTGCGTGTGCGACTTGTGCTCTAACAAGACCCCCTTCGCTCCCTTCTCGCCAAGCGCTCTTCCACCCCACGCACCACTGCTAACAGTCCCGCACTCCTGTGGGTAACTCCGGGGCCTGGGGGCACCTGGCCCCTCCTGGGTGCAGGGGCACTGGCTGGCCCACCTGGCACCCACTGTGCAGCCTGAGGCTGGCGCACACTCGGGGACCCCACGTGATCAGATAAGGTGTGGGGTGGACTGAGGAGATGTGGAGCCGGCTGCTGAGAAGAACCAAGATGTGAACTGGCTCTTGGGGCAGCGGGAGCTCCGGCAGGACCAGAGGGGTCGGGAGTTGCTTCCTGGAGGTGGTGCCTCCTGGTGAGCTCAGAGGGGCGGGCGGAGGGCCAGGGTGAGCTCACTGAGGGCAGGAGCAGCAGGGTGCTGTGTGTGGGTCCCAGGTAACAGCTGCTCCGTGGCCGGTGTGGTGGAGGCCGTCTCGGGAGCGGGGCCGCCCTCCCTGGCAGAGGCCTGGGTCTGCGGGAGGCGTGGGGCCAGGCTGCCCCGAGGCCGCAGTGGGCTGCACAGACGTGGCGTCCTCCTGAGCACCCTCAACGCTTGTGGCCCAGGCCTGCTTCTCCCCACGCTGTCTTTCTCCGTGGTCCTGAGGACAACCACCCCACGGAATCTGCCTCTGCCCTGGGCCCCCAGCAGCCAGAGCAGCAGCTTCTGGACCCTTGGGTGCACATTTATGTGACCACATGTCCTTGCAACCCAGGAAAGCTGGCTGGTGAGACGCCCCTGGGCGGAATCCCCACAGCGTCCCGGCTGCCCAGGAAGCACCGCATTCACCCACCAGGCTCCGCCTCACACACGAGCAGCCTCAGGCCTGTGCACACCTGGGAATGCACAGGGGTCGGCTGTCAGGCTGGACGGGGACCACGGGGACAGCAGCTGCAGAAACGGAGGCTCGGGGTGGGAGCCCCGTCATCACCAGAGCTAAAGCAGCCAAATCACCCTTTGTGCCAACATCACAGTCATCACACAGCGGCTCACTGCTATTTCCAGAGGGGAGCTCTCTCCCCTCCAGGAGAAACAAGGAGAACACAGAAGGCGCCAAACCAGCACCACCGAGAAGGGACACTGGGTGAGTCGGGAGAGTGGGGGATGCCCCCTGCTGGCCTCGTGAAGCCCCTCGCCCTGCAGCCTGTCCCCCAGCTGGATCTGGGATGGGGGCCCGCAACCCCACAGTGCTGCCAGTCACTGGGGGAGTGCGCTGGCCTGGCACTGAATGGAAGGGCCCCAGGCGTGGGGCAGACAAGTGGGGCAGATGTGGAGTTGGCTGGTGTCGGCCACCGCTCCAACAACCCACCTCCACCTCACCGGAGCGAGTGACGGGGCACAGAGAGGTGGAGGGCCTTGTACAGGGTCACACAGCCAGGAGGGGTCAGTCAGGACTCGGCCAGGCTGCTTGGCCGGGGAAGAGGAAGCAGTGTCCACTGGCAGCACCAGAGCCAATGGTGCCCCATACGTAGCACGCGTCTCTGGACAAGGCTGCCAGGCACCGGAATCGGACATGATGGGTGCAACTCTGCTTCTGGCCAGACAGAGACTTGGGGAAGCTCAGGGGCACCGGAGGGGGAAGGCGGGGAGCAGGCGATGGGGCAGCAGTCAGTGCCACCTGCTGCCACCCACTCGGTCCAGTTGCTTAGCCTGTCCTCCAAAACTGCGCACACAAAATGTCCTCCCAAGCAGGGTGGAAAGCCTCCCACTCACTCCCTTGCTCCGCAAGCAGCGCTGTCTGTGCCCCACGCCAGGGAGGCGCTCAGGCCTCATGGAGCGCCAGGGAGGGAGGGTGGTGCTGGGCACGGCAGGGCCCTGGCTCTGGGGGAGGGAGGCAGTGGACAGGAGCGGTCTCCCTGGCCTCATGGGGCCTTTCTGCAGGGTGCCCCCCAGCCTGGCCCGCCGGCGGAGGGCCCAGCCAAACTGAGCCTGGACTCCTGACCCAGAGCAACTAGGAGACGACGGAGGGCCAGCCACACTGCTCAGGACACCTGGGCGGGGCAGCTGAGTGAAGACCTGATGGAAGTCAGGGTGAGCTCAGTGGGTGGGGCGGAGGGGCGAGGGGTCCCCGCGGCGGAGCTGGCCCTCTGGGTTGGGGTGGCTTCCAGACCCGTCAGAGCAAGCCACCCATGGTGGGGAAGAGGCGCTGTGGAGGCACAAGGTGGTCCCTACGTGTAACCAGTGGGCCTCTGCCCGGACGGTCTGGCTGCCTTTCCCCTGTGCACAGGCTTCCGGGGCAGGGAGTGGCCCTCGCCTGGGTCTGTGCAGGACGCCGCCGCCCAGAGCCACCTGAGCCACTGGAGGAGGTGGTCACACGGGCCTGGCCGCAGCCACCCAGGCCCTTCCTTAGGCAGGGGCTGGCTGACCCCAGCCTCTCCTGACTCTTCTTTTGCTCTCCTGCGGGGACATTAGGCCCCAGTAACTCAGCATGACCAAGGGGAAGAAATTCAAAGGGAGGAGAGAGGGGCAGTGGACAGGAGCTGGCCTTGGGCCGTGGGGCTTCGGGGGAGGGGCCGAGGGAGGAGGCCTCTTTGGGCATCTCCCGCCCCCCCCACAGAGCGAGGTGCTGTGAGGTTGGGGTAGGCCCTGCCATGCCCTCCCGGGGGGCGTGACTTTGGTTGGCTCTCACTTCCGGTCCTGTCCCCGGATCTGACAGGGAGACGTGAGCACGGGGGAACAGGTCTGTAAGGGTCTGACTGGTGTCGGGCAGGCGTGGCAAATCCCATCGGCGTTTGTGAAAGACGCATGGGACCCCCCAGGCTGACGGTGATTTCTCCCGCCATGGCCGCAGCCTACCTGCCCCGTAGACCACGGAGTACACCACCTTCTTGGTCCGCTCTCTGTCTGTGTGCGTCACACGGTCCACAGGGATGTCCTTCCTGCAGGGGAGGGGGCGCATCTCAGGAACTACTCACCGTCTGTGGAGGGGCCGCCAGCCCCGCCAGCCCTGTACGGTGCTTTCTCCTGAGGGACTTCACTGTTTCAGAGCCAGGGAAAGTTCAGGATCTTCTCGGGATTCTTCTGAGCAGGGGCGCAGCCCTGGGCGTGCACAGGAGGGGCCTTCTGAGCACCCGGCACCTGCGGGCCTCTCCCCGCCGCTCCCCAAGCTTTCAGGACCTGGTCATTTGCAGGCCGTTTGTTTACCTTACAGTGTTCTCCGCAGTGTCGGCCACCTTCCTGCCCCAAACTGAGTGCTCGGGCAAGCAGACGGGCTCCCGGGCAGGTTAGAACCCGCAAACACAATGCTTTGTGAGCAGGAGGGCCTGCTCCCCGGAACCGGGCACAGACCGGGTCCTGTGCAGGGCACGAGGCTGCGGAGTCGGAGGGGCAGGCCAAGCGAAAACACCAACAAGCTCTCCTACTGTCCAAGATGCCCTTTTCTTTTTTTACACGTTATTAGTTTTAGACAGAAAGGAAGGGAGAGACAGAGAGAAGCATGGATTTGTGGTTCCACTCATTAATGTATTGGTTAGTTGATGCTTTTTAAAAAAACGTAATTCTTTTTTTAGAAAGAGGGGAAAGGAGGGGGAGAAAGGGAGACGGCAATCAGTTACCTCTCACATACTCCCCAACCAGGGACGGAACTCGCAACTCAGGCACGTGCCCTGATCGGGCGTCAAACCCGCCACCTTTCCACGTACAGGTTGGTGCCCAACCAACAGAGCCTCACCAGCCAGGGCCACTGGTTGACTGCTGTGTGCACCCCAACTGGGACTGAACCCGCAGCCCTGGCCTACGGGGATGGCACCGCAACCCACCGCGCTGCTCTGCCACGGCCCAAACTGCCCCTTTCTCGATGCAGCATCTGCTTGGCTGTGAGCCGCTACCCATTTCCCAGGGCAGACAAAACTGGTTGTGACAGTTTTTCTTGGACTTCTTCCAAAAGGCCCAGAACCACACAGAAATGCCACCACCTCCACTATTATTTTTTTTTCTTTTTAAAGATTTTATTTGCTTATTTTAGAGAGATGCGGAAGGGAGGGAGAAAGAAAGGGAGTAAAACATCAATGTGTGGTTGCCTCTAGCATACCCCATACTGGGAATATGGTCTGCAACCCAGGCATGTGCCCTGACTGGGAATCAAACCAGCGATGCTTTGGTTCGCAAGCCTGTGCTCAATCCACTGAGCTACACCAGCCAGGGCTGCACCTCCACTATTATTTAACATCGTTCTGGGTGTTAACACCTATCATTTAACATCAGTCAAATAATTAAAGGCATAATAACTGGAAAAAAATTTTAAATTTTTTTAAATTTTAAAATTTTAAAAAATTTTTCCTGGTTGGAAATTTCTAGTGACTCACTGATAAAATAGCTCAGCACTGATAACTAATTCACTGGTAAAGTCCGCCTGGTGCAGTGCAGTTGGATGGATGCTGTCCTGCAAACTGAAATGTCGCCAGTTTGATCCCTGGCCTGGGTACATGCCTGGGTTACATACAGATTTGGTCCCCAGTTGGGGCACATATGTAAGGCAGCCAACTTATGTTTCTCTTCCTCGCTTCCTTTTCCTCTCTCTAAAAATAAATAAATAAAATCTTTTTAAAGAGTTTAAAAATAAGTCTTGCAGAAGATGGGAAAGGATGAGGGCAAAGATCTGTACAGAGCAGCACAGGAGGCCCGGCCGCGGGCCTGGGCGCGGCAGGGGCGTTCTCGAACAGGGGCCGCGGCTGGCCACGGTGGACAGAACGTCAGCTCTTTGCTTTCCTGTACCACCAACTCAGGAAATCAGAGTCCAGACAGATTAAAAGCCTACACATGAAAAAAAAAGGCGAATAAAATGAAAGAAAACCAAAAAGAATGTAAGTTCCCACTAACTGAAGAGTATTGGTAGAAAGATGCAAACAATACAAACTATAAATAAGAAATAAATAATAATCTACTACATGATAGTTTTAAAATTCAGTATGATAAAAAGCGTCGCAGAAAATTTAGAGACAACTAAAAACTATAGGCTCGCGTGCGAAGGAGAAATGGGGTCCTGCCCGGAACATACAAAGAACTTCGAGGAGGCACCAAGGACAGACAGTTTCACAGGACACTGAGCAGGGGGAGCAAACAGGCCATTTGGAAGCAGAAGTCGAAATGCTAATTGGTAGAACGTCACCAGTCCTGTGTGGAACAGATGCAAGGCACACACATGGCTTTGCACAGAGTGGATTAGCAGAAATGAGTCCCCTGCTGAGGGATGGAAAGGGCGAATGAGGGGGCACCCCCTAAAACCTCAGAATTTATTTATTAAAAAATTGTGCATTTACTCTTCCATGTTTACACTTCAGTCCCCTCCCGAGTGCTCTCCGCTTCACGTAACACAACACCTGTCCAGACGTTTCTCCAGCACTCAGAACAGTTTTGAGCTCGTCAATTCTGATGCCTTTTAGTGCTTCTGCTGTTTTTTGATTCACCTCTTTCACATCAGCAAAACACTTCCCTTCCAGGACTTTTTTCATCCAGGAAAACAAAAAAAGTCCCTCAGGGTGAGATTGGGTGAATAGGAAGGTTGGGGCACAGGGTCACACCGTTTTTTGGTTATAAACTGCTGAACACTCAGCTTGGTGTGGGCAGGTGCACTCATAAATTGCAGATCTTGAAATGGGCAAACGCATTGAAAGAGTTCAAAAAAATTCATCGCAACCAAACGCAGCCTCTCACAGCAACACCAGCTGGTGCACTGATCCGGATGGATACTTAGAGCACTAGGACCCTAAATCCTAGGATACCTAGTGGGGAAGCCTGTCCTGCAAGGGGCCCGTCCTCCAGAAGGTAATTCTGGTTTTCTGAGGGCACCCTTGTAGGTTCTGGCATGCAGAGTGGGACAGCAGTTTGGAAGGGGCCTCTGAAAAGCTGACCAAGGGGAAGAAGGGCAGACCCCAACCCAGACACTCCTGGATGCAGATCCTGGCCTTGGCCCAGGCCAGACACCGGGGCAGCCCCACGTGCTGGGAGCCAGGCTGCAAGGCAGGCAGAGCACCAGCCTGCTGTCAGAGAAAACAACAGCCAGGAGGGGAAGCGGGAGGCTCACCTACTGCCCAGGCTGTCCACTGTGACTTCTCTGGAGCTCGGGGTGGCAGGATACCTGCAAGGGCCGCTGACCTGCAGGCAAAACGGCCTGGAGCGCCTAGTGGTCCGAGAGCAGGTGACGAAGGCTCCCCTTTAAAACGCCTCGTCCATGATTCAAATACATGTTTCTCTTAATTGAGGGTTTTTTTTCTTTTTTGGGGGGGAAATATACATAACTTAAAATTAATCCTTTTGCTCATGCTTAAGTGCACCATTTGGTGGCATTAAGGACGTTCCCAGTGTCGTGTAGCCATCACTGCCATTTATTTCCAGAAGTTTTCACTTTCCTGAATTGAAACTATGTGCCCATATTTCCACCTTAAAAAAAAAAAGATTTTATTTACTTTTAGAGCAAGGGGAAAGGAAGGAGAAAGACAGGGAGAAAACCATGGATTGGTTGCCTCTCTAGGCGCCCTGACAGGGAACCGAAGCAGCGACCTTTCCCTCTGCAGGACGACACCCAGCCCTCCAGCCACATCAGTCGGGGCTCCACTTGTTCTGAACTTTAGTTGTAAAAATTGATACGAGGAGTAACTGATTACTTTTACTTTTTTTTTTTTTTTTTTTTTTTACTATTGAGATATAATTCACAGACCATTCACCCTTTTAAGGTGCACAGTTTAGTGATTTTTAGTGAATTCACACACGCTCAGTCAACTGCCGCATCTAATTCTAGAGCATTTTCATCCGCCGCTCTCCACTCCCGCCGCCCCCCGGCCACCACTCACTACTTCCCATCTCTCCGCCCTCGCCTGTTCTGCACACGTCCCACGAACGGGTCGCACAGTCTGTGGCCTTCTGTGGCTGGCTTCTTGCACCAAGTGTCTTCACGGGCTGTCTATGTGGAGACGCGTCAGAGCTGCGTTCCCTTCCACAGCCGGGTGACATCCCACTGTGCCCGGGCCACACTGCCCACCCGTTCCGTGACGGACATCCGGGGTGTTCCCACCTCCTGGCTCTGTGGCCACTAGTGGACAGAGGTCTCCACCCTCCTCGGGCAGGTTCCTGGAGGGGAATTGCTGGGCCGTGGGGGAGCTTTATCTTTAGCTTTTCTGAGGTGCCGCCGGGCTGCTCCGGTGCGCTGCACCATCTTACCCGCTGGCAACGTATGAGAATGGATTACTTTTATCTCGTAGGAGAGCAGAGGTCAAGAGCTCTTTCCTCGGACCACCCCCAAAAAATGCAGCTGGAGCCCTTTGTGAAGACCTAAGACGCTCCAGGCGGCCATCTGAGTGAGCAGGAGAGACCCTGTGGCCCAAGCCCAGCGCCAGACCACATGAGCCCCGACCGTTGCAACTGTGGCCTTGGGAGGAAGCGGCCCTGATGGCAGATTACGGCCTTCAGTCGTGGATCAGGTCTGCCCACGCCTGGCTGTAATGCTGACTAGAGACAGTCCAGGGTCTGGCCCCAAACACTGAGTCTTCACAATCGACAACCACCAACAGGCCCTGGAGGTGTGGCTTGGCTGGTCAGAGCATCATCCTGTAAACCAAAAGGTCGTGAGTTTGATCCTCAGTCAGGACACGTGCCTCACTTTGCAGGTACAAGAGACAACTGACGATGTTTCTTTCACTATAAAAAAAAAAAAAAAGCAATGAGCAAACATCCTTGGGCTAGGATTAAAAAAAAAAATTACCCCCCTCCACGAACAGGAGCCTAAAGAAAGAACGAGGTGGTGTCCCCTGTGGCTGTGGGGTGTTGCCTGCGGGCCCCCCATGTTGGGGGCGTCCAGGTGCATGTCCTGCTGGGTCCCCGTCCAGCGGGAAACCTGGCAGGGGCTCCCTCCCCGCTGCAGGCCGCCCTCCACCTTTGTTCCGGA